CAAAAAATTAAACGAGGTAGAGGGTAAGGAGCAGTATCATGGTGAAATCTAAAATAGGTTCGCAGCTTTGCAAAACTTAAAAGACACTGAGGTGGTTTTTAACAAAGCTTGGGAAACTATATGAGAGAGTGTCAAAATTTTGGCCAAGGAGAGTCTTGGTTATTATGAACTGAAGAAGCATAATCCATGGTTCTACAAACGATGTTCAAAATTACTATACCAAAGGAAACAAGCCAAATTGCAGTGGTTACATGATGAAAGTGAAATACATAGGGATAATTTGAACAATATAAGACGCGAAACCAGCAGGCATTTCAGGAATAAAAAGAGGGAATAACTGAAAGACAAAACTGATGAGCTTGCAATGAACAGTAAGAACAAGAACACTAGAGACCTGTATAGAGGAATAAATTACTTTAAGAGGGGTTACCAACCTAAAAGTAACTTAACAAAGGATGAGAATGGTTATCTGCTGGCAGATTCCCACATTTTGAATAGGTGGAAGAACTACTTATCTCAGTTATTGAACGTACATAAGGTCAGTGATGTTAGGCAGATAGATGTACATACAGCTGAGCTGTTAGTATCTGATCCTATCCCTTTTGAGGTTGAAAGTGCTATTGCAAAATTGAAAAGGTATAAGTCACCAGGTAGTGTTCAAATTCCAGCAGAACTTATTCAAGCAGGAGGTGAAATATTATGTTCTAAGATCCATAAGCTAATTACTTCTATTTAGCATAAGGAAAAATTGCCTGATCAGTGGAAGGAGTCTATTATTGTACCAGTCCGCAAGAAGGGTGATAAAACTGACTGTAATAATTATCGGGGGATATCACTGTTACCAACTTCATACAAAATGTTATCCAATATTCTTCTCTCAAGGTTAAGTCCATACATGAAAAAAAAAATTAAGTCCATACATAGATGAAATTATTGGGGATCATCAGTGTGGGTTTCGATGCAACAGATCAGATTTTTGCAGTTGTCAGATATTGGAGAAAAAATGGGAGTACAATGAGACAGTACATCAGCTATTCATAGACTTCAGGATAGCCCATGATTCAGTTATGAGGGAAGTATTGTACAATATTCTGATGGAGTTTAGGATACCCATGAAACTACTCAGGCTGATTAAAATGTGTTTAAATGAAACATATAGTAAAGTAACAGGGCATGAAGTTGTAGACTGGACAGAATTCAGTGGCTGCCTTTAGTGAACATGACAATGAACAGAGGTTCAATGAATAGTGACTACTCACTTCTCTAGATGCACTCTGCTCCATGGAGTTAGTCAGATGACAATTTATTATTATTGCTGTTTTACTGCTTTTCTGAATAGTGACTAAGAACAGAAAAGCAGATGGGAGGCAGAACTGTGTTTGGTAAGGGTGGAAAAGGGGGGAAATTTCTATCTTATAAAAATATACCTGAGTGTGTAAAGGTAAAAAAGGTAATGTTACAAATATCAGTACACAATTCAGAAATTCTTGGATTAATGCATGATATTCACACACTATATTACAAAATGACTATGCAAGCACTGAAGCATGGTTATGAAACACACAGAGCAATCAAACACATACAAGGTTTATAAGGCATGAAAATACATGAGATCACATGACTCACTGAGCTCAACAAACTATTCTCAAAAAGTTATGTTTTCAGCTACCACAATTTAATCTAACTCTGCTGACCAGTTCTATATGCACATGGTATATATAACTCTATTTTGTACAAGCACAACAAATGAACTATACCATACAAAAAGGAAATGTGGCAGGTGATACAGAATAACTGTTATATATCAAGCATTTTCCTCCTTTGTGGAATTGTAGCTCTGTCCTTTAGTCTTCCCTGATGCCTTCAATTCTGCAGTACTTCTATGTCCATCAGATCATTAATGCTACAGCACAAAGACATGTTTGGGGAAAAATAATATAACTGTGATTTCTCAAAGGGGTATGGAACTCCAGATTAAGGTCTTGTGCGTTGTGATACCATGTTGCCTTGATGTTTAGGAATATTCTGCTTCCATCTTCAGGGTTGAAGTGTGCAGGGTGAAGAATCAGTTTAGCTAACATGTTGCAAGGTGATCACTACCCAGACACCCTAATGTGATCAATCAACACTGTGACAACCTCAAAACTTATACAGGTATGAAAATATTTTCAACTAATAAGGAACTGAATTAACTGTACACAACATACGCATAAAAAGATACTGTCCCTTTGTTGATGGCACTAGGCCATGGAGACATGAGGGCACAGTACAGCTCCAAGCATTTTTCACTACAACACTAGATAGAGATCAGTGGTCAAGCTTCTCGCCCCAGCCACTTTAGCCCTGGGCAAGAAGTTTCAAGTATCTACAGAACAGGATGCTGGGTGTGTCCAGAGCCAATCTGGAATCTGCAGGGAAGAGAAGTGTCTCCTGGCCCTCAGAGCAATCCAACCCCATTCCTAGGCCATCCAGCCCACAGCATTGTTGAACATTCTACACTGAACCGAGCGTCTTACATATATACAAACTGCACTAACGTCTGCAAAGAAGAGAAGTGTTTCTTGGCCCTGACAGCAATCAAACCCCATTCCTCGGTCATCCAGCCCATAGCATGTAGTCCCTATATTGAACTGAGCGTCTTACATATACAGAGTGTTTCATGACTTTAGGGCATAACTGCAGGAGGTGATTTCCTAGGTCTTTGTGATCAAAAAAGTTCATATAAACATGTGTCCGATTTTGGATGGTTATGGAGTTATGACCGTTTTTTCATTCCCGTATTCGCCCTTGTATGAACCGCATATATCATCTGGCAGGTCACTATTTTTAGCCAGCTACAGACAGAGCGCTCTTGTTAACTCAACATTTTAGAGGTACCTAAGGCATGGTGGGTTGGTATGTAAGGCCACGGCTAGTGTGGTGGCTACTGGTGTTCAGAACAGCTCTCATCTCGGTGCGTCTGTTACGTTCATGATGCCATTTACATTTTCATTTGAGGAGTATGCAGATATGATTTATGTGTACAGGTTTTGTGATGGTAACTCAGTTCTTGCCATAGCTGAATATCAGCAACAGTTTCCGAATTGTAGAATACCGAACTGGAGAGTGTTTACTGGAGTTTATCAGGCATTGAGAGATACCGGTAGACTTCCCGGCGTTTGTATTGCAGCCGAGCGTGGTGTTAATGAAGGCGTCAATGAGGAAGGCACTGTTCGTAAGGTACATGGCAGTCCACATAAGAGTATGCGAAGAATTGCCATCCAGGTCTCCGGACTTAAGCCCACTGGATTATTGTGCGTGGGGATGGAAGAAAGAACTGGTTTACAATGTGAAGGTGGCAACGTGAGATGCTTTGCTCGGTCGCATTCTGGACGCCGCTGACCACATAAGAAACAGCCAGCTGAAGCTGCTACATGCTACCCGCGCGGTTCACAACCGAGTGGCACCGTGTTACGGCTGGCAGTGGAATTTTCGAAAATCAGCTTTAAGCACCAATCAATTCAAATTAAAGGTAATTTCACGAAGTTAACTCTACATTCATACTTTAAATGTATCATGTATTATGCTGGTTTATTATTTTGTTCCGTTTATTGTCAGTAATCGTTACCTTCTATTCCGAGTTTAAAACGGTCATAACTCCATAACCGTCCAAAATCGGACACGTGTTTATATGAACTTTTTTGATCACAAAGACCTAGGAAATCACCTTCTGCAGTTATGCCCTAAAGTCATGAAACACCCTGTATACAAACTGAACAAACATCTTGCAACCCATGTTATGTTATATGTAGGGACATGAGTAGGTATTTCTACATGACCTTCATATAGTACGTAATGCTCTGCTCTGGGAATGAATAGAGAATCTTAGAGAAGTCTACCTGAAGCAACTGACTCAAGAACAGATCAATATTCAAAAGATGATTTCTCAAAACGGATTTCGCATGTCTATAAAATTATGAAACAAAAAGTCACTGTCATATGAAGCATTTCTTTGCACCTTCATTCTTTTCGCAGTTGAGTGGTTACCCTTTAAAGCATGAATTTTTTGCAAATTAGTTCCTACCTAACAAGAAACATGCTGCACCTCCATTACAAGAGTTCATTTAGTATGGGGAAACAAATGCAGTTTATCCTGAGAATCATATGAAACACAGAAATGTGCTGCACAGTCAAAATGCAGAGTTTCTAATGTGGTAGATATAGTAACCACTCTGCTTTACATGGTTAATTTTACAACAAACACTTTCATCATTACTGTTACTCACACTCTGTTTCAGTGATTTAAGGAAAATGAGCAAGAATGATTTCAGGTAATTGTAACAAGTTAACATATATCTTCCCAGAGCAAATTAACATACACAGAAAGCAAAAGATAGCAGGGTATTTATATCTCATTTATGAAAGGAAAGCACATAATATTATATCATTCATTTATATGAACATAATTTTTCAGAACCAGGAAAAAAAGGGTAAGGTAATAAGAGAATTAACAAATTATTTACATAATGCCATTCTACAAACTCACCCTCTACTATTCCAGTACACCAATTACACTTAAAATATCAGAGATTATAAACACAGACAATAATGTTACTTATAGTTTTGGCTAATTAATTCGGACTCTACTGCAACAGCATAAATTATGACAACAAAACACAATGATTATTATACTGCACCAATGAGAAATGTCAGAAAAGTCTGGTAACACACTTTGTACATTACTGAAGTACAAATGTTTAGAATTCAATCACCAAAATACAATTTAAATTTTCTCAAAATTCACAGAATTTAAACAAATGACAGAAGATTAGAAAGAAAAACCAATATGGTTCCGCATACATCTGAAATCTAACATTGTTCTTTCCATATGCTTCGTTACAATGGCCTTGTGCTCCAACAAAGAGTGCATACATAAACAACATTTACTAAAGCAATGCAACTCCATTCCTTCACAAAAATGACATGTTTCAATAACTTCCAAATTCATAACTGAGACTTACACTGTCTGCTTGGTTTGGACACAGTTTCTTGTAGACATTTTCAATGAAGTTTCTCCTACAAAGAATCATAAATAAATAATTACTCAATAACATTTACTGATCAAAAGTAATTCATTCAGCATTATCAAATACAGATTGCTAATAAATGATAAAAAAAAATCAGCATTATACACACACAGACACAAAAGAACACAATAATGTACAATATAAGAAGGAACTTTGGGCAATTAAATCAATGATCTGGGAATGACATGCAACTTGGGTGTGTAAGGAAAGAAAGGTATACAGAAAGAATCTTTTACAGGGAAACCCCTTGAACAACAGTCACTTGGAAGACCAAGCATTAGCATAATTAGAAACAGAAGGGCCCATGGGTAATATTTACTTAGGGGATCCACTTTTTCTCCCTCATAGCACAACTTTTGTAGCTCATATTGAAGACCTATTATTAATCTCTTTAATTAAATATGTGGTATGTTCAAAAAGTTCTGGAACTTCTGAAATAGTGCACCAACTTAATGTCTTAGCAATGACCGATAAATTGTGCTGCATAATGGCGTGCATCCTATTTATCATCCTTTCTGCCGTGCCATCATGCTGCGATTAGTCACACTGAGGGCATTGTGCACCATGAATTTTTACATCAAGGGCAAAGCGTGAATTACTCGTATTATCTTGAAGTGCTGAGACATCTAAAAGAGAATGTCATGAGAAAAAGACGTCAATTGTGGAGAAACAACTCCTGGTTCCTCCATCATGACAATGTGTAAGCTCAGGCATCACTACTGAGTCGTGCGAAGTGAACATAACTGTTCTTCCTCATCCATCTTACTTACCTGACCTGGCTCCAGTAGATGCACACGCATTTTGTGTCATGGCTCATTTCTGACACCATATAGGTTGAATATGTTGACTCACTTTCTTGCCTTCCACCATTCCCTTGTACCCACCCTTACAAACATGCATCTATATTCAGTGCAGCTTAGTTCACCCTGTGTCCTGTTCCACTTCCTCCCCTTTCTTCAATCAACTGCATATGCATCTAGGTTCATTACAGTTAAATTCCTCTTCTGCATGATCCTGTTAAGTACCACATCATAAGGCATTCAGGGAATTAGCAGCAAAGCATAAGCTGGAAACAGTTCCTTGGGTTCATGTTCCTGCCAATTTACACCCAGGGAAAGAGCCAGCAGCCTCCAATGGAGAGGAGGGTGGATGAATCAGTGCCTGTCTTACCCTGTCAGAAACTGAATGTCATTCAGTCTATAGTCACTCCCTTAGCAACTGAGTATGTTGAAAAATAGGTGAATTTTAGGGATTCACCTTTAACATGTTCAAAGAAAGCTTATTTTAATCTTAAGGCTTATAACACCATCTCTGGGTAGTGAAAGAACATACATAAGGTAAAGGTAAAATTGTCCCTGCACTGAGGAAGACAAATGGGGGGGGGGTTACAGCTCCACCATTCTTGACCTCAACACTAGATGGAGGTGAATGGTCAGCTTCACATCCCAGGCACTTTAACCTGGAGAAACCACCCCCAGTGTTCACTGGATATGAGGATGGGTGGGCCCAAGAGCCGGTCTGGATGCTGTGGAGTAAAGAAAAATCTCTTGCCCCTGCCAGGAATTGAACCCCAGCTGTCCAGCCCATAGCCTGTTGCTATAACAACTGAGCTATCCTGACTCCTGAAAGCACATACGTTATGACTTTAAATCCACATACAAATCAAAGCCAGAATTATTTTTCTGCACAATACATACTTGGCACTAAGACCTCCACCAGGAGGCAAGCCAGGGATGTCTTCATCTGCCAGCGTTTGAAAGACATGAAGAAACTGCAATCCATCTCCATGTCGAACCAGTTCTGTAACAGTTGTTCATTTTACTAAATGAACTTTCAGATGTCCTTTATTAAATATAAATCACACAAAGTATATTTCATATAAAAATCTTAGAACCCGATAAGACAATCACAAGCAGCTCACCATAGAGGCTTCTCGTGTAGAGACTTCTTACTGTTCCTGTGATTTATAGAATATCAGCTGCTGCCTATGTTTTGAAGCAAGAACTGTCTTTTAGCACAATACTGAATGAGGGTCTGCTCACATTTTAAAATTGTGGCTTGAGAAACATTGTACATAATGCACTCATACGAGGTCGACAAATAAGTTTTGAGATTAATTTCTTAAAAACTTATTGAAGAGCTGCAGATATTAGCAACCTAACATTTTTCAAAGGAATCTCCATAAAATTCTTTACAATGTTCATGACACTCTGGACATGATTCAAAAGAGTTTCTAAAATACTGAACAGGAATGTATGTCGAACATTTTTAATGTCCTCAGTGTTCAAGAAATGCTTTCCTTTCAGCACATTCCTGTGTTTTGAAAGTAGCCAGAAGTCACCTTGAGCCAAGTCAGGACAGTATGGCAGATAATCCAAAGCAGAGATATCTTTTCCTGCTAAAAACTGCGAAACTCAAAAGTGAAGAATGTCCTGGGGCATTGTGTTGAAGAATCAATGAGCATTCTCTCCACAACTCTCCATGTTTGCGGCTTACAGCATCAATAAGCATTTTCAACACCTGAATGTAGAATGTCTGACTAAAAGTGGTCCCTTCTGGTATAAAGTCAAAGTGGATAATAACCCTCATGTCAAAGAAAGCAGATCAACATTGTTTTCATCTTGGACTTCAACATCCATGGCTTTTTTTTGGCCTGGGGGAGTTCTTCAGTCTCCGCTCCATGCAGTGGCATTTGACCTCAGGATCATACTGATGACACCATGTTTTATCACCAGTGATGACATAATCCAAAAAAATTATCATCCTGAAGTTGTACCATAAAGTCCATGCTCAAGGTGCGACAACTGCCCTTTGTTCCTCCATCAGGTTTCAAGGCACGCGCAGTCTTTTGCTCATACCAGGCTCATCAACTATCATCCTGCAAGTCAAATGGTGGTCAAATAGCACAAGTTCCCTGATTTTCACAACATTTTCATCCAAGCACTTCATTATGGGAGCACCTTGCTTTCATCGCTGTTCAAATCTTCTCTGAAACATTTGTGCCATTCAGAAACATTACTCTTGCTCATAGCAGATTCATCATAAACAGTTTGTAACATCTCTAATGCTTCACGTGGCGATTTCTGCAGTTTCAACACAAAATTTCACATGCTCCATTTTCACAGCTGAACAGAGCTGACAATACACAGTGATCTAACCAGCTACTGTTCAATGAATACTGAACGCAACTTATCCACACTTTCCATGTGAGCTCTGTCTTGTTGCATCACCTGACATTAAAAGTAACAGCATTGCCAGATCATCCAGCACAAAATTACAAATGAGGATCCAAATCTAATTTCCCAACCTTGTATAGCAACTACTGAAAAATGTCTTAACATACAGTAGTCAAACACATTTATAGATGATGTAGAATATTCTCTAACGGCAATTTAAGTTTATGTGTGATTTCTGTAACAGCATCCTGGATAATGGTTTCTGAGTCCTACAAATAACATGAAAAGTTCTGTCTTTTGAGATATAATGTGCAGTCCAGTAAAGCCAACTGATGTTCCAGAGGAACACCAGTTGACTTTCTTCAGACTACAAGGCATTATACCCCAGAACACAGAACTCTTCAAAGTCACTGCTGAAAGTACATAAAATTCAACATAAATAGCCTGGAAACTGGACCCGTTAGAGATGCCCAGAAAACGAAGCAGTGTGTGTATAGCACCCCTTGCGACTGCGGCAGATGTTACATTGGTGAAACTAGCAGACCCCTAGAAGTACGCATTAAGGAGCACAAATATAACATAACACAGGGTTTGCTGAAATATAAATTAGCCCAACATGCATACGAGGAAGACGACAAAATTTGTTGGAATGAAGTGAAGGTCTTGCAGATTGAATCCAACACATGTAGGAAATACAAGGAATCAGCCCACATGTTTCTGCTGGACCATCCAATCAGTCAACCCAGTGTGGATATCTCTCCCATCTGGACCCCTGTCATCACACCAGAAGTCAAGAGACTACAGCGCCGTCAACTGTAGCTGGAGAGGGTAACTATTTGTTTCGTGTGTTGGTACCACAAGGAGTATTACTTCTCTCCAGGTATGATTTCATTCAAGATACTGCTCTGGTGCAAGGCCTAATATGTGTGCAGTTTCATTATTTCTTAGCTCTCACAGATGGTTAGTGTCGTGCTTGGATTATGAACCCCTTCTGAAACTGGCAAAGTTGTCCGGAGATAGGGGCTAGCTCTGTCTATTGGACCCAACTCAGTAGGTTTTACCTGAGGATGGGGACAGAATCCAGTCCCGGAAACAGTTTTTAAAAAAAGAAACAGGATGGTTTTTTAAGAATAGATAAGATGCTGGATAATGTTCAACAATATATTAATTGTAACAATTTACCATCATCACAAACTTTTAGATCTTATAAACAGTCTGATTTATTTCTATAAATTTCTATTTCAGGTTTCTACATGAGCACTGCCCATAAGACTTGTTCACTTAACATGTTCCACAGAATATTCAATACATTTCTTGCAGAATGTACTGGCGCAATGTCCTGCTAGAAAAACAAACATCTGCTTTTTCACTTTAAAGAAAGGCCCCTTCTCATCCAAATAGTGTTGACAATGCTGCAAGATTTTTTCTTGTTAGCACATATTCAGATGACTACATTTTTCATCAGCAACACTTTTTATACCTATGCTGGTGTGCATTTTATCCTGTGCCATGGCATAGACTGCTGCTGGTATTTTGCAAGTGGCAGCATTGATAAGAATCGCTGCATCTGTGATAAGCCACTCTGTATTCCATCATATACATTTCTCCATAAAAATTATTCTGACTAAATTAGGTTTAAAGTTAAAAACAAGGCAAAAACTAATGCAAGCTACTGACTAAGAGTTCAATGATCAAAAAATGACTTTAACCCTTCCTAGTCCAACACAAAGGTGGAATGGACAACACAATTTGTTCTACAGGGCCTAATGTGAAGGCAGCCTTAACATTCTGTTCCATAATCACATTAATTATTATGTCAGTTTTTATGCAAGGACTCTTGCAATCTGCTGGCTACATTTTATTCATGAGCACTTCGCATTTGTCGGCAGAAGTCTTTGTATGCTGTCAAACGGAAATCACTCTTGAACAAAACAGTAGTCAGATGCAATTTTTGTACAGTGTCTTTGATAAACTACCAACATAACCAACTTCAACTTTTGTTACAGTAACATCTTGTAAAATCTGTGAGTGGGTTTTTAAATCTCTTTGAGACTCTGTGCAAAGGAGTAACACTGCTTAAATTGTTGCTGTATGAACAGAAGTACTTGGTAGATGGCGTAAAGTTCTGTTACCAAAGCTGTGGAAGTGGTATTTGGAAACTCGGTCTTATACACAAAGTAACATTCAACTGATCCTTCAACAAACAACCAGTCAGTATAAACCATGTATTCCAGATAAGCAAAGGCAAGCAAAGAGCCACTGATACAAGGGCAGATGTTTCACCTCTTCTGTGTCTAACCAGTCAAAAGTTTTTTTTTTTTTTCCATTGGATGTATGACAGACCTTGGTGAGATCTAAAAAATCTACAAGGAATAATATGCAGCAAGTTGATGCCAAGATGCTCAAGAACGTAGTGAGAGCAAACATCCACAGCCCAAGGAATGCTGATATTCACATCATACCTGTTGTTGTGGATGTGGTGAAAGACCTCACTGCATGGTGGGTGATGGGGCTGTGTTGACAGCTTTTCCATGTATCTGTAGAGAAGGAGATTCCTCCACAGGATGAGTGGGGGTTCTCCAGGTCACACATATAGACTCTCCAGAGGGCTAGCATGGAAGGCACCAGTAGTAAGATGAATCCCGATGCTGTGGGCAGGGTTTAGGATAGACAGCTTAGACTTCATTGAAGAGTCGTAAATGAAACTGCCACAGTCCATCTTAGAGAGGATTAAGGTACGTAAAGTCAAAGCATTACTGTCTGGTCTCTGCCCATGACCAACCATTTTTTAAATGTTAAGTGACCATCTGTACTTAATGCAGAGATGTTGCAAGTGTGATTCCATGATAGTCTGCTGTTAAGAAGACATAGTAACATGATAGATGGAGCAAATGGTCGAGAACTGTTGCTGAGGAACAGAGTGGAGGGAGGAAACAAACTCCTCAATCATGTGAAGTGTACACACTGGGTCTTTGCTGCAGAGAATGTAAATCTGCTCTGTAGATTCCAGTGTGACAGACAATTGATGGCAATCTGTAAACCATATTCTACCCTTATCATCCTCTGGGAAATGCTATAGACTGCAAGATCATCAATATAAAAGAGATACTGAGACTGACAAACCAGCAGTGCTGACTCAGAACATGCTGCCAGTGTCACACTTAAAACTGACATTTGTAGCACTCCATTTTCCTGTTAAAAGAGAGAAGGAAAGTCACAGAAGTGATGATCCTGGAGAAGGCCCGAGAGGAATAGTGTCCACCACATTACAGAAATGCAATGAAGTTTGGTGGACAACCATGGAATGTGATACAAGGTGGTACAAAGCAGAGTACTGCTGAAGTACTCCACCATGGAATCGACACATGAAAATTCTAAGACTGTAAAAGTCACAGACTAATGGAAAGCTTCCCAGTCAGCAGACCTGATAATCTAGTTCAGATACTAGGACAACAAGGGACGTTCCGGAAATGTGCAGATTCACAAGGTAGTTACTGCCATACAAATCCATAGGGATGCGACATTTCAAGGTGGACTGCCTACCCTGGTCTACAGAGGGCAAGGTCCTGACTTCAGGATGAGCTGTGTAGCATCACTTGAGTTTAAAAGGAGTTAATCAAAACCAGCATATGCATTGGAAAGTCTTCATCCCTTTCATCAGTAACAACTGATCCCTAAAGTATATGGCAAGAAGCTGCCAAGAAAAATAAATTGTGGAGCCAACAGGGATACAAGGTGCGTTAAAACAAAATATTGAGACTAATTTTGTAGTGAGAGAACTGGGAATACTGCAGCACCAAGACTGTTACGAGACGGTAGCTACAACCCTCCTTTACCTTCAATCCAAGTTTGAACTTACTAGCATGAATATGTCTGGTTATGTCATGGGTCTGTACATGTTCTCTTACAGCCACAAAAATGGAGAATAATAATCTTGAGGAACTTTGTGCAATCAAGTTTTGTGTCAAACTAGGAGAGGGTGCTGACCGCCTCTGTGGTCTAGTGGTCAGAGTTCCTGCCTACAGATCCAGAGGTCCCGGCTTCGATTCCCGGAGCTACCAGAATTCCTGAAAAGTACTGGGTCTGGAACGGGGTCCACTCAGCTTCGTGAGGATAACTGAGGAGGTATTTCAAGGAAATAGTGGCTCCGGTCTAGAAAACCAAGATTAACGGCTGTGGGAATCCACTGTGCTCGCAATGTGACATCCTCTATCCGCAAAGTTGGCACTAACTTCGCCAACAGGCAGTGGTTGCTCGGTCGGTATAGTTTGCTTGTGGACTACAGACCACGGAGTTTCTTGGTTTGGAGGAGGGCGCTACTGATACCTATAAAAAGATTCAGAAAGTGTTTGGTAATGATTCTTTATCACATGCTTAAGTCTTTCAGTGTCATGAAGGCTTCATAAAATGTTGAGAAATGAAGATGAACCACGAGCTGCCTGTGAGAACAAGCATAAATGTCAACCATGTGAGGGCTTTCATTCATCAAGATCAATGTCTGACAATCTGAATGATCACTGATGAACTTAACATTAATGAACATATGGCCCACCAAGTTGTTAAACAAGATTTGAACATGAGAAAACTGTGTGCAAAGATGGTTCCAAAAAATCTGAATGATAAAAAAGCATGTTGAAATGAAGCGCTGACAGAAATGCTTGAACGGCTTGAAACTGAACCAGATTTTCATAATCTGGTCATAACAGGTGGTGATAGCTGTTTTTTTTTTTTCGAATATGACCCTGAAACCAACAGGCACAACACAGAATGGTAAACACCACAGTCTCAAGACAGAAGAAAGCTCACATGAGTAACTAAAAAACCATGACAATGGTCATCAATTTCCTTTTAAATCTCATGGGGTAGGCCACAAAAAATCTGTACCACCTGGTGTCATGGTGAATAAAAAATATCTTGAATTCCTGCACTGCCTGAGAAAGATGGTGATCAAAACTGCAAGCAACAGGATCCTTTGATCTACATCATGACAACACACCCACACACAGCATTGTCAGTTCATGAATTTCTAGCAAAAGAGTTCATTCCTGTGCTTCTGCAGGCTCCTTATTATCCAGATTTGTCACCTTCTGATTTTTACTTGATCAAAAAATTGAAATCAAGAGTCAAGGGCTATCATTTTGAACACTTGACAATGTTCAGAAGGCTGTAACCAATGCCATCAAGACTCTTAACAGAAACTGACTCCAACCCTACTACAAGCCGTGGAAAAATCACTGGGTCAAGTGTGCTGCATCAAAGGGATGTTATTTTGAAGGGGACAATGATGATTTAGAGGAATACCATATTTACGCATGTATAGGCTGCGTGCGTGTATAGGCCGCAGCACAATTTTCAGACAGAAAATATAGAAAAAATAATTTTCTTGGAATATTATTTCAGGAGTATTACACCCTGTATTACTAATTATGAATATATATATATTTTTTTAAATGAAGTGTGATTTCGAATATTTCGAATATAAGCCGCACCCCAGTTTTCCTCTTGAATTTTTGGCAAAAAATGTGCGGCCTATACATGCGTAAATACGGTAATTGAAAAATGATTTTGTAAAAAATTAATCTCATTACTTTAACACACCTCATATTAGGTTAGTCAAGTCTGCTGGAACTATGGGTACTCACAGTGGCAAATATATTGTCACATGTATGAGTGACTATAGACAGGGTTTGGATTGGTGACTCGATTTATTGCACACTTCAACATACGGCTCATGACTACACTTTACAGTTCACTGATCCACCCAAAACACCAGTGTTCTCACTCTGTTACAGTCTCCACTAGTTGCTGCCCGGTAACAGCTTCCAATGGCGGATGTTCCCCTTACTCTGCGTTCCCAAACTATCTCCGTGCCTCAGCTACCAGCTTCTAATAGCAACAGCTCACAAGGAGTGAACTGCAGTTCTCTGAATAACTCACTAACTTACCAATGCATTCTTCAATTCACTCCACTGTACTGCACTTTCACTATATCTACTGTCAGTGTCAAGAGGTCATAATGGTGGGCCCAAATAGTCATAAGTGTTTAATGTATGGAAAATGTGGATGTGAGTTTCCTGGAGACAGATGCTGGCTGGGCCCTAGTGTTAGATTAGATCTGCAAGTCAGGGAAACCTGTACAGAATCTGTCGACATTTCACTTAAGTAGGTCCACAAGGAAGGAACAAAATGAATGCTTTGGGCACCTGAAAAACTATAATGCTTTTATGGGGTATCATTTGTGTATGCTTTCTTCTTGGGGTGCCAGACTACAAACTACAAACAGACTACAAACAGGTATGGACAGAGTCTGAGCACGTGAGCATGTTTCTCCCAATTATCTGATATAAACCAGAAATCAGAAACCTGTCTTGTTAAGAGGGGTTTCCACTGTACAGTCAGCTGGGGTCAACAATCTGCTGTTAGGACACCCATGTTATAAGTTGGTGTTTGATGAAGATCCATCCAAATACCAGAGGGCCAAGAGGATACTCCATTTGTATATATATCTCAGTCCTGGTGGCAACTATTCCATGGAACATGGTGGTGCTTTTTAATTAAGTGGTGTTATGGGGCTCACAGATGTTTTTGCTGCTGCAATGGGGATGTTTTCAATGGATACATATGACTGGCTCCCAGCTTTTGGTTTGCTTCCCTAAAACTTCATCTAAGCACTGACAATGGATTGTCCTTCACCCAAAGTACCTGAATAGCTCTCTCATCTAGGTAAATGGGACATTTCCTGTCACCAGACACACATGCTCCAGCACAGTTAACACAGTGTGGTGGGAATTGGAGTCTCACCATGTCCACTTTCAGCACAGTTGCCACATATTCAGCTGGAGGCAAATCACTGTTATTTGTCCAGACCAGTGAACCACAAACACTGCACAGGGTGCATAATGTATGCGAAGACTGACACCTATTCATACCCAAGTTCTACTGTGCTAGACAGGGCTGGACTTCAAAGAGGGAATGGTCTGCAAACCCTGTTCTTGAATGACTGGAATGTGTTTTAAACAAACTGCTTTGAGAACTGGCTCTCTTCCTCTGACATGCCATCAAGGGGGGTCAGTTGTCACAACTTCATGGGATAAGCTGAGAGGCCCGGGAGATTTGCCTTAAGGACGGTCTAAACCTTTTGTTGTTGAAGACTTCAACTAAAGTGTACTGTTCTTCAAACATGCTACATTCATAACCCATTCAGCAATGTTTTCAGGGGGTTCTTTTAGAAGTAAAACAGATTTATGTCTCGTATGCTTTTCTTTGGGTCCTTCAGTTTAAATGAAATGAATTGCAGCATCAGCATCTTGACCCTAACAGTTACAGCACAGGCTTCCATATTTACACCAGATTTCCCCTGTAACAAGTTTATTGGATGCTTAGAAGCTACAACCAAAAGGGCCCTCCCCCCTCTGGAACTGTCAATAAAAGTCTGCACTGGGTGGAAAGAGGATATAGACACCTAAATCTTCCGGTCTGTGCCAGAGTGGGGACCTCCACCATAACCCAATCTTAAAAAATATCTCAGAGGAGTCACTCCTCTAGGACATCTCTAAAAATTCCAAACCTAACAGCAAGTCCTACACCATCAGCACACTGTGACTTCATGCTGTTACCATGGAAATAATAGCCCATGGCTCCCAACTCCAAACCACATAGACTTTTATACATATATACATATGCACATACACAGGCTACAGGGGAACTGTGATTGATTACATCACAGCTCCCAGTCAGTGGTAACATATCAGAATGGCATGGTCAAACCAAAGGTTGCATAACTGTTAAAGAGTGTCTATGTAATCTGAGCCCCATATGTGTCACTATGTAAGTGCACATGACTCATGTTCTGGGCTCCATGCCTGGTCTTGCATAATGTGGCAGCAAGAAGAGTCCACTCAATCTTCACCTCAAGTTCCCAGCAGGTACAGCAAAGTTGGAAAACATTCCAAACCAGTGGGAAATACCAGACACAGAAAACATCCCTGCCAGTGGGACAAAAGTTTATAACTGCAGGGGTACAATAAGACCAAGAAATAAGTAACCTTAGAAGAGGAAAAAATTAAAACTCTTGTGACACACGAGTGTGCATGCACGTGCACACGCATGGCAAAACTGATAAGAAGCTGCGATGATAAATATGGAGATGCTGTGGTGGACATTCAGCACTGAAAGGGACCTTCATTGCATAAAGTGAAGCATTTGAAGGAAAGTAAGCATCATAATTTCTTTCCAGAGCTTAAATGTCTGACAACTCTAGAATTATTATTACCTGTTATTCTCCTCTCTATCGTGGCTTCGAGTTCAGCTTCTTGTTGAATGGCTTCTGAAGAAGGCTGTGGAACTCCTGGGAAGGTGACTAGCACAATACTCATATTATCTCTGCTGCCCTAAAAATAAAATGGGAATTATTACTTTCATAACGAAATTCCTTGAAAACTCACAACAAATCTGCAGGTATATCAACTAACCTTATAAAGACAGGTGTCTATAACTTGATTTGCAATGTTCTCAAGATCGTTTGTAAGGGCAAGTCGGGATCGCACGAAATCGCAAAGGTCCTCATTGGACATGACATCCCACACACCATCACATGCCAGCACCAGGAACTCGTCCCGGTCTTCATCTCTGTCCATGACGGACACTTCAGGCTCAGGTGAGACCAGCTGCTCACAGGGACCACATCCTACCACATTCTTATACTCGTAGTCACCGAGTGCACGAGATACAGCCAGTGATCCATTCACACGCTGGATCATCACATTCCCTCCTGCACGAATGATACGTTCCTTTTCGCTTGGGAGGACAGGCTTGTGGTCTCGTGTGGCAAAAACTGGCTGGCCAGAACGGCACAGCACAGCACGGGAATCTCCACAGTTAGCCACGTATACCTGGCGTGGGGACACCAGCGCACACACAGCCGTTGAGCCTGACTTATCCTCTCCACTGGCCAATTCTGGAAGTTCTCGCATGCGGTCATCCAGGTGAAGGAACCCTGACCGAATACCCTTGATGACATCATTGTGACGAAACTCCTCTGTTTGTACAATGCATTCCAGCAAGTGGTCTGCACAGTGAGCAGAAACTCTGGCTCCAGCATGACCATCAAACACAGCGAAGAATGACCACTGTTGCAGCTCTTCACCTAGCCCTGTGACAGCACAGTGTGCATCTTCCATCTCCACTCGCCATCCTTGCATGCTTGCAACTCCATAACGTAAACCATTGCCACAACCATGTTCATTGTGTTTATCTGTCTTTGGCTTGTCCAGAAACGCACCCATCCTGTTCTTTTATGTTAAAAGCATCTTCATCTGAAACACAATAGCCATACCAACTACAGACATGAAGCACTGCCAACTAAAAGCATATTTTCAGTATTACACGATAATTTACCATTTCAAGTTTGCTTTCCTTATTTCACAAGAAGTGGTCGCTTTCCATCACAATCATATTTGTGTCTCTCCTCCCCCAAAATGTTACGAGCCCGTGAACAAATTTTCATGAAGGCACACATAAATGTGCCATAAAGACAATCCCATCTTTGAAACTTTCAACTTCACTGATTATACATGTGAACTTCCAAAATTGAAGAAATATTAGTGACACACAATGCGGGCTACTGAAATGAGTGGAAACATATGCAAAGTAGATACACCTTGTGCTTTTCATTTTATGACACGTAAGAAAATATCTTGGAAATCAGAAGAAATCTGCATTTTGCCCCTGGTTTGATGGCATAACAGTACTGAAACACTGAAGATTATTGCCCTCTGGGATGTAATGCTAAGAAGTTGACAGGTACCAACTTTCTAGAAGAATACACTGCCTCCTGCCCTGAACATGTAGCAGCCAGTTCCTCTGAAATGTTGGTACTACCTATTCACACTACATGACATCACAGTCCAGAAGGCAGTAGTCTTCATAGTCACCACCACCTCAAATCTTGCACAAACACATAGTGAAGGTACAGACAAGGTATTTCATATGCAGATCATATACATTCTGCATGAACCAGGCTGTATGTTAATAAATATCCTGATGGTGTATAACTCTGAGGTTACATCTTTAAAATTTAATGATGCTGGAGCCTATTTCAATGGAATTATGTACAGAAATGAATCACTAACAGAATAATTAGTAATTTATAGTAGGGCTGGACAGACTTTTGCATGAAAAGTACTACATCTCAATTGTCCAGAACTCTGCAGTCTACTCAATTCAAAACGTTTTCTTAGTAGATAAGAAAAAACTAACCTCACAAACTTCTATAAAAATTATAATAAACAAATATGTCACTATTTTACCATGGTCCTACAGGAGACTGCAACCAACGTCTTTCTTGTCCTGACATAATTCTTGCTAGCTAGCTACTGAAGCACCTGAAATAAGTAGTGGCAATACTGAGAGATATGAAGCAATGTGCTGCTTTGGTCATGACAGAGCAAAACAGTGAATAAGTGTTGTTACAAAGTGTTCTAANAAAGACGGGTGGGGGGGGGGGGGGGCTTTAATAAGCTTCAGATAACATGGAATAAAATTGCATGCCAAGAGCATGGTGCATTTCATCAGACATGTCGGATTGATGTTCTGCCATATTGGGTACAATCCTTAAAAACTGGAAGAGACAATGGAAGAAGCAGCAGAAAACTGAGTGGCATGAATCAGCGGCAAATCAACACCACATTGCTCACATAAGGAACTGCTGCAGATGACAGTTGATATTCATACCAGGAACTTGCAATATATGCTGGCATTAGTGCCCAATAGTACTGCACATCCTCCATGATAAAATGGGGATAAGGAAAACTGCAGCATCATGGGTCCTATGCACTTTGCAGAGATCCAGATGTAGGAGCACATGGCAACAGCCCATGTTCATCTTGAACAGAATGCAAACAAAGCTGACACATTCTTGGACAGACTCGTTTCCTTGGATGAAACATGGGAACATTTATATGAAGTGAAGATGAAACATCAATCAACGAAAATGTTACACCCATCTTTCTCATGTCCCAAATTAAAACAGTGGCAGAGAGTAATCAAGGCAATGCTCATCATGGTTTATGATCATAAGGAATATTATTGTTTGTCACAACATACCACACAGACAGATTGTGAATGTGAAATATAACGCTTACTTCCTGGAACATTACACAAGGTTAACACTTCGTTGGATGCACACTGGGTTACTGGCCCTTGGGCTGATGTTCCTGCACAACTATGTCCAGTATCATATGGTGCAGATCACCGAAGACCTATCGCAGTGCTGGAACTTGAAGGTATTGGATCAGTCTCCACTCTCTAGAGAAATGCACCCATGAGATTACAACCTATTTCTAACAAAGAAGGAAACCCTACAAGGATAAAGATTATGGTTGCACGTAGACATTTCACATGCTATTGAGCAAACTGTAAGAGCGCTCAAGAGAATATATACTGCCAATAAAAACTGCATCTGCCATAGATGAACTGAACCCAGTCATTAATAAAAACAGGTTATTTTGTATCACTGTGTTGCCACTACTTAATTAATTACATTCATATAAGCATGCAATGGGAACACCCATCCTTTGCCTGGGCTGAGAAATCTGAGTCTCACCCATCTTGGGGAAGATCATGACACTTTAATCTTCACATCAATGGAGCATTTACATTGGAATTCAAGGATGCAGCCATCACCATCAATGCGCAGAACTACTGTGGAACCCTCCAAGATCTTCATACTGCCATTAAGAAAAATTGTCCCAGCACGCTCACAATATGTGTCACCATGTGGCTTGCACTGTCCAGTACTACATGCACCAGGTGTTTGATCATCTCACATACAGCCTGGATCTGCCATCATGTGACTTCCATGCATCTGGCTCTCTCGAAAAAGCATCAAAGGGCTGCACATTCACTTCAGACAAAGATGTCAAAACGGCAATGGTGGAGTGCTTCCAGAAGCAACTCAGGAAACTTTGGGGGGTGGGATCCACTGGCTGATGCAAGAATAGGATGCCTGTCTCAGTGTCCATGTACCAATTTTCAACGGTCACTATTCCTTCACCAAGAACAATCTGTGAATTGGTTTCATCCAAAAAAGCCTCAAACATTCACACTGGTCACCACTTAGAGGACAACTCTATACTCAATCTTCTGAATTGAGAAGTGTGATTACTGCATACTGTTTTACCAAGATTCTTTCTTTACAGGTGCAATAACCTTAAAACCTGCTTACTTCATAGAAATTCTGCTACTAAGACTAATAACATTACACCCACAGACAATTCCAAACACAGCGTAAGTAGATTTATTAAGCTAATACATATAATGTTTTATCTTAAAGCTAAAAGGATATTCTTAATTCCATTTGTATTCAACAATTAATTACACTGTTTCAGCAGCGGTTTGCTAAGATGTGAGAATAATGGTGAATGGGTGAACTGGATGAAAGTGGTCTCATCCTATTTCAAAGCACCATCATGGCATCTGTTTGGAGAAACTAAAGAAAACCATAAAATACAAAGTCTAGATAGACATGAACCAAAACAAGATTTTAACTAAGTGTACTGTAGGATATTGGTGGGAAAGCCAGAAAGGAGGAGACCACTGGGAAGACCAAGGTGTAGGTGGGTGGACAATATTAAAATGGATCTTAGAGAGGTAGGATGGGATAGATTGGATTGATCTTGCTCAGGATAGGGACCAGTGGAGGGCATTGGTATCTAGTAAGAAAAAAATATTGCACAGTACATACCCCACATATTTATAATCAAAATCACAGGCCAAAAATTCATGCTACATCAGCATACTACACACTTAATAGGGACACACGGCAGTGTAGTCAGTTGAGGCACTATACTACAAACTGGAAGACTGCGGTTTCAATTTCCGATGTCATTGGATTCTTCAACTGACCTAATCCTTCCATCTGCACTATGGCCCTGGGTTTCACTCAGCCTCTAACAGAAATGAGAGCCAGGAATTCATGGGGGTAAAGGGTGGCTGGTGTGTAAGGTTGACCACTTCACCAACATCTCTGAGCAGACTGTTTAGAAAATGTGGTAGTCTCAATGTCTCACAACCCTATTGGCCTCCATGGCCTGTTACAGAGATAACTTTACCTTTTACACGGTTAATAAAAAGTACATACCACATATTTTCAGTTTTATTTCTGGTAGTACATTAAACTATTCTGCATATACAAACTGGGTCTTAATTGTACACCTTATATGTAGGCATCATGATCTACACATAGGCAACCAGTAACGTTCATACATGTTTTGGCTGCAATTACTCAGTTAATGAAATATGGCAATAGGAAGCAAGCAAGAAGACTAGATGAATAACACAGTTGTGGTTGAAGAGTTTATTGGCTGTGAACAAAAAAAAACATCTGGCAAGTCAGTAATGGTTTATTAAATATGTTGAAATGGTCCACCATTACAGCCAATGCATATATGAGCCTCTTGCTCCAAGATTTCCTGGTTCACTGAAAGACTTCAAGCATGTTCCATACTGTCAACCCTGCTGTTTCAACAGCATTCCACACCTCATCCTGTCACATCACCGGGCATAAACTATGTTCTAGTTCTTCCGATAACCCTACACGCAGAAGCTGACAAGAGTCAGAATGGGTACTCATGGAAGTCACACAATTAGCACTTTTCATCCTATCCATCAACCTGTGTAGTGGCTGTCCATTACATCACAAGAAGAACAGGCAGAAGTCTCACAATGCACTTCCCAAGCTGTAAGCCGCACTGCCAATGATATGTTGTCCGGTAGTTGTGATAACTATTCAGAAAGTGAAACTGGAACCCCTGATTGTTGTGGCAGCAGCTCTTAAGCAGCTAATCGCCAATTATTCCTGCCCAAACATTTTCTGCCAACTGCTACTGGATTAGTGTTTCTTGAAAGGAATGTGAATTTTCATCATCCCATGCATGGTGGTTACAGTTATTCAAAATTCTATTCTGTGTGAATCATGTTTCATCCATGTGCAACACTCAGGTGACAAAGGTTGGAGATGTTGCATCCTGCTGCTGTAGCAGTTCACAGAACACTTCTCAATGCTCTTAACCCAGTGCTGGCTACAGACTCTGAACATGCTGTACAAGGAAGAGATAAAATTGCTGACCATGAAACATATCACCACTGTTTGCTAGGGTATTTGGTGACAGATCACCTGTCTGGTACTACTACTATGGGATACATAGCATCTTCTGTATCGGTGCTCCTGCAACTTCATGGTCTACCAGTACTTGTCATATTGGACTGTGTATGAAATGTTTCTCACAGAAAACATTCCAGAAAAATGAATATCCTGCAATTTGGATCCTGTTGTAGCAGATACTTCTCAGGGTGCAGATGTTCGGTAGCTACACTATTACACTTCTGTTCTGTGTACATTAACACTGTCATGTGTTAGTAACTAGACATGGGGTTTGGATTGGTAATTGGTGTTAGTCAACACTTATGACTTGTAAATACATGTAACTATAACTCACTAATCTGCACATTCTACAGAACACTATAGCACATATTAAGTCTTCTCAGTCTGTCATCTTCACCTGTCATTACTAGGTAATGGCTTCTAACATGAAGATTCCTGTGCTTCAGATTTCACAGCCAACAACCAACTGGGACTGCTGACTCACAAATAACTAACCACGAACTCTGACCTTAAACTACTGACTTGTCCTCTTAGTCCTCATTAGCCTTGGCACAGACTGCATAGAAAACACTGCTCCCAATATTTCTTCTATTGGTGCATGCATATATGTTGCTGTAGGACCATGTTTAATGGACCGCTGCCTAGCAATGGCCACCTCTTCTGGCTCTGCTATTCTGCCTTTCAGATGTCATTTCATAATATCATACGTCAATTTGAAGAATGAATGCTGCACATTCTAAGCCAATCTTTGACACTCAATGTGTCTACCACAGTGATCCCAAGAGTAGTGATGTCATATGAGTCCATTCACTAAATTTTGCCTGAAAATGTGCAAATCCATCAAAATCTTGATATGAATCTTTTCAACATCACAATACTTCCTCTGGGTTGTGATGCCATGTAGTCAGATAAATCTTCAGTGATGTCCCGGAGGAATGCACTGCTCCAGCTTCAGGGTAGAAGAGCAATTCTTCTACCCTGGAGATGCAGACAGCACAATCCTCCAAAGGACTGCTAAAAATCTACTCAGCATCACATCCCAGAAAAGAAATAATCTTCACAGTCCCTGATGTGAGAACCTCAAATCTCATGTAAAAATTGCTTTCTCTGCACCAATAAATACTAAAAGTTTGTATGCTCCAATTATACATCAATTCCTGCCATCCAGAAAATCAATGGCTAGAACATCTCTTTATCTAACGACTCATATATGGTGTATTTATTGTCAACTAAACACTGATATAGTTATATGAAGAATTCAAATTATATTTTATGTGCTAAGATGAATCTAATTTGTGGGATTCTAATGTCACCTAAAGGTTCAACACTACCTTCACACAGCTCAAGAGTTCTTCGTGTTTTCTTCCGGTTCTCCTGGCAAGAACCAGGACAATACCTCTAACAGGTCATAACAGCTTCCTTCTGAATTGTCTCCGATCCATCAATCAATGCATGCAGTCCAGATAAAGAAAGCATGATAAGAGGACCCACAAAATCAATTCTATCAAAGAATACTTTCTTTTGGGATGTTATGCAGTGAAGTTTTGTAGACTGTTACCAACATTCTGAAGAAACCTGTCGACTACATCTTGAGAATCTGTTACTATGAAGATGTTCCTCCAACACACTTACAAGCAATCTATCCGCTACACAGTGCTAACATATTCACAACCACTGCTTTGCGAACCTAAAATCTTACAAGAAATCTGATAAATTACTTGGCCCAATAATGCAGTTAGGCTACATGTTAGACAATAAAGGTGTGATATCAACACATTACTAGATCTACTGCTTATGTTAAGTTATTCAACTGCATCTTCTACAATGCTCCAGGGTTTACACACACACAAAAAAATGTAAAATAAAGTGCCAAATCAGTGTTAATGCTTCTTATAAACAACATCCTAAGGGATTTCATAACCTAAAATGATCATTTTCATAATTCACAAACATGGCACAAATGATCTGTTCATACAATAGCTTTGAAATACTACATGGCACATCTTTACTACTGAGTAGCACATAATAATCACTGCTGTCTGGATCCTGAGAACTTCCCTTGAACGTTAACATAACTACATCAAATTAACAATTGTTTCCAATTCTCATTGTGGAATCTAGAACATCAAACTGGAGGCGCAAGGTACCAGCAAATACAAGTTCCTGCCCATGAATCCTAGAAGAATCAAGAATCAATTACAAACTTAAATGTATTCTAACAGCACCATTAGTTCGAAGTACATATATAACCTTACTTCGTTCAGATGCCACGAATTGGTTATGCATACGAAATTTATTCGACTGAACGTTTTTCAGATCAACTTCATTCAGATTATTCCTAATAACTGTATGAAAATTTGTACGATGCACAAATATTCGTTACAAACTGGCACTGTCCCAACTCAGTATTCGCCTGTACGAAATCTATGTTCATGCCAAAGATTTCATACCCCATGTGCAAACAAAAAATATTCTATATGCAAACACTATTGTTTTAAAAAAATCAGTTGGCTGCAGTGCAAGCAGAAATTCGAGGGCACGAATGATAAAACTCTCACATGCGTCTGACCAGAATTTCATAACCTCTAATCTATTATCTCACAGGCACGTAACATACATCACACATTTTTCATTATATACCTTAAAATTACAGCGTTCCTAGCATCTTCACAGAAAATTATTCTCTTGTTTGAACATATAACCTAGTTACATCGCAAGTTTTGCATTTCAACAACAACAAAATCAACTGCTCTGTATGGCGGATATTTATTTCATATATATTGCGCATGCCCTCTTTCTAAAAATAGTATTCACTGATGATGTCATACCGTTCCAATCACAGCTGATAGCAGAATCATTTCCCGGCTGTTGACAATTATTTCGTTACCTATCTGGACCACAAAAAATACAAATAAAACATAAAATTGTAGACTATGTAAATTTATACTTAAATATGTGTTAACAGAAGTGGCTCGTCCATATGTACTTGGCCTTCGTTTTTCATGCACTTTGAAATTCTTCAGACCCCTTGCTCACTCCAGCAATCAACCTAGTTTCACGTCCCTCTTCCATATCACTAAATGTAAATTTCACAGATGTATAAAGGGGCTTTCAGATCGTTCAGGTTAATTCCATACAACCTATTCCTCTGTAATAGATAATAAACATTGTTTCATGTACCTAGAGCAGTGTTTCTCTCTCACCAAAATCATGACATAGCAGGAAACATGTTTTGAAAATGTGGCACAGTTCAGATACTTGGGAACGACGACGATAACAAATAAAAACCTGATTCAGGAGGAAATTAAGAGGAGATTGAGCTCTGGTAATGCTTGCTACCAGTCAGTCCAAAACCTTTTGTAGTCTCGTCTGCTGTTCAAAAACATAAAAATTAGAATATACAGAACTATAATTTTGCCTGTGGTTCTGTATGGGTGTGAAACTTGGTCTCTTAAATTAAGGGAGGAACATATACTGAGGGTATTTGAGAACAGGGTGTTGAGGAGAATATTTGGACTGGAGAGGGATGAAGTGACATCTTGGAGAAAACTGCATAACGTGTATTCTTCTCCAAGTAGAATTAGAATGATCAAGTCAAGGAAGATGAGGTGGGCAGGGCATGTAGCACGAATGGGGGAGATGAGGAATGTATATAGGATATTGGTGGGAAAGCCAGAAGGAAAGAGACCACTGGGAAGACCAAAGCGTAGGCCGGTGAACAATATTAAAATGGATCTTAAGAGATATAGGATGGGATTGATCTGGCTCAGAATAGGGACTAGTGGAGGGCTCTTGTGAACACGGTAATGAACCTTTGGGTTCCATAAAAAGCTGGGAAATTCTTGAGTAGCTGCAGATTTGGCTTCTCCTCAAGAAGGGCTCAGCTCCATAAGAGCAGTGTTTTCCAACCGCCAGGCTGCGGTCCAGTATCAGACCCTGGCATCAATTATACTGGGTTGTCTTATAGAAAAAATAATTTACCAGGCCACTGAACTAGAGAACCTAGAGTCGGTGCATCACATCTTTCACGCGTGTTGCTTTTGACTAGCAGTAACTTGGGGAGAATTGGTTGTGAAACTAAATGATAAAGGATACTGGGGTCTACCCATTTACATGCAACTCAATTTTTTGTAAGCATGCACGTCCCCAACTAGAACTTCTTTGGTGGTGTTTGTATGTCTGGATGAAAACTGAATGTCAACCTTGAAAAGTAGAGGATGGCCATTTGTATTTATAATTGTGATACGTTAATACCTTTCAGATTTCTTTATAAACTCCTAAACAATGTTCTATTCCCATATGCATATATTCTGTTGATAATATTGTTATCTGGAAATGTAACTCTTTAATCTTGCAGTGTTATGTTCACAAACTGAATGTTATTAAGAAAAATCAATTCTGCAGTAATATATTTGGCTATGAATTGTTCCTTACGAAGGATCAGCCAAACTTTTATACGTGAGGACCAGACAATGAAGAAGTTATATCTCATGTTGCGGACCAAAAGGTTCCAGTAGAATATCCAATGGTAGGATGCAAGTAGGTAGGACCTCCAGTAGGCAAAATAAAGCCACCATCACGAGAAGCAAGGATTTGTTATGGCAGAAGTAATTTCAAATAGATAAAAGTGCATTTTATTTGAACAACTAAGTAATCAGTCCTTTAATAAGAATGATGATATAAATAACATATTTAAGATATTAGGGGAATAAAAGGGAAAATAAATGAGTTAATGATATCTTTATAAAATGAGGAACCCAGTGTAATTTGTCTGACAGAACAATATATAACGGACTATGAAATGGATGCTTCACATATTCCTAAATATAAATTAGGTGCAAGATATTGTAGGAAGAAGTTAATAAATGGTGGTGTCTGCATATTCATTCAAGATGATCTAAATTTTACTACTATACTTCTATAAAAATATTGTAAGGAACGAGACATGGAAATTGCAGCCATTTAATTAAAACTTAATGAGAAAAGGCAATTATTCTCTGTATATACAGAGATCCAGCTTGCAAATGCTTTTAATAAACACTTTCTATCTATAGCTGATTATATTATATCGGATAATAATAAATATACAAGCTCCAATTCATCCAGTTACTTAGTAAATACGTTTAGTAGACCTTTACTAAAATGAATTTGCAGTATGGCTCCACTTATGAAATTGAAAAAAATTATTAAAACATAAAAGACTAAAAAATCAAGTGGATACGATGAAATTTCAAACAGAATAATAAAATTAAGTTCATCATTTATAATTTATCCACTTACTCATACTTCTAACTCAATACTTAATACTGGTATTTTTCCTGATAAATTAAAATTTGCCATAGTTAAACCACTATTTAAAAAAGGGAAAATTCATAATATATCCACCTATAGACCTATATCATTGTTGACTTCTTTTTCTAAGATCATTGGAAAACTCATATATGCGAGACTTATTATTCATATTGAAGCAAATAATCTCTTGGTACATGAACAATACGGTTTTAGGACACACTCCTTGACTGAGAAGGCAGCTTTCACATTCATAGATAATATTTTAACTGTGATGAATAAGTTAATGATGGGAGGCATTTTTTTTTTATTTACAAAAGGTGTCTGATTGTGTTAACCATAAAACATTATTGGCTAAATTGGAATTGAAGGAAAATTCAAAACACTTATTGGATCTTACTCAACAGGTAAATATCAAAGTCATATTGGGTAATAGAATTGACAGAAACATCTCATCCAAATGGGAAACAATTAAACACGGTGTTCCACAGGGCTCGATTCTTGGTCCCTTGTTGTTTTCTGCTTTATATTAATGATTTACCTAAAATAATAAATAGAAATAATAATATGGTATTATTGGCAGATGACACTAGTATTATAGTAACTGACACTAATGAGTTAAACTTTAAAATAAATCTTAATCAGACTTTCAAAGATATAAATACATGGTTTAATGCTAATTTGCTCCCTTGAATTTTAATAAGACTCAATATGTCGAGTTTCGACCTATGAATTATTGTTATATCACTACTAAAATTAACTATGATCAGATAAATTTATGTGACTGATACTCTTTCATGAAAACAACATACTGATTATGTTATTAATAAAATTTCCACTGCATGTTACACATTGAGAAATATAAAATATATTGTCCCTTTAGATGCATTAAAGCTAATTTATTTTGCTCACATAGATTCTATCATAAGTTATGGTATAATTTTTGGAGTGGCTCTTCTTGTGTTAACAAAATTTTTATATTGTAAAAGGAAGTTACTAGAATTATAACGAATTCTAGACCCAGAGATTCTTGTAGGGACATTTTTAAGAATTTGGAAATAATGACGTTCTACTCTCGGTACATATATTCGTTACTTTTATACACAATTAATAATAAAGATTTATTTAATTTTAACAATGAGATTCACAAATACAGAACTAGAGCCCTCAATAATTTATATTTACCTGCAGTTAACCTAACAAAATACAATAAAGGTGCATACATATCAGGTATTAAAGTTTTTAATAATTTTCCTCAAACAATAAAAATGTTGTCAACTGATGTGAGAAGTTTTAAATCTGCATTGAAGAGGTTTTTATATCATCATTCTTTTTATTCCATGAATGAATATTATCAACATAATTGGTCATAAGTGTGTAAATTTGTAATGTATTTAATTCAGTTAATATAGGTAATTTAAATAAAATTGCATTAATTCAAGTTTTATAGTAAGTTCTTTTTTAATTATCCCATTAAATTTATTGCTTTATATTATTATTTACATTAATTGATTAGTGTAAGTGATTTTGATTATGTGACTCATGTAATTTTGTTTATGTATCTTGATATATCTATTTTCAAAGGGACCATTTCCACATCCTAGGTTTGTCACCTGTATGGATATATGGAAAATAATGGAAATGAATGAATGAATGGACTATCATGAGAACTGTTTGACACACGGAAGGGCCACATGTTTTCCCTAGTTAAAATAAAAAATATATTTTTACTATAATTCAAGAAGTTTCTCAACTAATGGGTCATACACATACATACACAAAACAAAACAAGCTGTAGTACCTGAGACAAGAAAACAAGTTAAGCTTCTCTCTGATAAAGAGCTGATGGATTTCAGCTCCAATGGAAAATAAATGACATGACACAAGATAACCTGTTGGACAAGACCTTCAAAGGAAATCATTATTAGTGCTATTTTTGTAATGTACATTTAACCATTTAATAACCGAACAAGGGGTTGGTGACATTGGGCACCCTTGTTATAAACCCTGTGTTACAGCATTCATCTGATAAATTTTACCTCATTTTTATTCAGCATTTTCTGTTTCTATATATCACCATGACTCATGGAGCTGAACGCTTCTTGAGAAGCCGCCAATTGTACAGCGTCTCAAGAACTTCCTGGCATTTAATTTTAACCTGAAGATTCATTATCACATTCACAAGAGCCCTCCACTGGTCCTTATCCTGAGCCAAATTGATCCAGTCCATACCATCCCATTCTATCTCTCTAAGATCCATTTTAATATTGTCCACCCACCTATGTCTTGCTCTTCTTAGTGGCATCTTCCCTTCTGGCTTTCCCATGAATATCCTGTATGCATTCCTCTTCTCCCCCCTTTGTGCTACATGCCCTGCTCATCTCATCCACCTTGACTTGATAATTCTAATACTTGGCGAATAATACAAGTAATGAAGCTCCTCATTATGTAGTTTTCTCCAAACTCCTGTCACCTCATCCCTTTATGATCCAAATATTCTTATCAACACTCAGTTCTCAAACACTCTCAGTCCATGTTCCTCCGTTAATGTCAGAGACCAAGTTTCTGGCGATGACATAGCAACATATACTTATTTTACTCTGCATTTAGTTCTAGAACAACCTCATTACTGGCATCAGTTGAAGTCTCTGTATTTTTCTTTATGGTATCTATGTTATCACCAAGTATATTCACATCATCAGCATAGATCAGCAGATGATGTATCCCATTTAATTTCAGTGGGGGTGCTTAAGAATTAACAAAAAAGAACAGAAAAGGTGTTGTAAGATGTCCCATTGTGTTGAAACATCAACGAGTTAGGAGAAATTGTAGGTATAACCACTTCACAGTATATAAAAAATTAAATATTTTAAGATGCTTACAAAAACAGCTATTTGTACATCTTGTAAATGATATTTAAATAAATATTTTTGTGTCTGTTGTAAAACAGAAAAGGAGAGTTATATATAACATGAGCGTACACACAGATGAGCAGAACATACATGTACATATTGGAGTTCACGAGGTACCATGTATCAGATCTTACTGGTTTTGATGGATCAAAAATTATACTGGAGCGTGCAGACCTGTTACTAGGCAATGACCGCGAAACAAACGGGTTCCCATGGCAAAAATAGGGGAACTGTTGGAAACTGTGTTTTCTACACAGTCCGTGCTAAGGGGATATATAATGAAGTCGGCTGTCAGTCAGTCTGTGAAGAGAATGGTAGGAGGTGGGAGTGAGATGGCAGCCAGCCTGAGGGTTAGTCAACTGGAGCAATAGTTCAGTGTATGAGACGGTAGCCAGCCGCCAATGGCATGAGTGGGGAGGTTTAAGAATCTCCACTGTTAGAAACTGTTACAAGAGAATGACTAATAAAGACACTGCAGGCTGGAAAAGACTTAGCTGGCTCTAGTGATTTGTAAAGTGTGGGGATTAGCGATGGCATTATAATTACTTGTTTCAATTTCCAATACAAACGCCATCTACAGTCACTCATATATGTGACAATATCAAAACCAGAATGCTGACAGCATCTTATCTTAGTGAATTCAGTGAAGTCAGCATTTATCTTCTCAGCTATCATGCGCATCTGTTTTGAAACATGATGTAATTCATATGCATTTCAGTAATTTGTAACAGGGATGTTGGTTTCACTATTCATTATTAATACACACATCACACACAAAGTTTATACAACTCAAACCACATTACAAATGTAAAGAACATTATACTTTAAAACTTAGATTTATATTAATGAAATCAACTGCATTTCATACACACACGTGATATATTAACATTATCATGGAGAATCAGCAAAGTACTTCCCAGGATTTCTATGCTTTCGTATGGTGCCATCAAACACATCTTCTTTATCAAGCAATGCTCTGAAAAGACAACATCATATTAGATGACTTTGATACAGCTGTCTTAAACAAATAAAACAGAACATATCTCTGTAGCCTTCATGCATTCCTCGCAAAAAGTGCAAAAAATAAATGCACAATTATCCATCCATATAAGTAAATACCTGATTATCCATTATCCAAGCATCCAGAATTCACAACTGGCAAATGCTTCAAAGAAAATCCCTAACATTTTCATGAAGTTCATCAAAAATAAGTTTGTAATAAGCATATGTTCACCTGCTACATGGTAGTTCTCCCAGCTGACACTATCAGTGTGACCTGTTATCCTCCCTCATGCGGGCACCTTTACAGACAGTACAGGCTAGGTGAATTCATGATCATACACGTATTACAGAAATAAATGATATAAACTCCGTCTCAAGTGCAACCAATATATTTTGTGTCTTTGATCTTGCTCCCTACATTACATGTTTCCCACACAAACAGACATCATAATACCTAACAGTTCGTGCCATCCATTCGAGCACAAATTGTCGGGTATTAATTACCTAATAAATAGACTCAACACATACCCAATAACGGAAAAAGGAAAACAAATAGAGAAGAACATTATTAAAAACATACTACAGAACAACGGATACGACACAAACATAATCAAAAGATTAAATCAGACAACACGAAAACAAAAATCAAACACACATGACAACGAACAACATAAAACAAAGTGGGCCATATTTACATATAGTACAAAAGAAGTGAGAAAAATTACAAAACTTTTCAAAGACACACAAATAAAAGTAGCATTCCGCACACGAAACACAATAGAAAATATACTCAAACAAAAACCACAATTAGATAAATACAATAAAAGTGGCATATACCAAATGAAATGTGTAGATTGCCCATTGAAATACATTGGGCAAACGGGCAGAACATTTAACACTAGATATAAAGAACATATACATGATATTAGGAATAATGATAGCAATTCCGGGTACTCAAACCACATACTAAATACAGGACATGCATACGGAACAATAACAGAGGTAATGGAAGTTGTAACAACGGGAAAGAAGGGCAGACATTTGAATACATTAGAGAAATACCATATATATAAAATAAGTAAGAAAGGCCTACACATGAATGATACACACATAGAAACACACAATCCCATATTTCAAACGATACACGAAATCTATACAGACTAACGGTACCTTCCTCTCCCCACTACCCATTCCCCCCTACACTCACAAACATAAAACTCAGCACACAGTACATCAGACAGCACACGTAGTAAAGAATAGCAGCGGCACGCACACAGAAAGACTACACAGGGTAAGTACAAATAACAATATACACACATAAGAAAACACCACATACATAAGATGGTAATACAAATATATTTGTATATTACAGATAACACCTATACAGTGTGGAAACAAGAACTAGCCGCTGCAGCACTTCAAACACAGGGTGAATAACACTAACAATTTTAAAATTTTAAAATTTGGAGAAGAATTTAAGGGTTAAAATTAGAAATAAAGATTTTATTATGGTGCTATTACAATAAAGTCAAAATTAACGTGTGTGAAGTAATCTATGGGTGGACAGCTATCAACGAAGTAGAAGTTGATAATGACAGGTAGAGTGTTTTAGATGTTACATTTTGAACTGGGTGCAGTGTGACAGCGACGTGAGTGTTATACACCTGATGATGGCCGTCTGAGGCCGAAACATGTAGTGTAGGGAGCAAGATCAAAGACACAAAATATATTGGTTGCACTTGAGACGGAGTTTATATCATTTATCATATGGAGTGCAACAGGATGCTTAAATATAATATTGTATTACAGAAAGATGTGCCCAAAATCCTTCACCCATCAATCTGGTGTTTCATGCACAAAGACTCCCAGGCAAGAACTAAAGCAAAAATGCGAGCTTTCGACTTTGTATTTGGTTTCTACGAGAGTATTCCTCATGCAACTGGCAGTCCCCATTCCCCACACATGCCAGATAACAGGGAATGTACTGTGCCCCCCTCCCATACACACGCACACTCATATTTTCCTGATGTGTTTGCTGGTACTCTCATACTCAGTTCTGTCCTCAAGGTAAACGTACAATTCATCAGCAACTGTGTGTCTCTCAACAAGATTCCTGGTATGCATACCTGCATATACCACCTGCAAAAAGCGCTGTACAGTATTCCAAAAAGTAAGAAATGTAGTTTCACAAAAGTTGATATTTGGAGGTTCAATTTTTTAAACCTTATTGTATAAAAGAACGGTAAATGACATATTTCTAAACATTTTTCACATCTCTTCACTTCTTACTTTACTTCTCAACATGAATCCTAATATGGACCTCAGAAACTTCACATGGGCTGTAACCCATTTGGAAGATAAGGCTGAAAAACGTTTAAAAAACTCTAACCTAAAGATAGCTTTTAAAACAATTTCCACCATTGGTGAATTATTAAATGAGAAGCAAGAAATGAACTCATATGAACAAAGTGAGATATACAAAATAACCTGCCAAAGCTGTCACAGAGTATACATTGGTCAAACAGGTAGAAACCTAACAACAAGATATAAAGAACACATAAGAAACATAAGATTTAACAAAGATGATTCGGCCTTTGCCCAACACATACTAAATAAACGTCACCAGCACGGACGTATGACAGAAATTATGGAATATCATGAATATAAAAGAAAATTTTCACATTTATCACTTCAATAAATTTAATAGATAGAAGAGCAAAAACATACAAAGGAGAACGATAATCAGAACAGTATGTTCGACATCATAATAAAACATCAGTACACGCCCACATAAACATCATGAGTCGTAAGGGGTATACATACACGACACAACACACGTTAGTACAGTATAACAACACAGCGTAGCCTGTATAACTGGACCACCATATACATACATGACACGACACATGTTAGAACAGTATAACAACACAGTGTAGCCTGTATAACTGGACCACCATATACATAAACAACACAACACATGTTAGAACAATATAACAACACTGTGTAGCCTGTATAACTGGACCCCCATACATACACGACATAACACACATTAGAACAGTGTAACAACACAGCGTAGCCTGTATAACTGGACCACCATATACATACACGACATAACACATGTTAGAACAGTGTAACAACACAGCGTAGCCTGTATAAGTGGACCACCATATACATACACGACATAACACATGTTAGAACAGTGTAACAACACAGCGTAGCCTGTATAAGTGGACCACCATATACATACACGACATAACACATGTTAGAACAGTGTAACAACACAGCGCAGCCTGTATAACTGGACCACCATATACAGATACGACACAACACATGTTAGAAGAGTATAACAACACAGTGTAGCCTGTATAACTGGACCACCATACATACACGTTAGAACAGTGTAACAACACAGTGCAGCCTGTATAACTGGACCACCATATACATACACGACATAACACATGTTAGAACAGTATAACAACACAGCGTAGCCTGTAAAACTGGACCACCATACCAAAGGTAGGATTAAAAATAAAATGTCATTTTGAATAAAATCTGAATTACAGGAACACTACACTATACCCATAATACAACTGCAGAGCTTTGATCATCAGACAACAAAACCAGGCTATGGAACATACTCATCTTCCATTAAGGAGAAGAAGTGTAACAACACAAACCAAATTGGTTCTAAATTAGAACAAATATTGTACATTACTTTGTAAACAGACTATTGTAATAATTTTCAGATGTTTTGACAAAAAAATGTACAGCTTAGCATTAGTTGAAAGATATAATATTTATATCTATGACATGGTAATAGTAGTTCACATTAAATAAAACTCATTTAAATTGAAACTTGTCGTGTTAATAATATGTGATTAGACTGAAGTCACCATTGAGTGGGGCTGCTTGATATCTCACATTGAGACCAAGAGGTATGTCAACCAAAAAAAGTCTAAGAACCACTGCTCTAGATAATTTTCAGTTGGAAATAGCTGACATGCTAAGTGATGGAAGCGAAAGTTCAATACTGAAGCGTGTCAGTTTTCTTGGCTTCAATTTGAAATGTAGCATTTACAAAGACTCTGGAAAGAGAATGTTATAATGTTTTGCCTGACACTTGTAAGGGATGACCCCAAGTCAAAATACAAGCCTTAAATCACTAGTATCTACATTTTGGATGACTCAAATATGCAACTTCTACTCCAATATTGTTATTAAATCTTTAAATTCATTCAAAGTTTTTGGGCAAAAGACAAATTTCATGGCCATTTTCTAAATCAGCATTAAAAATTCTACAAGATTTATCCATTTCTGAACATTGTGCATTTTTTCTTTTACCAACCAGTAACATAAATACCACAAAATTTGCTTAGTGAAACTGAATTGCATTAGGTTATATTCTGATAAACTCACTTCTTTCTGCCATACCACGACTGATACTTCTTACATAATTTTCTCAGTCAAAGTGGTTCCACTTACCGTGGCTTTTTAGAGCTTTCTTCTTCTGGATCTCTATTTTCATCACCAACACTTTCACTACTGCTATCAGAAAATAATGCCTTTGAATTCTGAAAAGAATACAATATAAAACAGACTTAAGAAACTCTGTTTTATGGAACTAAAGCATGTTACAATAACGCATATTCAGTTCCATCACATACTATATTCTTATATCAATTTTAGTATTACATTCCCATCTACAGCTATGTACCCCAAGAGGTCTCTTCCCTTGAGGTTTCCCAACAAAATTGTGTGTGTACTCTCATCTCTCCCATGGAACAACAGAATATTTTATAGTAGGTAACACAGTTATTACAAACTTGCCTTACAAAAGTCATTAACAGACAGGTACAGCAGGTTAAGTTGGCCTTGAGATATGCAGTAGCTTCACTGCTGGAACAGACGTTCAGGGATAAGTGGAGCTGAGTCTCTTAAGTGCTGTGATTGAGTTAACGTGTGTTGAGTTCCTTTTCAATATCATTGGCCCATTTATAATTAGGCCTTTCATTTTCATTCTTGTTTTTACTGAACATGATCAGATTGCAAGGTGAGAACAGAGGTGTAAAGTGATGCAAAGGAAAAGTAAAGAAATTGTTATAAGTATTTACAGTTTCATGAAGAAAGAAGCTGAGAGTGACAAAGTGATTAATGTTAATCATGTATGAAGTCACTGATGTGTCCTTATGTACAATGAAAGGTATTTTAAAAGAGTATGAACATAGTACACAGGTGGGGAAAGAATTCAGCATATCTCACACAAAATGACCAAGAAAATGAAAACTTATGCAGATCATTCTGAAAAGAATGTAATTTGAAGACGGATTAATGAATTTCACACAACAGAAAGTGACTGTCTTACTTAAATACGGTTAGCAGTACTCAAAAGACAGATTAACTGCATTCTATTATTAATTTTGTGAAGTGTGTCCTTCATTGCTTGTGTAGTTTTTTGTGCTGTGTTTTGTTTGAATGTGGTGTGTAATTTTGTGTGATGTGTGTTATTTGTGTGTTGTCTTATTGTAATATCACTGCCACCGGGTAAAAACCTATTTGCAGTTTAAATAAAATAATATAATATAATTCCAAATGTTTTGTTAATGTTTAAATTGCAGACAAAATCTGGAGACCATCATCAAAAAATTCATTTTTATAACTGTGAAATAACTGTGAAAGATGGCTGAAGATGAAGTTAATCCCAAACCTTCCACCAGATTGATATTAATGATGGATCGGTTAAAGAATATGTCGCCAGAAAAAAGAAGCTCCAGAAGATTACAGGGAATTCAGTTGAAGCTTTGTAAAATGTTCACCAGCCAATGGAGGTAATTCAATCTGTACTTATATTTTCATATTTAGTATTTTCTGTTTGCACCAGTACCACTAGTGAACACTGTTGTTACCCTCTCTCTTGCGCATCTGAGCTCATGTCCTACAAACTTGTAATATAAATGAGCTATTTCTTGTTGTCCATGAATGTCATGCGATATAATGACCATAGACAAAATTTTGATTGTTAATCGGATTTACTGAAGTCTTACAACTTGTAACCACAAGGATTATGCCCTCACTGTTCAACACAATTCACAAATCACCACGGGACATACTAGGTCTTCTTAGTCTGTACCAGTCTTCACTAGTGGTTGCTTGGTGGCGGCAGCAGCGAAAGTTCCCTCTCCCCTGGGTTCCCGAACTGTTCCCAGGCCTCAGCTACCAGCTTCTCTCAACAAGCATCAGCTCATAACAACTGAACCCCAGCGGTTATCTAACTCACCACCTCAACTAACTCAACTCCTCCATAACTGTTCTGTTTCTAACATCTCAGCACGGACTGCACAGAAAACACAGTTCCTCTCATGCTGTTTATGGGCAATTGCCTAATAAAGGCCAGTCTAGGTATTTGTTTTGCGGTCATTGCCTAGCAACAGGTGCATGCCACACTGCTCCTAGCCTACAGGCATACTGCCATTACTTCTTTTCCGTGGGCCGTGCCTGTGATATGTGATTGGCCTCGCCTTCCTTTCCTGCGGCTCAGTTCTCACAGCAATTGCTTGCCATCTGCTCCCTCCTTAACCAGTTAAGTGGTATGTTTTGTTTTTATCTTTCCAGCGGTGGGACATTAAAATCTGTTACAGCAGCATTTAGTTTTATAATTCTTGGTCCTTTTTCAAAATTCAATATCTCAACCATATGTCATTACAGAATTATGAAACAAAAAGTCTCTGAAAGACCAATTATCATAGTTCATATATATATACACACACACACACACACACACACACACATTTTTATGGCCGTTAAATTTAACTTATATTTTTTAGTATAATTCCATACTTTTAGCTTTATTCTCAAAAAGCAGGCAAATGTTGCCACTGACATGCATTTGAGTTACCAATACATGATCACAAAGGCATGTCTGAATCATGCACATTCAGTATATGCAGTCCAGACTGGCATCTGGTGTTTAGAGATAAAACCCAATCATAAAAGCTGAATGACAAAACCACCTTCAGCCTAACACACATTCACGTTTGATTTCTGAGATATTTCACTGTGACTTGTTACAGCTCTGGCAGCCAGATTGATAACAGACATTTCTTATTGCCATGTGGGTTGAATTTGTACTTCTTTTGCAAGCTCAAGACTGCCGTGGATGAATGAACTGTGCAACAGAAGCTGTTGCAAAAGCGTTATCTTGCACAGACTATGAAATCATCAACAAAACAATTATACCACTGAAAACATTGCTGTAACTCCAGTGGCACATACTGTGAAGATTTTTATAATTATGTTCTGGTATTCAATAACAGCCCATATCACACTTTCTAGCCACTAAAACTTTACACTCAAACATTTCTTAGCCACTTGCTGAACCTTGATTCCTATTCACGCCTTCAGAAGTCGGCCGCCATATGGTAACATTAGAAACAGTGCAGCACACAGGGCCTCCCTGCAGTTTTCACAGTTGTACCTCGTTTCATGAAGAAACTTATGTGTGTTACAGTGAACTGTAAAATGTAACCACGTGCTGTATCAAAGAGTTCAATTAATCCGATCTTCAATCAAAAATCCATCTAGGGTCACACTCATACACGTGACAGCTGGTGTCCGAAGTGGGATTGACCAGAATAATTGCATTGGATAGGACTGATTCAATCGAACTGAGGCAAGACGGATGCCTGACTAGAAGAAATGTTTTCATAATATTATATTGTAGCATCCTGTGCACTTTTCACTTAGCGTTTATTTATTTGCATTCTTACAGGAAACACCATGTCCAGTAAGACTTATTAACTTTAAAGGTTAAAAGGTCACTACATGTATTGGACAATATGGTCTTCATCAGGTGTTATAATCTTTTAGATGAAGAAAGTGCTGTCTTCTGTTGTTAATATATATAGATATGAAGGCACCTTCAATGTGCTTATGTGTTGTGTTTCTCCTTACTGCATGTTTTGCTGCATGTCTTGTCCCTGAATCAAGCCATATATTAAAGATGTAAATTCAGTATTAGTTTTAAGGCTATTTTTTCAGCCTTCTGTCTCAAAACTATATCTTGAACAGGTACATAACATGAATTTCTGGCTAAACAACTCTAGGAGTATTGATACAATCTTCTCATATTTGGAAGTTTTTAAATTCTTCTATCTGTAGCAGTTACACATTGCTGAAATATCCTTCTCTCATTTGCCACAGTATTACTTACTTAGCACTGATATCAGTGTGCTAAGTTATTCCTCTCAATGATCACTTTCTCATAAAGTGACAACAACTTACACTTCACGTTTGTTTTTGTATCCATGCATGTAGCTGTATATAATAATCAAGCCAGTTATGTTTCATGTTTCAGACCTTACACTGTTCAGATTATCCTATTAATTTCACGTCCAAAATATTACAACTTAGTCTGTTCCCTTTCATCTAACAATTTTGAGCAATTCATCAAACTGTGGCTTGCGCAGCTTTAAACCATAATATAGACTCTCTGAGTGATATACTATCCTGATAGTTTTAGACTCCCTGTTGATGTATACAATGGTATTCAACTATTCCAAAACTGCAAACGTTTTGAGATCTCTACCTAATACTGGTAAGTTAGCGCGGCCTCCGTAGTCTAGAGGTAACGTTCCCACCTCATGACTCGTAGTACGCGGATTCAAATACCCGGCGGAGGTTGTCGAATTTTTAAGGGCGGAAAAAGTCAGGGAACAAGTCCTCCGGGAGGGACTTTAAGCCGTGGGTCCTGTGTCGTAGCTTTACAGCACGTAAAAGAACTTCATATTTTCAAAGGAGGTCACTGAGCCAAATTACGGACGTTTCCCGCCCAACAGCAGTCTCTAATACCTCTGGTAGATGGGGGAAGCATTATAGATACCTCTCAGCTAGTAGAGCCGGTCTCATGTTCCTTTGACACACTGGTGTCAACCTACAAGACTACAGTGTTACAACCCTGAAGGCCATGAGATGAACATTCACCTCAAAACTTGACTTCATGAACGCTGTGATATGAAAATATCATACTTCTGAAAATTACTTTTTGGATATGGCACAGTTTACAACTTTAACCTCCATCATTATTATCAGCTTCATATAAGTCTTGTTCCCAACTTTCTGATTCAAAATATCCTCTCTCCCTACTTCTGCATGGAAATTTCCAAACAACATTTTCATGTGGTACTTTAGGAACTGATCAAGTACACACCTTAGTTGGCAAAGATGTATTTTATATCATCACTTTTATCCCATTCAGTCATCTACTGGTTCACTTCCACTCTTGTCTTCCTGTACTCCCAATAACTGTACTTCTTACTCTGCTTATTCCCTTGCTACTGTTTCCAGTGACCTTACCCAATAACTCCTGACATTCCAATTTCCAAATCTCATACCCATTTTCCTTTGCTTAGGCTGTTCCAAGTCTCGGAACCCATTTAATGTTTCATATTTCTTTACAGTGAAGAATTAAGAGTCCTTCACGGTCTCAAACCTGAATAAACACTTATTCAATATACTTACAGCTACTGTCCATACCTGTAGGCACTCTCCTCCATACATAAGCTGATGATTTGACATGCCATGGAGATAGGGCACCCACTTACTATAGTAGTCACACATAAGAGAAAAATGAATTTGATCAACTTATAAAATCACCTGGTCTTGGTTGTGACAAGTGGAGTGGTCACATCTGCAGACTTTTGAGCACCTTAAGCCAATCTTCCTGCACCCACAGAGTTTGTTTTTACACACACCCTTACACATGCACCTGACCTGACCATCGCAGTTTCTCTTCACGGCGTGCTCCTGCTCAGGGTGCGCAGAAAATCTGTGACTCTGCAAAGGGGAAGCAAGCAATAGACATAGCCACAAAAATGTTATAACTACTCATCTACTTCCTGAACGAAACATAAGGGAAGGATGGATGCCCACAGTGGTCAATTTTATATTCCTTACTTTCAATATCCAGTTGAAGGTTTCTGACACAAGTTACTCATTTATTAGAAATAATGATTATATCTGTTCCTTTAACATACAGTAAAACTTGGTTATAGCAACTTCGGTTTCTACGACACCTTGTCTATTGCGTCAATATTCAACGGTACGAACTAATTCCTCATAAAGCAACTGTTTTTATACCTTGCTTAGTACGACATGCACAAATGCATCAACCTCGTATGTAACGTCATTTTCATCCCTGAATTTCTCTGATATGGACATTGAACGTAATTTAGAAAGTGTGTGTTGGGCAAGTAACAGGAAACAGATGAAGATAACTGATTACTGTACTCATATCTAGGTACAGTAAGGCACAACAATTGATGTAATCTACTGTAATTTGGTGAGTAGGCCTACCTTTAATATACAGTATTAGTGCGGTGTGTATTGTCAGTGAAAAGCGCTGTAATATGTCTTTGATATTATACATTTGGGCAATTCCACGTTAATGTTAGGTTAGTCTGTACTTAACTACGTATTTCACTAAAAAATGCAACATTTTAACTCGGTTTTTGGTAGATTTTTACGTGACTAACATAAGGCTACTGTGGAAGTGCCCATTTCGGTTACAACGACATTCGTTTATAACGACACTATTTTTAGGTCCCTTTGATGACGTTATAACCAAGTTCTACTGTATATGAAAATTACATTAAGTTCTATGACAGCATATTACTAAATAAACTGGACATCCCAAAAACAACAAAATACATTTTAATCTAGCTTTCTTTCATTCCGTTGGCCTACCCTCACAAACATTTCACAATAAACAAGGAAATTGATTAACACTAAGCATGTGCAAGTGTGACTTTTTCAGTTTGGGACAAGATTTAGGAACAAATTTGAACATCAAAATGAGAAGATCTTTTTATAATAGATCAATTTCTTCCCTGTAACACTTGCAATTTATATCAAGAGCACTTTTCCAATATGCTACTGCATTTACGCACATACAAGATGATTCTGAATATTCGACGATGCTGTACTAGGAAATGTGGCAGTATAAGAAAGACAACTTCATTAATTAACCATGCGAAAAAAATTAATAATTAAAAAAAGATACACAGGAGCCAGGGTAGCATAGTCAGTACAGTGACTGGCTAAGAGCTGGATGATTTAGGGGTCAAAGTTTGAGGCCTGGTAGAGTCAAGCATTTTCTCTGCTCCAAATCGTCCAGATCACCTCTGGGGTCCATCCAACCTCCTATCCAATGGGTACCCAGGGCTCTTTCCCTGGGCATAAAGCGGCCGGGGCGTCAAACTGATCACTCACCTCCAGATAGTACCAAGGTCAAGAAAATGTGGATCTATACATCCACTAGCCCATACGTCTTCATGACATAGCGCTTAATTCCTTCAGCACAGGGACAACTTTACCTTTTTTTTTTTTTTATACATGTCGGGTATTGGGTTTGTTTCCTTCTTGAAGTCAAAAGCCTTTATTCAGATTCATCAGCCTCACCGTATTCACCATTCACATCATATATCTCAATTTAAGTGTCTTCACAATTCCCATCTTGTCTCGCATTCACTGCTCACATTCCCAACTTCTTCAACCCCCTCCATTCCATCCATTTCGTCAGATAAACAGTACTATATAAATCCTTTGACCATCACTTCTGGAGAGACCTGTTTCGATGATCCTGAGCCACTCATAAAGCAGATTTTCACTGGAGCTCTTTATTTTCCTGCTAGTGTCAGAATATGATCTCCTATCATGAGCCATTTGGAATACAATTCTTTCTAATGCTCATTAAAAGGCATACTTCTTAGAAGGTGTACTTATGAAGTCATCCCTGTATCTTGATGGCATGGATCACAGATCTCGCATCCATTGCCTGATGACTGTCGAATTCATCCAGCACACGTATTTGTCATTTCTCAGTTTTACTCTTTGTTTCCTCCTCAGACAGCTTGCAGCAAGTCCCACATCAGTTTGTTTGTTTGTTTACAAAGCTACACCTTCGGCAGTTTTGGGCTCAGTATCACATGTGGTGGTAGTTTTATGCTGTCTGCCAAATTTGTCAACATTACAGTCATGCGAATCTTTTCATGACCTCACACATTTATGACATTGGATTTTCAACCTAGATCACCAATGGTGTAATTGTATTGCATATTGAAATACACTGGCATTGCCTCAGTGCGCAATGCAACTTCCTTATATTTTTGCAAAATGAAGAACTTCACTTAACTGGTGGGGATGGACTGTTCCTCCACATCAATTGCACTCACCACCTGAGTTGGATTTAAAATTTAAGGCTCTTGCTGGGTAACAAACTTGCATGAAATTGACATTTCATTCTGTCTTTGAATCCATAAAAATGACAATATTCATATAGATCTGGCATAAGTTTGAGTATTTGTTATTTCCACTTTTTGAAAAACTCCAAGGAGACATAGTATACTCATTCCATTTCAGTCGTTCGTTTGCTCTGCATGTTTAATCACCTTAATCTGAAAGTATAAATTATAACTGCCAGTGCATCATAGTTTTCGACAATTCACAACTAGCTTCTTGATATGGTCAGCCATTTTTATGTTAAATGGCCCTTGAATTAGCAGAGAATCAAATGCTATCATAAAGTATTAGTTATTGCTTTTGTTTTGTAACTTTGATCATTTTTATTGCTAGTGGGGTGGGACTAAGTCCCTTGTACTGCGGCCACTTCTGGCCTATTGTACCAGCCCCAGATGATAGGTGAGGGTGATTGTGGAGCAATTGGTGAAATGAAGATTGGCAGGGGAAACTGAAGTACTTGGAGAAAACCTGCCCCAGTGCCACTTTGCCCACCCCAAATCCCACTTGACCAGACACAGGATCGAACCCAGGCAGCCGCGGTGGGAAGCCAGTGACTAATCGCTTGAGCTATGGCACGGCCCTGACTTTGATCATACTTCAGGCAACTTCATGGCAGCTTTTGGGTTCTGATCTTGAAACAATTTCTCTCTCTTTCTATCAGTTCTTACTCTAAGAGCTGCTTGGAAGACACATAAGGGATGCTTCACAAAGAGAAAGTTAATAAAAACCACGTGAAGAGTTACAAATGAAAAATGGGGTTGGGGTAGGAGAAAAAGGAGAAGACAGAAAGTCACTCATTCAGATGTGGCCTAAACAGTTCTTTGGAGAAAACTGTCTCTTTTACAGACAAGTCAAGTAGACAGTGTAATTTCCAAAATGAAAACATTTTCATACTTCCTTTTATAAATCATGCAGCCACAAGTTTTTGATCACACAATTTTGCAGAAGACATGCATGATTTATGTGGTGAAATAAAGCAAATGTGAGAAAATGCCACAATAGGCACAATGTAATGAGGCTTCACTGTAGATTAAGATATTTTATGAAGATTTGTGTGGCAACATAAAAACTGGCATGCCTCAGTCAGCCATTTACTGTGCATGCGAAGGCATGTTTGGGGTACTCCTCAGTGTTGCTGCAGGCTATGTGTATGTAAGTGGCAAGCACCCAGCTCACTGAACACTTCCACATCTATATTACAACTGAGTCCTAGTGTTATTACATAAGAAACTAAAAAAATGAAGCATACATTCTGGATATAACCTTTACAGTTAGTTAAGCGCCACACTATGAAGACATAAAGGGGAAGGTAACTATAGCTTCACACATTTTAAACCACTTTGCTATTAGATGGAGGTGAGTGGTCAGTTTCACCCTCCACAGCTCCCAGTGCCCACTGGATAGGATTCAGGGAAGTCCTCAGAGCAAGTGTGGTAGAGGAACTCTCTTTTTCTGCCAGGTATCAAACCCTGGTTTGTTCAGTCTGCAGTCAGTTATTACAGTAATGAGCTATCCCAGCTCCCTTTTTGTTTTTCTTTATGATACAAGGACAAATAAAAATTTTTCTTCCATTAACTTACTTTAGACATGTCTTCATTTCAACCTGAACCATGAATGTGGCAACATAAAGTCCTGATCTGGCCCCATCGCCTGTTCGGGTCATGCGGAAAAAAAGTCTTGCTGGCTGCCGATTCATATCAGATTTTGAGGTAATGGAAGAAATTAGGGTATAACTCCAGGCAAAGTGGACACAGCTCTTCAAAAATGGCATCAATAATTGCATGCATTGTAGAAATGTCTTAAACGTCGGGACAATTATGTGGAAAAATGACTTTAATGTGGACCACAATCCTGATTGTGTACTATACAGAATTTATGTATGATGTGACAGAAATAAATTTATGAAAGTAATTCCCTGACTTGCCTTCATATACATATATGTCTTCATCATACCAATTAACAATAGTTCTGGCAATGAACTACGGACCCCTCAGGTGTTATCTGCCTGAAGCAGAGGCATGAATGAATCCACTCATGGAGAAGGCACACACAACTATCTTTAGCTGTAGAGCAATGGCTGCAAGGGATGAGCACATAATTACATCAAAAGAACCACATTCTAACTTGATTCACAACAGTCCACTGCGGAAAAGGCACAATATATGAAGAGCACAAATTTCTTTACTTACAACAAAACAACATGAAGAGAAAATAAACAAGTTACCTTCAACTTCTGAATTCGTTTGAAGATTGGTGTTTTCTGCCAGTCAGGGTCTAAATCAACATTATCATCTTCACCATCAAGTTCATCATCCAATATATCTTCTGTATCATGGTAAGACTGAAGATCCTTGTTTGAAAACTTTTTGACTGAAATGGTGACAGTCTGAAAGAAATTTGATAGACAGAAACCTAGGTAACAATACTTCTTTGAAAGTGCAGGTGGAACACAAACACAATTAAAACGAACACTGTTGTTATGTCATACTTTTTGCTGTGAAACATACAGAAGTCAAGGTGAACAAACAGGTCGGAAAATCAGATCTTGCAAGCCTTGCAAGTCAGTGAAAGATCATCATTTCATGGTTCAGTACTTAGTAGCATATTTCTTCCATCCTATTCATAGTATTAGATGTCGAGAGAGACCATTTCCCATGAGGTCTCACAAATAATGGCCAAAATTTTTACACAGCAACTATGAAATCTGGTAAGTAGGTACGAGGTCTATCAGAAGGTTCCCGGACTAGGTAAAAAAAGAAATGTTGGCTTAACTTACTCAATTTTGGCTGCTATCTCCTTCAAAATAGTTTCTTTGGGAACGTATACAGCAATCCCATCTTTTTTTTCATGCCTCAAATGCACTGTGAAAGTCATCTTCCTTAATGCTATCGAGTACAGTTTATGATTCCCTTTGGATGTGAGACACTGTTTCAAAACATAATCCCTTCCGTTTCATTTTCAATTTGGGAAAAAAAGCGAAATCACAGGGGCTAACTCCGGTGAGTAGGAAGGATGGGACACAACAAACATGTTGTTAGTGATAAACTCTGTGGTTTTCAGGGATGTGTGGGTGGGCAACACAAGTCATTTATCACTACGCACTTTTGACAACGGTAGGAAACAATGCTCTGCTGGCACAACCCGAAGCCATAGAATAATATATGTACACAGAGACAATAGATACAAAATTACATAAGTGTCCCCCCCCCTTGCAAGATTTCCGATTGAAGTTACTTAAAACAACAGCAAGAGGGAAATTTATACTCAATCTGAAAGAATAATTGAGGAACTGAGTAGAAAGCACTGATGTATATCTCAGGAACATTTAACATTGTTCTTACGGAATCAAGGATAGCGTATGTTCAGACTTTCACATACATCAAGGAACATAAAATCCAGGGTTCACTGTAATATAGGGAGATCGAGAAGTTGCGCACATCACACTAAGCAATTATATTTTGCTAGTTTAATGCACAAACTACAAGACATACAGCACTAACTATTAATGTTTATAACCTTACATCTTAGAAATGCACAATCAAATCATGTCTTTACAACATATGCTCGAAAAGGCTTCCCTGTTCAGCAATGCATGCGTCAGCTCTTTTTACCATGTTTGAGGTCACTTTGTGGAGCGCCTGTAAACTGATGCTGTTAATCACCATCATAATTTTCCTCTTGAGGTCATCCAGTGTATGCGGATTGTTTTTATAGACAATTCCTTTGAGGTACCCCAAAGGAAAAAATCTGCAGGTGACAAATCGGGCGAACGTGGGGGCCACAATCCTTTTGAAATGAGACGGTCACCGAAAAACTCGTGCAAGAACTGCATGGTTTCAGTAGATGTGTGACATGTGGCACCATCTTGCTACAACCAACATTCACGTTCATCAACATTAAGAAGCACAATAAACTGTGTGATGATGTCTTGGTACACTGGACTGTTCACTGTTGTTTCAAAGAAAATTGGGCCCACTACTCGATGACATGATACAGCACATCACACTACAGTTTTCTGACAGTGCAAGGGCTTTTCATGTAACCCATGTGGATTTTCAGATGACCAAATCCTATTGTTTCGACCGTTCACATAGCCACTAAGGTGAAACAACGCTTCGTCAGTGAAGAAAACCTGATCAAACTCTTCAATTCCATGGTTGCCAACAAATGTCCAAAATCATCTACAGTACACTAAGAGTTTTCCTTTATCCAGGTCCTTCAGTTCCTGCACACAGCGAACACAATATGCACGAAGGTGTAACTACTTCATCGCTTTCTGAGCACTTCCATATGAAATCCCTGATTGTGCTGATAGTCTCCTCAGGCTTTTTGCAGGGGAACACTGCAACATTTTCTCCACATCAGCCAGTTTAGCCTCAGTCAAAATGGCCGGCCTCCCAGATCTCTTCCTATCTGAAATTGATCCACATTCCCGAAATCGGTTGATTATTCTTGTTATTGACGAATTGTTAGGAACTGCAGAATCCAGATATTCCCGACGATACTTGTCTGCGACATGTGCAAAAGAACGACTGGCGAAATAATGTTCCACAATGAAAACTTGTTGTTCTTGGGAAAACGATATGTCTTGTTACGCAATAAACAAAGCTAAACTGCAGATGTAGTATGATCGACACACGGCGGATGGCGTTTCTAGTCATTGTTAGTACTCCTATAGTACAACTTTTAGGTCAATGTGCATGACTTTTCGATCTCCCTGTAGTTAACTGTAGTCTTGGCTTCTTATTAGTCTATTAAATTTATAAAATTCCTGACTAATTTTAAGCCTGTCATGGGAGAATTACTTCACTACAAGAAAAATAGCATTTTTCTTCACTAATTTTGGCATAAGCATACCTGATTCATTTTCTTTTCTTTGGCTGTTAACCGACACTTCAGTTTGTCTAATTCATCAGTCTTATCTGCTAGTTCTTTCCTCAAAATTTCCATCTTTTCTAGTTCCTGGTTTTGTATGTGAAGACGCTGAGCTAGGCCAGTCTCTCCAGTTTCACAGTTTACAGGTATTGGAAGCTGACGCAGCAAAAGAAGAACCTGAAAAGACAAACACAAATTAATCACACTTATCTGTAAGTGTCCCAGTCTAGAAAATCGAAATTAAAGGCCATGGGGATTCGTTGAGCTGACCACATGACACCCTCTATCCGCAAAAGCTGGCACTAATTTCGCCGACAAGCAGCAGTCACTCAGTCGGTATAGTTTGCTTGCAACACTGCCCGAACTGAACTAACATCAACTCTGTTTAATTAAGTTTAAATTACATTACAGTAACTAACGATGTGCATGTAAAGTTAAAACCTGTAGTATACTAAAGACTGTAGAGTTTAATGGTTCTCTTACTGGTCAGTAAGTAGTGGGAGTTCAGTGTGGTAGACGGCATTAATAAAGAGTACCTTGCAAGATGCACAATCTGATGCAAATCATTGTAAACAATCATTAATATTTTACTGAAATAGGTCTAATTGCAAGCAGGAAGTAAAGTGAATAACCAAAAATCTGCTCTAAACATAAAATGCTAAGTAGTTTCTGGACCACCATGAACTAAACTGTGGGTAGGCAGAAGTCTACAGACTTAGTTCAACATCATACTAGGAACTTCATTCAATCCCATCAAGAATCAGGAGGTAATAACAGATTGGAGTACCGATTCACTTTGTTTTACAGATGAGAGATCTGAATTTATTTATGGATGGGAAGGAAAAATCCATATGAGGATATGAAATTAAATATGGCACAATACCTTTTCCTGGTGCTCCCTTTCAATGCTGATGATCTCCTGTTGATGATTTTCAGATTCTTCTTTCAACTGCTGTTCATACTGTGCCAATTTACTAAGCACTTTATGGTGCGTAGACTGTAAAAAACACAAAATATCAGTATCATCCCCTCCAGTGATGGGCCTGTTTGAGACTGTCACAAAGCTAGTCAAGATGCTTAAAGGTAGTAATTCCACCACATGACTGTTACACTGGTTAAAAACAAACTGGCAGGACTTCATTGCCTTCATACAAAGTACAAAAATATACAAGGAAGACAAAGAAAGGACATGAATGTGAATGGAGGAGCTTTAACAAATGGCCACTTGTAAGAGCAAGGAAATGGGAAGATAATATGAAAACAAATTTTATGAGGATAGGAGGTGGATGGAAATGATTCATGACTGTGTCCAATAGTGCACTTAGATATCAGGGGTGCTGATTCAGATTCTACCACAATGTTTGTCATATTTCCTAAGATTATATCTTATAGTAACCAAAAAAGAAAAAAAAAAGTGTACCCTTATTTGAAGCTGCTTTAAGGAGTAGTGGATTTCAATTCCTACACTACAGAAATTTTTTGATTGGGAACTCACATGTGAATTCTATTGTATATTCATTGAGAAAAACAAAACACAGCTTATGTGTTCTGAATACATTTAAAAAATGGCTGATAAGGACAGGCCAAATGCAAGACAATAATTTAAACTAAGTTCAAGAACAATGGAAAATTATGAGAATTAATGTACTTCTGGCTTATTTTGGACTTCATCCATCGTCTGGTATGTAAAAGACAAAAGACCACGACGTTTCGGAGACTGGATCTGTCTCCGTCTTCAGGTGGGTAGGGAAGGATAAACCTACTCAGTTAGGCCAGTTAGAAAGAGCTAGTCTCAATCACTGGTCCAACTGAGTAGGTTTATCCTTCCCTACCCACCTGAAGACAGAGTCAGATCCAGTCTCCGAAACATCGTGGTCTTCTGTCTTTTACATACTAGACGATGGATGAAGTCCAAAATAAGCCAGAAGAAGTACAGTATACGCCATAGTCAGAATCCTTTCAAGTCTATATGAGAATTAATGTATACAAAATTGCTAGTAGATGAACTCCAATGGACAAAAAATTTTCAAAGTGAAGAGTGACTGGGTAAAGGCAGGTGAGGTTTGAAATAGGTAAAATGGTACAAGCAAGTTCAACTTCCCTTCCAATGCTAAAACATATGAAAACCTCATATACCTGTACATGTGGTGCACGCTTTCTTCTCATGGCACAGTAAACTCCCAGTTATCTGGTATCCAAGAAACCAAAATTCTAACGCAACCAGCAAATTTCCAAATAAAATTTACCATTTTATGAAGTTACTTCAAGAACCAAGACGTAATGCCATCACGTTCATCCGCCATGCAGTAATTCTCCCAGCTACCAATGGGAGCATATTCCATTCTTCTCTTTCACCCAGGTGATGTTACATTGAAAGTGATGCATGGTTACAATAGAAGTAGGATGAATCTGTGATCACATCATGTCCAAAAATCTCTCTCCTAAGTAGAACTCAAACATGAACTAAAGCAAAAATAAGTTGTTTTGACTTTGAAACAGAAATGGGAAAAAATATCACATGCATAGAAAGGGGCAAAAATTGCAAGAGAATTGGGTTCTGTAAGTTTTCCTTATACAATTGACAGATACATGTATCTGTCCCACCCTATTCCCCGCATATGGTGCTATGAAATTTCCAGTTAAGATCTCTCTGCTTGTCTGAACGCTTTAAATTGATGTATACCTTGAGCACAAGAAATTTGATACTGAGATAATGGGGCTTGGCCCATACAAATTAAATACTAAATATGGGAAACCACTTAACTGATAATAAATTTAATGGGGGTAGTGTACAGAGTACTATAACAAATGTTTCCCTTATATTACAAGATGTGCAGCCACAGCATTCACATTTAACCTCTAGCTTACCAGAAGTTCCTCATATTTGGATTCTTTGTTAGAAGCATCTCTCTTCATTCCAGAAGCCAACTCAAACAGATGTTTAAACGCACATTTTGCATCTGCCATAGACTGTATGGTATCCCATCGGGTCTTTGCTTTATTTTCTGTAACAGATGCCATTATCATGCTATATTATAAGTTATCTTGTTAATGATCCTGAATCAAATCCTGTCCCTAAGCTTTATCACATAACAGCCTCCTGAAAAAATACTGCCAGGTGAGTGAGGGATGGGGTGTATGTGCATGCCTCTCTCTTTTGAGAAACACCAAGGGCTTCCTCCCTATCTTTAGGATGGATGTAGAACCTGGAGCAGGCCAAGATTGGCTGTGAGAGCTTTCTAGAATGATTTTATGAGCTAATAAGTAGTATATAGTGGTCAGGTATAGAGAAGGAGACATGAAACAGTATGTACAGTGGGGTGAAGTGTAATCGTAGTGGACAAAAACAAGGTGACATCAAAATCTGAAGCAGTTGTTGGTAGTGAGATAATGCCTGTTCCAAAACATGACAAATATTACAGTACAGTTAAAATTAAATTAATGCCACACTAGTACCTTATTCAAGATGCATGCTTTTCCCAGACTGGCCTTCTTCTGCAATCTTGGTCTGGCATGTTTACCAGGGATGTCATACTTTGGAAATGATCCTGATAGGTTTCCAGTTACACCTATGATTATTGGTATCACCTTCACTTTCACATTCCACATGTGCTGTACTTCAATCACTTCTATTGTTTACATATATTAAAATGTACAAAATGTGCCAAACCTATCATGAGGTTCTACATAACCTTCCTTAGCTAGAGAGGGAGATTCTGCTATTAAGTGTTCTATCAACCTATCAAGAACACTACATTTACTATTATAACAGTTCTCATAAATTTGTAGCATAATATTTGATATTTGGTGCAACAATTATCTCAGTTTCAGGTTCTCCTTTTGTTTAAAGAGAGAGAGAGAGAGAGACCTTTTTTTTTGAAGGCCCAAGCATCCAGATTTTATGTGCCTCATCCATGAATCGTTTTATTATCTCATCTACTTTTTAGAGTAAAATGTACTTAAGACATTTCCACACAGAATGTTTTCCTATGAACATCAATACTGAGTTGTGTAATGCAGCCCATAAGGTCGCGATTCAGCAGGGCTTTAAGGCTGCAAGATTAAGCACTCACAAATTTTAATTACCAGGAAATGTCCATTATGCGACTGATAAATTCTCTGGACCAGTAGCTTGTTTTGTTGTATACTGAAAGCTGTTCTCCACATTAGAACTTCCAGCCTCACTAGCTTGTTCAGTAATTTTCTACCATCCTTCCTGTACGTCATCATCTCTACTACCTTCCATCTTTGACGTTCAGTCATGTCTTCTTCCCCACCAAACTGATCCTTACATCATTTGTGCAGCCAAGTATATCCCACTGTGTAAACCATGCCTTGTCCTCTTTTCCTTATGTCTCAACAACCAACACTCTTAAATTACTGTTTGGTATGTTTGTTTGTGATGGCATGTGATGCCATTCTGTATCGGAAATTAAGTTTCGTTCTGGGATCTCTTGGGAGTTGCTGCGATCAGACAGAGAGCTCCTGTTGTGTGGATACAATGGAAAACTGTGTAATTTTATCAAGCATACAACAAGAAAGTGCATTCATTTGGTTTGTGGTAAAGTAAGTCTTCTTAATTTCAAAACCAATGTGCTTCATTTCAGATAATGCAAGTTCTTACTGTGTTTGTTCTTTTATTCTAAATAAAAGGGTTTTTGTGTGAAATGGGCCCTTTAATAAGTTTATGGTCAGTAGGTTATTTACAAATTGATGCTCACTGAGCAAACAGTTGTACATGACGAAGTTATCTTCACCTGTTTCACTAAGTAATGTTTTCAGTTGTAAGCTTTTGTTTGCTCTAGAATATGTAGACTATGCACCGCATGATGCTGCTGACCTTGGGTAAGTTTTGTTCCTGAGCCTGGAGGCTGTGGAACTCAAGTTAGACATACTATGAGTCAGTTCTGCTGGGAACATGTTTAACCTCAGAAAGTTAGGCAACACGTGGCAAGCCTTGGTTAGCAGAGTTGTATAACAGACATGGCTCTATACAAATGTCTGTGACAAATGAATTTTCAGGCATCATCTATGTCCAGATGTGAATAAGTCATTCTCATTTGTTGATTTAGTCTGGCAGGTCTGATTAGTGTCAGTGATGTAAGAGCCCTAGCTGCACTGTTTGTAAAAATGGTAGATGGATCCCACTATAGTTGTGCTTAGGAAGAGCGAACCAATTTGAATTTAATTTCCATTGCTCCATATTACCAGGACACTCTTCAAGTGCTTATACAGGGTATACACAAAAGAATGGTGTGGTTTCAAAAGTTAATAAGAAATGTATTTCTCAACTTACACAGGCACAACATACACCATCAGCTGCGGCAATTGTCCAAGTTTCTCATGCGTTAATTACAAACCTTCAATGTGTGCACCCTGGGTCACACAGCACACATCCACATGGTAATCAAATTCATCCCAGACCCAGTTTAGCATGTCCTGCGTTATCCAATCAAGAAGTTCATGGCTGGATGTGGGCAATGGTGGTATATAAATACTGTCTTTAAAGAACACCCAAAGAAAGAAATCGCATGGTGTAAGAGCTGGAGAATGGGGTGGCCAAGGGAGAAGGCTGTTGTCTCCATTTGCAGCAGCACGTCTGATCCAGGGCTGCGGAAGAACATGATTGAGAAACACTCATACATTCCTGTGAAAATGGGGGGGGGNTGGGGGGGGGGGAGCGCCATACAGTTGTAGACTGTAATCATCATGATCAGTATTCAGTTGGAGTAACAACCAGCTTTCCAACATGTCCAAAAATGAATCGCGAGTCACAGTTGCTTCAGTGAAGAAAAATTGGTTGTGCACTTTCTCGTGGGACACTGCACAGAAAACGCTGACTTTTGGAGAGTCACGCTGGTGCTCTATCTGTGCATGTGGTTGCTTGGTTCCCCAGATATGGACATTGTGTTTGTCCACCTTGCCACTGATGTGGAATGTGGCTTTATCGGAGAAGATCAGTCTTTCTACGAACTCCATTTTCAACTGCATCTCCTCACAAAAGTCACACATTTTCACTTTGTCTGCTGGTTTAAGGGCCTGCACCAATCACATCTTGTATGGTTTAAAACATAGCTGCTTAAGCAACACCTTCCATACTGTCATTTTTGGCAAGCCTAATTCCCTGCTTTCTCTAGCCACTAACTTATGGGAACTTCGCTGAAATGCCTCACACACTCTTTCAATGTTGTCATCAGACACAAGAGGTCAACCAGGACTCTTGCCTTTACACAAGCATCCAGTTTCTACAAACTGTCGGTCGATACCATCTGTTTATGTTATTCTTGTGTGGTGCGTCTTTATGAAAACGTGCACAAAACTCATGTTGTAATCACAGAACTGAACACCTCAAAACGGAGCACACAGAAAGCCTTCTCCTGCTGCAACACCATCTTTGAAACTGGCCCTACAGCCAAGCAGTAAGCATGAGAAGCGAACTGCTGGTAGCACATGAGAAACTTGGACAGTTGTCACCACTGACAGTGTATGTTGTGCCCATGTAAGGTGAGAAATAAATTTTCTTTATTGACTTTTGAAGCCACACCCTTCTTTTATGCATACCTTGTACCTTGTACCTTGTACTGATACTGACTGTTAAATATACTGTCAGAATTTAGGGACTGGGCACAGGGTTTGGATTCATATAACCAAATTTATTGAACAATTATAAATTGTAACTAGACATAACTATAACAGTTTCATGGATCCACACACTTAGCAAATCACTATAGCAAAAGCTAAGTCTTCTCAGCTTGTCTTCACCAGCTATTGCTTGGTTACTATCTTCAAAATGCATCACTAGATCATGGCTGCTAATCATGGAGATTCTTCACAGCCAACCACACACTCACAGCTTGCATCTGGGACATTAATCTGGCGATCTGTGAGTAGGCAGATGTATACATTCATTCTCTCTACCTTCTATTAAGACACCATGGCCATCTCTGCAGTATTATACCACCAGTGGAATCAAATATGAGGGGTTGAAGGATGCTAAAAATTATTAGACCAAATGAAACAAGCTAAATTGCAGCATCACAGGACCCTAGAAAATAAATGGGAATAATCTGAACAACATAAGATGCAAAACCAGCAGGCATTTCAGGAATAAAAACAGGAAATATCTGAAAGATAAATATGATGAGCTTCCAACAAACAGTAAGAACAAGAACATTAGAAACCTGTGAAGAGGAATAAATTACTTTAAGAGGGGTTACCAACCTAGCAGTAACTTAGTGAAGGATGAGAATGGTGATCTGCTTGCAGATTCACAGATATTTTGACTAGGTGGAAGAACTACTTCTCTCAGTGATTGAATGTACTTAGGGTCAGTGATGTTATGCAGCTAAGCCATTAGTACCTGATCCTAATCTTTTTGAGGCTGAAACTACTATTGCAAAGTCAAAAAGGTATAGACCACCAGGTAGTGATCAAATTCTGGCAGAACTTGTTCAAGCAGGAGGTGAACTATTACGTTCTAAGGATCCATAAGCTAATTAATTCTATTTGGAATAAGAGAGGATTTCCTGATCAGTGGAAGGAGTCCATTACTGTACCAGTTCACAAGAAGGGTGATAAACGACAATAGCAATTACTGGAAGATATCACTGCTATCAACTTCATATAAAATTTTATCCAATATTCATCTCTCAAGGTTAAGTCCATATAAGATGAAATTATTGGGGATCATCAGTGTGGGTTTCAACATAACAGATCAACTATTGATCAGATCTTTTGCATTCATCAGATACTGGAGAAAAATGGGAGTACAATGTCACAACAATCAGCATTTCATAGACTTCAAAAAAAGCCTATGATTCAATTAGGAGGGAAGTATTGTACAATATTCTGATAGAGTTTGGAGTACCCATGAAACTAGTCAGGCTGATTGAAATATTGTAACGTGTTTGCGTTACAGAAGACGCCGTAGGGATGGTTAATTGATTTATTTAACAATCTTCAAATAACGGCTACACTTAATTATCACAATATTACGGGTTTCCACAGTTTACAAACCCTACAACAAAATCTCTTAACACTATCTTCAAGAGTCTTCACGTATTAATAACGCGGGAGCTATACAAGTCTCCCTGAATTACACACTCCGAGTATAACTGTACTACAGCACTCACTATGTCTGGAAAGCACACGAAAAGTCTTCCGCTCGCTGACTTCTTAAGTATCGCACACTCGCAGTCTGCTATGTTTCAACTCGGCGACTGTTACTTTATAACTGACTCGAAGCCACTGTGCAGCTCACTTATATAGCTGCAGTGCTTGCTTGTTGCGTAATGAGTGCCACGTCATCCTGTTACGTCACCGCTGTTGATTCGCCTTGCATAGTTACCCGGTTACGGGGCTCGGCTATCTTCGGCTCCGCTCGGCTCTCTTCGGCTCCGCTCGTGACGTCACCGCGCATAGCTGCCAGGATGCGGGGTGATTACTCGCCTATTACGCGAGCGTTACGTTACCGCTGAGGGGTGGGAGGGGAGCGCTGACTCACCCGCCGCGTCACTGCTAGTGTGGGGGGGGGGCTCGGCTTTGCGCAACATGTCACAATATGTTTAAAAGAAACATATAGTAAAGTCCATACAGGTATACATTTGTTTGATAATTTTCCTATCCAGAATGGTCTAAAACAAGGAGATGAATTGCCACCACTCCTTTCCAACTTTGCTTTAGAATATGCCATTAGGGAGGTCCAGGAAAACCAGCTGGGACTGAAATTAAATGGGGTACATAAGCTTTTGGTCTATGCTGATGACGTGAATCTACTGGGTGATAATATAGATACCATAAAGAAAAAAACACAAAACTTTATCTGATGCTGGTCTAGAAGTAAACACAGAGAAAACTACGTATTTGTTGCTGGCTCATCACCAAAATGCAGGGCAAAATCATGACATAAAGATAGTTAACAGATGTTTTGAAAATGTGACACAGTTCAAATATTTGGGAACTTTAAAAAATCAAAACCTGATTCAGGAGGAAATTAATATGACTTCAGGTAATGCCTGCTACCATTCAGTCCAGAACCTTCTATTTATTTTATTTATACTTTTGAGTTGCAGCAATATTTTTAAAAATACAACTTAGATAATGAATGTGCTTGAAAAATTGTAATTTATAAAACTGAAAATACAAAGAAGAAGCAATTACAAGAATAAGCTATTGAAGTTATATCCTTCTCTATATTTTACCTACATACTTCTGTACTCTGTACATTTTAAACCCATTTTCAACAGCAAAAAAAGCATTTTCTTACTTTTACAGTCTTCCCATGGATTATGAGTTTTTACCAACAGTGAATGGTAAAACTCTGAAATAAGATGCAAATAGTTGCTTTTCATGCCTTTACCAGCACAGCCTACATTCAATGCATAATTTCTAGGTTTTACCAAAATTTGGGCTTTTATGGTAATATATACAGCAAACATAAAATCAAGAGTCTGTGGTATTTTGTTGATAAAATTTTTCTTTTTAATTACAGAAATATGACAAGGAATTGGATACATTTTTTTTCTCAGTGTTTTGAAATGAAGATCTGTGTAAGTACCATATTATCAATTAGATGAGAAAAGTAAATGCAAGTTCTAACTTCCATTATCTGAATTACGTGCTATAAGAGGAAAAATGAATTTTGGTTTGATCATTTTACTACAACAAAACGAAACTTGCTTCACTATGCATGAAAAACATTTTAAGATACCATACATTAAGAGGAAGCCTGAAAATAACTCACCCTGATCAGAATCAATAATCTTCTGCTGCAAGTCTGCTATCTGAGCATTCCTCAGGTCTATGTCTTCATTCAGCTGTCTTATATCTTCCTCTATGCCAAACAGGTCTTCACCACTAACTTCACTCTGTTGCAATTGAGTCTAGATAATATACAGAAGAACATATGACAAGTAATTCTTTGTCAGAAAATAATCTCGTTCCACACAATTATACTAACAAACTAACATAAGAAAAGAATTACAAAAAGCCTTATTCATGGTTACAGATCTGACTTGCAGTATCCGTTTCTTCTAATTGAGGAAAAAGAGCACTGCATACACATCATAAATGTAAAGATAAATATGTTGGTACAAAGCTCTAAATATGCGTATACACTGTCACATGACCAAAGCTTGGGGAGGGAGCATAGAGTCGTATGCCTCTCTTTCTTGATACTTCTCAACTTCGCCGTTCCTCACTGGCTTCCAGATTCTTCACAAACTGCCTTGCCACATGTGACAGGTGGGTGACCCTGGGAAGTTTCCACAATGACTTTGCCTGCACAAAAGTGATGCAGAGTTCTTGATAGGGGTAGCTGAGCTCAGCCTAATTGTGAGCTTAGTAGCATTCAGTGGGTACGTGTAGAAAAACAAATGTAAAACTATGCATACACAATGGGAAGTTAGTTCAGTGCTAACAGTGCAAGTGAAATGTAGAAGGCAGTGTACTGCCATACAGTAAAGTGGTGGCAGACAAGACAGACTGATGTCAGGATTGTAAGTGGCTACTGTTTCAAAACAAGATTAATATAACTGATGCTGAAAGTTGTATTGCAGATGGATCCAGCACAGCACACACTTTTGGAGCTGTTAATAAAAAGCTAACAAGACATAAGCATGGCTAGGAAGAACTTAGAAAGGAGATAAGTGTTGGGCTTAACAAGGATTAAGTGCCAGCCAAGATAAATTTCCAGTCTGTCAACAACTTAAAAGGTCATGAGAGGCTACCAAGAACTATACAGCAAAATAGGTGACTGTCCACAGCAAATTCAAGGAAACAATAAGACAAAGTAGACATGCAGTTAAAGAGCATCATGGCAGTGGTTCAGCAGCAGGTCTAAGTCTTTGAGAGGGAAATGTGAACTAAAAACAACATGACTCGATGGTACCTCAAAGCAACATGTCAGGAATTCAAGACACAGCTGGTGACCATGGAAGCCTGGACTAGACATGGAGGCACCAGTGCTCCTGTGGTGAAGCAGCCAAAGTCTGATGGATTCATACTTTGGACAGCCCAGCAGAGGGCAACACAACTACTACTAGCCATTCAGCAGGAGCAGGCTGCAAAATCATAGTGTTCCAGCCGGAGCGACATATGAGGATACTGCTGAGTGCTGAAGGGCTGTAATGGAGACCATGAGGTTGTAGCAGCCTACTGGTCAAAACCAAAAGCTACGACCCAGCTAAGCCACAGGTCACTGCAAGGGTTCACAGTACTCATAGACATTGAGCAGTTTGACCACCAGACCCTTGCTGGGTTATCCAAGGCTTCATCCAGACGGAGGCAGCCAGTGCATTTATTAATGGAGTGAAGGGAAAGGACATGAAATGGCATCTCCTCATGGGTGATGAGAGATCCCTCAACTAACCCCTTAACCAGATCCCAAAAGTACAGGCTGTGAAGGCAGCAGCTGGACCACCAATGAAGCTGTAGAAAGTAAGGGCTGTGTCCCTGTGGGCACCTCACAAGAGGCTTTACATGAAAATATGACGAGAAGGATGACAAGGGCTCAGGAAACAAGAGCTGGTTGCCAGCATGATCACCCTAATCTCCTCATATCAAACTCAATATAAGAGTAGCCAAGAGGAGTGATGACAGTCTATTTGCCATACCATTTGACCATGCTTGGGCATCTGGGACCATTGCTAGGCCTGACATCACCACAGGACTGCCGAAGCGGAAGTCGAGTTGGCCATGTTCTGCAGATGGCATTCAAGGTGATTGTGCTATGAATCAGAAGTTCGTTCAGTGCAGGCAAATAGAAGATGAGAGAAGAGGTCAGTGCAGTGACTAAGCAGTGGTGTTACAGTGTAATAATGGCTGGGGAAAGAACTGACATCCAGGTTATAAGTGGCTACTGATGTTGGGACAATGACAGCACCAAATAAAGATAAACATGACAGTAAAATGCATGTATCTCGTGTAACTTATAATGCAGTGGCCTAAAATTATTAGAAGAGTCTACTTAATATTCATGATTTAATAGAAAAAGGAAGGAATTTAGATTACTTAAAAACATATTAATCAAAATTCTGAGAAAAGAAAATTCAAAACCAAAATAGCATACACAAAATCATTTACGCTTACATAAATCTGCCTGGTCTTCAATGCTCCTCATTGTTGTAGTTCAATTGTTTTGGTGGGAACATGTTTGTTTGTAAAGCTACTACTCAGAAACAGTGGCTGTATGTTTGCTTATCTTGCAATCATTGCACAACAGTGGGCATTTTTTATAGTCATTACTTAGGAATTGGTCTACATGTTACAATATTCTCCTCAGCACCCTGTTTTCAAACACGTTCAATCTATGTTCCTCCCTTAGTGTCACAAACCCATACAGTTTCACACCCATACAGAAGCACAGGCAAAATTATAGTTTTGTATATTCTAATTGTTGTGTTTTTTAGACAGCAGATGAGAAGACAAAGGTTCTAGACTGAATGGTAGCAAGCAGTACCCAAATACCCAAATTATAATCCTTTATCAGATAGGGTCTTACATTTAAGGGTGATTGTGTGAAGGAAGAGACATGTTATAAAGTAACATTACCTTCAACTGGTCTAGCTGTCCATGAAGAACAGCTCTGTCTTCCATTAACTGTTCCAGTGTCCTCTCAGCATCTATGGTGCTCACTAGTACTTCCAGCTCTTGATCAATCCACAGCTGAACCTTAGCTGCTGTCCCATGCTGCTGCAGTCGTCTTTCCTGAGCACTTTTCTGAACAGCTAAAGCATCCTGCAAACAGTGAAAACTTCACAGCTGCATGTGTATCTAATATCTTCTGTTGCCATGACCAAGTGTACTCAATTTAGTCAGTGGTTGTACTTTGCTGAAGTTGAGATGACTTGATTTCATTTTGTATACCTATTACATAAACTGCATTTCTGCAGTATTTTTCTGAACTTATAAATGAATTCAGATGCTTCTGCCATCTCTCAAGAGCAGTTGGTAATATATTTTGACCACACTGTACTATATAAATAAATATTTGCAACTAGGGTAAGTTTCAAACCTCTTTACATTTGGCAAGAACCGATAACGAGTTGCTGCGGTGTTGCCAACTTGACATTCTGCACATGCATTAGGAAACTAATATTGGAATAGACTACACATATATGGATCTGAACTATTTCATAAGTGAATAAAATATTAACTGAACATTTATACCCAATTTCTTCCCTAAAGTATTGTTTTTCAACAGTAGGGAATTTGCCTTTGCCACATTATTTGAAACAAGTTCTGCATATAACATAATTTTGGAAGTCATGTAGGTTTGTTGCTCTTTTTGGAAGGTTTATGTGTGCTCTAGGTGACAGAAATACCTTCTTGGCACAGTAGCTTTTCCCCTTCTTTTTCACCTGCATACATGCAAAACTGTCACCTTGCTTACAAAACACACTTCAGCTGTCAGCTCCTGGCATTTGAGAAATCCAGTCTGCTTCAGTTTTTCAGACACATATTTGTTAAAATATATTACACACACTAAAAGCTATTTTGGGAACATTGCTACTGCAACCATTGGAACAATTACCATCTCTTGTATTTGGTTTCCTGAGCAACATGTTCCATTCAGGACCTTGAATCAGAAACTACATACAAAATTGATGTTTATATTGTTACACATTTAAGCCTACATAAGCACTAAAAGTTATAACACAAAAACTAACAGTACTCGTACAGAGCTTAAACGAAAATGACACGGCTAGAACGTGCCATTTGTATCACAGGTGTAGGACAAACTAATCAATTATATCCTTCCTGACCAGCTGGTATGATGTGAAATAATACACAGTTCCAAGGAATGTGGAAGAGGTAAATGAGACAAAAAGAAAGAATGAGGCAATGCCCACATCATCTGAGATAGAATGCAGGCACATTTTAAGATGACTCAGATTTCATAGAAAGCTACAAACAAGCGGCTGAGCCAAAATCCTGAATATTCTGCCCAAGAAGTGGTATCAAAATCACAACTGTCTCGAAAAATATAAGCACTAATTACAGGAATATTTTAAAAGGCCCTAAAATGATAACCGATTGGGCTAGAAGTGAGAGTTACTGCTACATATATTCAGAAAAATTATGCCCTTCACCTAAGTATGTGCTTCTTCTGAGCTCACAGAAAGTTTGTCCAAGAGCAAGATATCTGATTTTAAACTCACAGCAGTGAACTTGAACTGGGCAACAGAGCACTTCTCATACTGGCCAGTAAGGTAACAGTGGCCACACCTCATACGTCATGAGATTTGAATCTTGCTATATCATCTGTTTCCATCAATAATTCAGCACTGTGGCAACCACCAATGCACTTATTAATTGTAGAAGTAAATTTGAGAACAAGGTGCCAAGAATATTTGGACCTAAGAACAAATAAAATAAAGCAGGATGATCAAATCAAGGATGAGGTTGAGAGGTATTTAGAATTCACAGCAGAGAAAAGAAGTGCATACAGAATGTTAGCTAAAATCTGAAGGTAAAGGACTACTTGAAAGAGCTAAACATAGATGAGAGGGAAACATTTACAGGGACCTTAAAAAACATGGCATGATAGTGTGGACAGGATAGGGTCCAGTGATAGGCTTTTGAACTCAGGTTCTCTACTAGCTGAGCTACTATCAGTTTCTCAAGAAAGACTCTATTCATTGAGTTTGTTTAGTTTTAATCCATTCTTAATAATCACATTATCCCATTATCTTTGACAAATCATGTTATGATTTGTCTAAAACATTTTGCAGTCTAGTAATATTCCTACAAACATATTTAGATTATAAAATAAAATGGCATTCTATCTTGTCCAAATTTCAAACGAAACTACATTTTATCAATAAATCTTGGTACAGATAAGACTTAGCACATTCAGTCACAGAGTGTTAGTCAGAGTGATGTCATCACAGATGCACATATGGGTGAACACCGCAGATATTATATCAAGTTCTAACACAATAAAAATGTAAAAAGTTATAATACCAAGTGTGAGAATATAGATTGTACATATTTTTATATACTCACTTTTAGACGTTTATTGACAGCAACTGCTTCCTCCACCTTTCGCTTCAGAACATTCTGCTGTTTTGTGTGAAGACGTTCCATACGTGCCATCTCATTTTGGCGCCGTCTGTCTTGAACACGCAATTTTATCAATTCTTTCTCTCTCTCCTGTTTCCATGAACGAAAACGCTCGTTTTCTGATCTCATCTGACGTATAAGTTTCACTTTTACCTGCTTCATGCCCTGAAAGTATAAATGTATCATACAGTTCTCTGCTCTAAATATTGTAACAGGATGCCTGAAGGGCATAATAGCAGAGCCAGAGGAGAGGGTTGTGGCTAGGTAATGGCACGGTAAACACATTCCTGTAGAAAAATACACCCACAGCAACAGAAGAACCACAGGAAGCTCGTTTTCTGTATGGTGTATGCTGAGACTATATAATGAGGTCCAGTGAGACAAGTGAGTTACTTGTGAGTCAGCAGTCACAGTTTGTGGTTGGCCATGAGCACAGAAGCAGGAGATTCTCCATTCTTCTAAGCCACTACCAAGCAATGAATGGTGAAGAACAACCTGAGAAGACTTAGTGTGTTACAGTGCTCTGCAAAGTGTGTCGATTAGCTAAAGTGTTATAATTATCTGTAGTTGTGAGTTGTGAGTGTTCAATAAATCAAATTATCAATGCAAACCCCATGTCTAATCACTAACACATGAAAATTGGTGTCAGGCCCTCCAGTCCAAAGTCACAAATGGACAGCCCTGCAGCCAGCAGAGTCTGGTGTCTTCAAGGATGCTAGCAGCGCAACAAACGAGCCTTGAGAAAAACTAAAAAGCCATTTGGGAGTAGGTAGAACAAGCCATGAACAAAAGATGAACAGAAATATATTTGGATATTGAACCTATTCCATACAATCAACTGGCAAATTACATGAACCTACTAGGAAGTGGGGTCTCTACAGTCTCAGCAGAGATGGATAGTCAGCAACGTATAGTGAATATGCACATGCCTCCAACTGGTGCATCCTACATGACGAGACCAAATGAAGAAACAAAACTGCAGCAAGGTGGCGCCTGGACCAGAATCTCCTTGATGATTTTGTCAGTTATGTTTAAAATCTCTGTATATCAGAACTGACTGAAACGCAGCAATGACGATTAAGAGGGCTGGTGTTTTTAAATTTCAAATTACGTGCAATGTGACAGCTACGTGAATGAAAATACACCTGATGATGGCCAGTTACAGCCAAAACATGTAGTGTAAAAGAAGAAAGACAAAGAACTACAAATAAATTGTTGAATTTACGATGGTATTTATATTATACATATAGTTCTATAGTGTTTGCCTGTCGACTTCTCCCTTCTTCCTTTCCACCCAGTCAATGCCCGGCAACCTGACAAAGGGCATCTGTAGGTATTTCATGTCTTAACATGTAAATTATTCTGCGACCCATTTCAGAAACCTTGACATATGCCTGTTGGAACTGGTAGTATGCAAACTAAGACCAGGCAGTATGAAAAAGTATACATCTTTGTGTACTGCCTGGTCTTTTTTAAGTGGTTTGTATCTTTGTATATATTACATTATTACTTACTGAAATTCAAATTTAAACAAAATTTTTTGCAAACATAAATTAATAAACTTCTCTGTTTCAACTTGTTTAACAGTAGGAGGTTTATAAATTATGTTATTAAATATGAAATTAATAAAAGTACCCCTCGTTGGTGTCTCCACCTTATCGTGGTGAGGGTGTTTGAGTATGCCAAGGACCCTGAGAGCTATACCAGCGGTAGCGTAGCTACTGGCAGGGCCTCCCTTGCTGGACAGGTCAAAGGGTAGGCATCAGACGAAGAGAGACACCGAAAACTGATGCCGGAAGCAGCGTCATCAGCGGCGACTTGAAGCACAGANGCGACTTGAAGCACAGAGAAAATGATGCTCGAGATGGTTCAAGTTCGTATAGCAACAGGCGTGACCAGAGTGGTTTGAACGGCTGTTGTACTGCGATGTGGAAAGCAAATGGAAAAACTACCACATTATCACTATTCCTGGATAGTCTCTTTCCAAAAACAGAAGATCGCATTAAGTGGAGAAACTGTTTTGGAAGAGGCTGTGGACCTGTCATCTGACAGATTACTGATGAATGAATGAATGAAAAGTATATGAATCATAATGGCTTCCTATCAGATAATCTTGTATATTCCTTTGTATTTACAATAAAATGTATAATTAACAAGTGCGTTATTTGTTCTGATAAGAGCTGTATATGTCTCTGATTTTGAATTTCTAACATTTTCTCAAAGTAGTGGGTTATTTCTAAACAAACCTGAATTTCACCATTAAGCTGAGTGATTCGCTCATCATTTTTCTCCTTCATTTTGATTATTTTCCCCTGCTCAGCTATTTTCTTGCTGAGTGCAGAAATCTTTTGCTCCAATTCCTGAAGTCGTTTCCTTCTCTGTTCAGATATCCTACCAAATAATTCAACACATGTCAAGTTAGTTAGGTGTTAGTTTTATACACTTCATGCAAAGAATTCATAAAAAGTATATTATTTTTAGAGATATCTTAAATATTAACATTTTATAAAGCAGAGCTGAATAATCAGTATTTCCAAAATTTAAACATTAGTAACAAAGTCTAACAGAAAACTCACTTGTTTGAACTGTTGTTCTGTACATTCTGAAGAACATGCATCAATTCATCCTTTTCTTTTTGTAAATCAGAAATCTGTTGCTGCAAGTCTTTCATGCTGTTCTCATAGTCAGTACGTATTGTAGACATGTGGTTCATACTGGCCATCAATTTTGATGCTAATTCTTCCTTTAATGCCAATTTCTTATTCAACTCCTGCAAACAAATGTATTACAGCCAGTATTAATCACCAATGAGAAAACTGGGTCTGTTAGAAACAAGAAAATGTGGGTTTCAAGGTTTGAAATTGCAAAAGATGATGGTAGATTCCATCCCACTTCAGGAGAATCCAAAACCATCACCCTTCATGCCAAAATTTTATTTTTAATTCTCAATTCTCCTTACTTACAAATGAAGATCTCACATAATGCAGACACCACATTAACAAGCTTCACACAATATTAATCTAAGTACCACTTGGTCCATGCTTTCATGTAATTTTAATACAAAGCTTTGACCACACGGTGCCATCATCAGATATATATGATGATCTGCATTTATACTTTATTGTGTTTATGTACAGTATGGGCCAAAAACCACAGTACTGAAACTCGTGCATCTTGAAAGCACATGCGTGTTTGTCGATGGGGCATAGCTCCAGCTGCATGTGTTCCCAGTAGTGGAAAGGAAGTTGTGTTGTGCAGCTGTTGTTGGAAATGGGTCTCTCAACGGAGCAAAAAGTATTCATACTTGAGCATTATTTCCGCTTATACGCAACTGGTTGCCAGACAACTCGCTTCCTTGGTTTTGAGCGGCCAGATGTTATTGTCCAGAAACCGCTACATAGTACAGTGTGACGATATGGTGTGCCGTCTCAGCACACGGTATATTAGGCCCCTATTTTCATCGAGGATGAGGAAGGCAATGTTCTTACTGTCACCCAAGAACGCTACAGGGACATGGTGATCAGACCATTTCTTCATGATTTGGGAAGGTTCTGTCATGCAAGGGGCCTTCACATGAATGGACAGTGGTATCAATAGGACGTCTTTTCATTTCAGTACTGTATTTTGGTGCATACTGTATATATCAAGTGATCAACTAATGCAATGGGACCCACTGTCCTGGTCAAATTCCCATAACATTAATGTTAAACAACAGATTTCAAGTTTTCCCCAAATTTTTCACTTCATATTTCTAGTCCTGACCATCAAAATTTACCCGATATTATGTTTTGTGGTTCAGTTCTCAAGAGTTTCGTATTCAAGGCAGCTGATTTCCTTTCCTGTTAACAAGCAGTCCCAAATGGTTCAATCTGAAAATATATACAGCCTGATGCACAGATGTGATTCGCATGCACCATGTGTCTTCACATCTCTTTTACATATATAATCAAAATTTCAGAGCACATCCATCTATGCTACAGTTTCTGCTTAGAATCTCTATTGTAACTGTAAAACAAACCTCTGCTTTACATAAATGGAAAGCAAGGCATTGATTCAGAAGTGTACAATATGCGAGTAGAATACAAAAGAAGGGTAGGGGAAGAAAATGCAAACAGGAACCTACTCAAATATACAATCTCTCCGAAAACCATAGTTTGTTTTCCACTACTCCATATACCTGCAGTTCTTTTGTACGCTCTGCCTGTTGCAGAGTGTGAGATTGGTGGCACTCATCAATCTCAAGATGTGTCTCAGGCAGGTTTTCATATAAATCACCATCTTCATTCTGCTCTGGCTCTGCTTGTTTATGTGAAAGACCACTCGAGAGTTCGTGATTCAAGATCTCGTCACTGCTACGCTTCTGCTCAGCCTGCATATTCAAGAAAAATGTACCAGAAACAGTCATTATTTGCAAACCGGCCTCCGTAGTCTAGGGGTAACGTTCCCACCTCATGACTCAAGGTACATGGGTTCAAACCCAGCGGAGGTCGTGGAATTTTTAAGGGTGGGAAAATTCAGGGAACAAGTCCTCTGGGAGGGACTTTAAGCCGTGGGTCCCGTATCGTAGATTTACGGCACATAAAAGATCCTCATGTCTCTAGGAGACCTCTGAGCAAAATTAGGCAACAATTTCCCGCCCAAGTAGTTTCCAATGCCTCTGGTAGATGGGGGAAATATCAGGTACCAACAGCCGACCTCGTTGGCTGAACGGGGCTGATAGCACGCATCAGTACCGGTAGGGTATGGCGATAGTAGAAATTAAAGGGGGACACACAATGGACCAATAACTGGTCTAAGTGCATGGGGAAACCCACCCCCTCAATAATAATAATAATAATAATAATAATAATATTATATGCAATACATAAAATTGCAATTTAAAATAAAACAAATGGGTATATATTAAATAATATAAGGCTTCCCTCAGAATATTACATGAACTTCAGAACAATGCATATTCTTCAGTTCATCAAAGTTTTCATGAACCAATGCATAGAGAATGAAGTCTGTTTCTCCTAACCAGCAAAATCCCTGATACTAGAACTAAAAGCAGCAGGACTGCCAAGAACAAATCACCCATTTATTTTAATTATGAGTGTTTAATCCATTCATATACCCACAAAGACTTTACTCCAAGACTCATTTTAATATCATCTTCTCTTCCTTTCACCATCCAAAATGTTGCATGTATTTCTTGTTTCTCCTACCCATTTAATTATTTTTGTTTTAAAATCCCAACAGCAATAGAAGGATTTAAATCACAACATTCCTCGTTATCTAATATCTTTAATTTCCCCACATAACTGAAGTTTCTCAGTTCAAAATATTTTCTTTGGCACTTCATTTTCACATACTTCCTTCATTACCTTTCTTCAGAGTGACAGACTGTGGCTCAAGAATGTATAAACAAAGGGGCAAAACAAATATGCAGTATTCCATATTTTTGCACTTTTAAATGCATATGTAAACTGGGTGGTCCATGACATTAGTGATGTCAGGCACTGATTAATGATGTGAATGCTCAAAGCAAAATGAACTGCTTGCTGATTACAAAATGGAGGGTGGTTACTCCATTCCATTTTTAATGGTGACAGATATAAATGTTGTGTTTTGATGAATGCTGTATTTTAGCCTTCAATTTATTCCTACAAAACTTAGGTTTCTGATAAAACAGCAGTGAAACAGCCTACAAAACAAAATATAAATTAAAAAGTTCAGAAAAGAATGTATAAGAGTCTATATGGACAAGCTAGCAAAAAACTATACATTAATAGCAATACGGTCTTTTGGGTTGTAAAACTGTAGTTCGGGGACAGCCCGATGTCTTGTAGGAACATACTGCATCCATCTTCAGGCTCAAAGGGCAGCCAACCAAGATACTTGAAGAAGCAGATGGCAAGTTCTCCAAACTACACAGAGTTACAACCCAGAAGACCACACTCTTCATAGCCACTGCCATCAGAATCTCAGCTCAATATACATTAATATTATACTACAGTGACTGCTGGCTCTCTCTCTCTCTCTCAAAAAAAAACACTGACAAAATGTTTTGTACTTTCACTTATGTCATATAATTCTATAGTTATACCAAGTTTCAACCAAATAAAAAATTCAGCTGCCACAGACATCTTGCAAGGTTTGTTGAAGGTTTGTTGATTTGGTATGGAATACCTGCTTTTTCAAATGTTATTAGAAAGAGGGGGCAAGATATCACAAGGCCATTTCTCCTTATAAAATTAAGTAGATTACAATTCAGGTTGTGTGTATAACTAGCAAAAATAAATGAATATTATGTACCTGTAATTCCTGTATTTTTAACTGCAGATCACGTAAACTCTTCAACTGTTCTAGAAATGTTGCTGGACAATTTTCTTGCTCCACTGTCTGACTTAAGCTATCCATGGCTTGACCATATTCTGCTTGCAATTCACAAAGCTTCAATTTCATTCGATCTCTTGCAACTTCTGCCAGAAGAGCACGTTCAAACAGATTGGTACTTGCACTTAAAGCATCATTTAGCTCTTCAGTAAGCATACGGTTCCTAGTAACAAGATTTGTTATATCTTCTTCAAGATGTTTGTGATGTGCTGGGCATCCTCCACTTCCAGTTTTGGCTAAAAGTTCTAAGCGGAGTTCCTGGTTATGCTGTTTCAATCTGGCAATTTCTGTGGATCGGGGATCCTGGTTCACAATTGGTTTGTTCTTAATTCTTTTGGCTCGGTCAGCATAACGCAATGTACTGAGAGTTTCTTCTAAATTATAATCCGCTGGACTAGCACATGCTATCATTAATGTAAATGAGTTACCACCAAGAGAATCTGAAAGAATACAACACTTGAATTATGCACCATGAAATACAATAACCCTCTTTATGAGACCCAGATATAATGAAAAAAATCTGGCTGTGTACAATTGTGAATTTTTAGGCACTAAGGTTTTATATTTAGAAAACCATTTAAAATAAAAAATAATATAAAAAAAACTTTACGTAATCAAACTGTGTTTCTATGTTTATTGCATACATTGGCTACGTATCCTGTGAATTCCTTCAGTTGGTTATAGTGGACAACAGTGATAACAGACACCTTGTTCCCATTATTAGTCCAATGATCAAGTGACAGTGAAGAAGCCTTGGGCCATAGTGTCTTTAAGAAGCACAAACATTTTGCACAGGGAAGAAACAGTTTGGAAGATGATATGCATACTGGTTGGCCAAGAATGGTCAGAATTAAACTATCCAAGATCCAAGAAGTTGCAATGTTGGTAGATGCCAACCACTCCCAAACAGTAGGTGAAATCGCTGCAGCAGCAGCAGGGATTAGCCATGGCACTTCCCATAAAATTCTGTCTGATGACCTGAACATGTCTCGTGTTACCCAGTGTTCCACATGTCCTGACACAAGACCAATGTGACGATCACGTGAGCATTTGCAGTGACCTGATCGATAGCGCTGACTATGATAGGACATTTCTCAACCGGGATCATAACAGGAGACAAACAATGACTGTTTTGTGGAAGGATGTGGATATGTATAAGCTTATGGAAGTATCTTGTAATATGGTGCAACAAAAAAAAAGTCCTCAAAATTATTGTCTGTAGTAGTATTATGCTGGCTAATTATGCCAAACACAAATATCAGGGGTAAGGTAAAAGGTAAAGATGTCCCTGTGCTTAACTAATTAAGCACTATGTCATGAAGGTGTACGGGGAAGTGGACGTATAGATCCACATTTTCTTGAACTCGGCACTAGATGGAGATGAGTAAAACATGATAGAAATGATTGGCAGGGGAAACTGAAGAGTGAACCCATGCCTCTATAGTTCACCTACCAGCATCTAATTATATCAGCCATCGCAGTCTTGTTAAACATGGTGTGTCTGTGTTTGTGTCTGCCTGGCTGTGTGTACTAATCTGTTTATGTTTGCCTGTCTGTCTATCTCTGTGTGTAATAACTGGTTTATATCTGCCTGCCTCTCTGTGCCTGTGTATACTAATCACATATAACAAGACTGGCTGATTTGGTAAATGCAGTGTATTATACAGTACAGTGGCAAAAGAGTTCTTAGCTCAAGTCCCATGGTATTTTCAGATACTGTGAAGAGGATGGAAGGTTCTGCATAAGCAAATTCAGCACTAGCCAATTACTGAATACATACACACAACACCTTCAGAATATCCTGGGAAAGGAACCATATCTCAGAAGTGGCAGCATCAGGAAACCTTTACTTGTACTTGTCTTAAAAATACAATATGTTAAATACCAATTTTTTGCATCAGCCAAGGTGGCCGAGGCAGTAGATTAAGAATCTGAAGTTTGAGGGCTCCAACCTTGGCACATCATTCAAGTCATAAATATCATTTTAAGTCATATTTTCTTAATGTTCTAGAAATTTTCAGGTATTTCAAGACCATTCCAGAGTCTTCAGGAAAGTTCTAGTCTCAGAAACTTCGAACTACACTTCCTGCCTATTTCGGTGTTAATTTCTACCCAACTCTCATATGAAAGGGGACTGTTTGCATAAGGTCCGAACTCACTTCAATGTAATCTCCCCTAATCAACAGCAGAATGACACCAAATGGCAGGAAGCGAGTCTTATTGTAAATAAATAAATTGTATTAATGTACAAACACTTGTAAATAGCTTTTAGCCTGCAAATGGGAAAAACTACAGCAAAATCAAAGACAATACTGGGAAAGATGATACGTGTGACTTCAAAATATGAACTATTAATCTAATGGAATCATTAACAAGGGTGACAGTTTATAAACATACAAGTGAATTAATAAATTAACACAGTGTGCTATAAACAGAAGGAAGCTGTGAATATATTGAATAAGCGGTCACGGACAGCCAACAAGGGGTGGTCCTCCAACTGGGGGGTTGGGCATGGGGCTAACAACTCCTCACTGTAAAAAGTAATCTTGTTACGAATACGTACACAAAGCCTCAGACCTGGGCGGATCCTCTGGATAAACGACCTAAGCTAAAGAAAATGGACATGAGATTTGGAACTTGGAATGTTTGAAATATGTAGAGGGCAGGTTCGCTCAGGGCAGTGGCAGAAAAATCTCCAAATATAAGCTAGATTTAGTGGGAGTACAGGAGGTCAGATGGGATGGAGGTGGCACCAAACCAGCTGGTGAATACACATTTTTCTATGTAAAGGGAAATGAAAATCATGAATTAGGTACAGGTTTTTTCATACATAAGAGAATCATATCAGCAGTTAACAGGGCAGAAATTGTTAGTACTAGGATATCACATATAATACTAAAAGGTCGCTGGTGTGATGTCATCATTAAGAATGTTCACACCCCACCAGTGGATAAAATTCACAATAAGAACAGGTTCTATGAAGAACTAGAACATGTATTTGTTAAATTCCCGAAGTACAATATGAAAATTTTGTTAGGATACTTTATGTCTGATCATTCAGGGTTGCAGATTGTGATACTGACTACTAGCTGAAAGTGGCAAAGTGTAGGGAAAAAATGGCAGTGAGCAAACAAACAACAAACAGAGTTCATATGGAAAGGTTCTATCTCAAGAAATTAAATGAGGTAGATGGTAAAGAGCAGTATCGTGTTGAAATCTCTAATAAGTTCATGGCTTTGAAAAGCTTGCACAATGAGGTGGATGTTAATAAAGCTTGGGAAACTATTAGAGAAAATACAAACATTTCTGCCAAGAAGAGTCTAGGTTATTATGAACTGAAGAAGCATAAGCCATGGTTTGATGGAGGATGCTCAAAATTATTAGACCAAACAAAACAAGCAAAATTGCAATGGTTACAGGATACAAGCAAAATAAATGGGGATAATAAGAACAATAATAGATGTGAAATCAGCAGCCATTTCAGGAATAAAGAGGGAATATCTGAAAGAAAAAATTGATGAACTTGCAATGAACAATAAGAACAAGAACATCAGAGACATGTATAGAGGAATAAATGACTTTAAGAAGGGTTACCAACCAAGAAGTAACTTAGTGAAGGATTAAAATGGTGATCTGCTTGCAGATTCTGACAATATTTTGACTAGGCGAAAGAACTACTTCTCTCAGTTATTGAATGTACATAGGGTTAGTGAAGTTAGGCAGAGAGAAATACATACAGCTGAGCCGTTAGTACCTCATCCTAGCCATTTTGATGTTGAAAGTGCTATTGCAAAATTGAAAAGGTATAAATCGCCAGGTAGTGATCAAATTCCCATAGAACTTATTCAAGCAGGAGGCAAAATATTACGTTCTAAGATCCATATGCTAATTACTTATTTTTGGCATAAGGAAAAATTGCGTGATCAGTGGAAGGAGCCTCTTACTGTACCAGTTCACAAGGGTGATAAAACTGACTGTATTAATTATCGGGCGATATCACTCTATCCACTTCATACAAAACTGTATCCAATATTCTTCTCTCAAGGTTAAGTCCATACATAGATGAAATTATTGGGGATCATGAGTGTGGGTTTCAACATAAAAGATCAAGTACTGACCAGATCTTTTGCATTCGTCAGATACGTCGGTTAACACAATANTTTTTGGTCTATCTTTATTGTGACTGGGGTTGGTTGTCTCGAAATTTTCATTACTTTTGTTTTCTCCACATTCATTTCCATGCCATAGCACCTTCCAATTTCAATTAGTCTATCAATCATGCCCTGTCTAGGTAAGTATAAACCATAACATGACAATTCAGCAGTAACATTTCTATACAGTGTATCACCTGATGATGATGATGACCTGTGAGGTCAAAACACATAGTGGTTTCCAATAAAAACACTAGTCATCACTGAAGTTGTAAAGAGTTATGAAAGTAAACTGATAGCAATAACTTAATAAATAATGTCTGCAATTACTAAACACAAGAGTATGCAGAATTTAACGTTTATTAATGGTCCTCCATCTGTGGAAAGGGGTAAATATCACATGGTGATGGAATAAGGAGTAGAGTGGGAAGGAAGCACCACTATATTAAGCTTTGTGACAGGCTGCTACAGATGTGCCAGGGCATTTGACATGAAAGACAACCAGGTCTCTGACTGCATACATTTTAGGATTGTCTAGAAGAACTGGCTCTTGCAGAAGGGTTCCTGGTACCTTTCCTTGTTGAATGTAGCACCTTTAGAAATAGACTCAATATATACAATGCCTTATCAATCAAAAGGTTTTGATAATTTCCATAACCATTACTGTTTACTTTATGACCTCATCCTTCACTCCAAAAATAAAATTTAAGAAACAGATTTTTATAATAACTGTTTAATGTATTGTATGTCATAGATTTTCTTTATATTAAATATATATGTTCCTAAATGAAATCTGGAATTGTAATATTCATGGAACATATTAATGCTGACACTGATTCGTAGCTTGTCAGTTAGCTTGGCTAATGCTATGCTACTGTTGAAATAATATTGGTTTACAAATGTCTTTTGTTTCTGCGTTTGTCAGCAGATGCGAATGGGGCATACAGTAGCATAGTTGGTTGAGGGACTACGCCACAAACCAGAAGGTCGCACGGTCAATTCCCGATGAAGTCACTGGATTTTTCTTATGTAATCCTTCCAGCCACTATGGCCCTGGGGTCAACTCAGCCTCTAACAGAAAAGAGTACCAGGAATCTTCCTGGGGTGTAAAGGGCGGCCAGCACGTAAGGCTGACAACCTCACCACCATCTGTGAGCCGACTGTCTAGAAAATGTTGGAGCCTCGACGTCTCACAACCACATTGGCCTCCACAGCCTGTTACAGGGATAGCTTTACCTTACCTTAGCTTTTACATGAAACACAAGGTTCTGTCACACATAACAATTTTCAGAGAATGTGAGGATCAGTACTTGCTTCACTGAAGAACTAGTCACTAATCCTTATGCAATCTTCACATTGCCCTTACATCAGTATTCTCGGTACAATGTGATTGCCAACATGAGTTTTCATATCCTAAATGAGAGTGGTGTAGCAGCTACCATCTGAAATTATAACTTTCCTCCAACTGTTTGCACTATCTGACAATGATCAGAGAGAACAATCTCCTACACCTGTCTCACACAGTCCCTGGTCTGCAGTGTTGCATGTCATCCATATTTCAGAAATTCATGACCATCCTTGAACACGTGACACCATGTAGAAACCTTGGAGGAGGGCATTATTTGTTTCTTGTAGACTACCCCACCATTCTAGAGCATACTTGTTGCTGCTGCAAATTTGCTTTCACAGTAACTGATGGCAATTTATATTAGTCTGCTTTTAATTTCCCATTTCTAAGTCTTCTGCGTTCTGCATTCTCTGGGACATATCATGTTCACCTGTGAACATGCAGGAGGGGCTTGAAGCTGACCACTCACTTCCATGTAGTGCCAAGGTTAAGAATGGTGGAGCTATATGGCCACTCCCCATGTGTCTTCATGATGTTGTGCTTAATAATTAAATCCAGGGATAACTGTACCTTTCTCCGTAGCATTTGCTATCCAGACATTTACTATTATACAATGGACAACCACACAAATGAAATTTTTAGCATTTCAATTAATTGTAGCCAAGGCCTCAAAGAACTTAACACTTCGCGCGCACATTAATACGTTTTTCGCTTTTAAACATGGCGGACCAGTTGTGTATTAATACGTTTTTAGAACACGATAAGTTGCAACACACTATACATCACTCTGACGCCACCTACATTGCACGCAACCGCCTGCAGATGTGTGATAAGACTCTGGAATGTTTAGTTAGCAGTCAGTAATTTGACCTCAATGTTTACTTAACCGACTATAAAGGAAAATGCTTTGCCTTCTTCAAGCTGTGTGTATCAGCCAGTAGCTATTGGGGAGAATGGATCAAGGACAAATTCTCCTCCGATGACCTAGCTGACCTGCCTTGTGAGATGCGTAGTAATGAATTGTCATTCAGACAGTGACAGTGATGGGGGACAACAAAGAATTGTGGCCAGAGACAGTAAAAGTGACAGTAGCTCCAACGATAATGTGGGTAATAACATTGCGCGTAGTAATATTGCAAGGACAGGAAAAAATCTAAAAAAAATCTAAACTCTGATTCAAAATTGAAATACAAACCATTTTTGATGAATGTGACAAAGGCCTGGGCTACAGTCCAGATGGTGGCGGCAGAACCAGGGTCACACAAATACTTAATACGACCGAGCCCATCAACTCCCACCCCACGAAGACCTCATGTGGACCACCCAGGGTGACTCTTGAGTGAAAATTGTGAAGAGTGAACATTCCAAGGGGAAGAATACTTCTAGGCAATGCTATGTTTGCAGAGTTCACAAAAAAAGGAGTATGTCTACATTTGCAAGTTCTGTGTAATGCCACTTCACAAAGGGGAATGTTTCCAGAAATATCACATGCTCAAACACTTCTAGGAGCACTGGTAAGTGTTCTCCAAAAATTTTAGTTCAAAAAATTAATTAGGGGCTTTTATATTAATTTTTAAAGTGAACAGTGCACAAGTTAGGGTAGTATGTTATGCCGGTCCCCAGGGTGATTTAAATATTTAAATTGCCGGTCTGTGATGTATTAAGTACAAATGTTCATAATGCTTTAGATAGCATCAGAGAACTTCAAGAATTTTCACATCACAACATTTCCAGACTTTTTAATACAATTTGAAGGGATAAAATTTTGATTGAAAATCAAGCCTGTTAGCCAGCAATGTGCATGCAGAAAACATCACTGTTGTACTGGAAACAATAAATAATATACAGGGTGTCCCAGGAGGAATGTGCCAAACTTCGGGAGGGTGTTCCTTATGTTAAAGTATGCCGATATAACCCAAAACACCTATGTCCAAAGTTGAACGGTTACGGAGATAATGGCCAGAGAAGTGTCAAACTTTGACCNAAAAAAAAAAAAAAAAATTAATTTCAAATACCTGTACAAAGTGAAACCTGGTTGCAATGGAACAGAAGAATCTGGTCCTGTGCACTTCTGTTTCATACAGGTTTTACCATACCAAGAACTGTAATGTGGTGTGAGCTAAACCAATCAGTCTGTCATCCTTCAGCCACAATATTATCTGTTTTCTTCTAGCAACTTCTACACTTACATATACATACCATAAATTAAGTGTATTCTGGCAGTTTTAAGGTTATAGTTATGTGTCAGTGTGTTTTAAAAAATGAAAGATCAATGACTCTTGCATCAGATTTTGCACAGATGACCAACAGAGCTACAGCCAATTTTTAACAGAAAATACTTTAAGAGGGCTGAAATAGTAGGCCTGTGGAAGGTGTTAAGTCAAAAGAACTGTTTACTTTTAGCATTAATATTACGTGTGAGTAAAATTCATGCAGAAGTTCTTATAACATTACAGTCTTAGCATGACAAACCATCATTTACCCACCAACATTTCTGAATCCTAGAATAGTGGTTTGCATATTAAGAGCACTATTCAGAGTTCCAGGTTCAAATCTTTGTTAAGATGCTTACCTTGCAACAATCGAGTAAGTTTGCTGTCTCGGTAAGAGATGTAACACTTTTGGTGACCCTCTTCACCTAATGCTGAAATCACATTTCCTAGAGCAAGGAGACCTCTATTTATATGTACCCCTTCTTTGAACCTCTCTCCCGTTGTTTTAGTCTTTTTTGATCTTTCAGATCCTGCTAGATCCACAAGATGGAACTTTGCAATCATAGACGAGTTCCTGCATATAAAATGATCATTATTCATTACTAATATTGACACTCTTTTTGCCAACATTGCCATTACTGACAGTACATACAGCAAAACATCAATTTTACACTTTCTAAGACAGACTAAAACAGATGTAATACTGAGGATAGTATAATATCAGGGAAATACACATGTTAAAACCTAAAGAACAATGTGGTCTTCTTTACATGACAACTTTGGAAAATGATTTCAAATATACATGTTCAAAAACTAAAAATCTAAATTTATCCTTGTGCTCAATGAAGGCATATGAGGGAGTGGATGTAAGGATCCACATTTTCTTGACCTTGGCACTAGATGGTGAGTGGTCAGCTTCACGCCCTGGGGTAAGAGCCCCTGGTGCCCACTGGATAGGAGGTTGGGTGGACCCCAGAGCCAGTCTGGATGATTTGGAGAAGAGTAAATTCTTGACCCTCCTGGGACTCGAACTCTGACCCCTGTCATCCAGCCCATAGCCAGTCACTATACTGACTGTGCTAACAATGTAAATATAAATGTAAATGAAAACATGGTTCTTGGTTTATCCTACAATGCTTTATCAACTGCTGTGTTTACATAACATCAGTAAGATGCAATTGTGATAACTGATGAATGGAAAGATGTTGAAGGAAGCGGTCATGACCTATTTCAAGGCACCATCCCAGCATTTTCCCAGAATGAATGTAAATATCTAATTAGAGAGAAGCCACTGAGCAGGAAACAAGAGAAATGCTACAGCTTGCATGGCAAGAAGTGGAATATAGATTGGCCATGAATCGTGAAGATGCAGAAACATACTAATTATGTTCAGGATTATTTTGGGTACATTTTAAAATAAAATATTCATTTCTCAAATGTTTCTCATTTTTTAATACTGGTTCTCAAAGCCACGCATTTATTTTTTGGACTCGTATAAAATAAGCGTTGAAATTGGACAATATGGCTAAAAATGAAAATCAACAACTAATGTTACGTAAGGAAATCACACACTAAATATTACCAAAATGTAATTTATGAAGCAGATTAAAAAGTCAGTTTCTGGTCTTCAGGCATCATGAACTTTGTCACAAGTCAATACAACTAAAATAAGATCTGTCTGTCAGCAATCTGTGAAATGTTTTGCAGGGTAAACGCAAAATCTGTGCGTGGCCACATGTACATTGCACTTTGTAACAGATCAATGTGGCTAAAAATCAATATGGTTGATTAACACAAAATAAATCTATCATACCAAATTTCACAAATATTTAATTAACATATGATATAGCACATGGTAAGTCCATTTATACTGTAACGTTAATGGCGCAACAGGAAGTAGGGGTCATGTGAACCCTGAGTTTCTGCACGTGACATCACATACCCCCACTCCTTTTATCACTACGCAACGCTCGGTAAACACCCCTCCCCGCTAAGCTGTGACGTCATGCATCAGTCTGTGCGGAGACCATTGCTAGGCAATCAGCAGCGTTGCCCAGCAACGCCTCTGTAAACACGGCGATTACAAAACAGTGAAGCGAGTTGTGTTTTTCTCTGTCCAACTGAGGGTTTATAAGAGTAACTGGAATGCCTAAGGAGTTCAGTTGCAGTCTAGCATTCGCCAAAGTTAGCTGAGCATTAGCTGTCGGTTTCCAGCCTTCAGAGAAAGAGAGTATTCAGTATGAGTTGGAGTCCAGCAGCTACGAGTTGAATTGTGTAGAGTGAATGGAAGTGACTAAAGCAGGCGAAGTAATTGAGATACTGCAAATGGCAGCAATTGTGAAATTGTGAATTGTGTGTCAGAGCGAGTGTTCAATAAATTCGCTAGATCCAAAATGGTATGAAGTTCTTTGCCACGTCAAATAGCACACACGTTACAATATCCTTATGTTATGCAGGATTTGGTACCACAATGTGCATGAAAAAAGAATTGCCTGACAACCTTTATTCAAAGTCTCCCATACTGAATTCTAAAGAAAACTGCCCAACAGTTCAGGTTCTGATACTAGGTCACAGATGGACAGACATCACATCCACACCAGACATTCTTTTTTACTCTGTAAAGAATGCCTAACAAGAAGCCCATTATTAGTACGTTGTTCACAGCATTGTCAGCTGGAGAATGTTGAATGTGGGGCAAATGTGTTGAAACAGTAAGAGCATTAACAATTGTTTAATGTCACAGCTTTTACTCACTCTCTCACACAGAAAGGCCAAGAAAAGTTTATAGTTGCTTAGCTGGTCAAGAAATCTCTTGCTTTTATGGAATGCACTGGCTCATTACTGCATTCACAAACATCTGCAACTTAACTGTGTTCTGAGTCATGTTTAACTTATGTTTTTAAGTTGCAAACATAAAAACACAATTTTCATACATAATCTACACTGGATAGAGTTGTTTTCTGACTTCTGCTGCAATAATGGGAGTCCATTAGATCAGATGATCTACCAGAGACATGTGGGCAGATTCCTTGTATTTCCTGTATGTGGTGTTTTGTTAAATCTGCATGACTTTCGATTTTTTCCAACATATTCTGTGGCCTTCTTTGAATGCATATTGGGTTAATTTATATTTTTTTTTCAAGCAGACCTTGGGTCAGGTTATATTTGTGCTCCATAATGTGTACTTCTACTCATTATTTCCTCTCTGCAAGCAAGTTTAGACATCTTGTAGGTTTCTGTAGTGGTCTTAAGCAGAATTTGATGCACATGTGCAGTTCTCTGAAATCTACCATTTTCTCATAAAGCATATATTGCAGAAGGCATAACATACCTCAGTTCACAAGGCATTACTTCTGAGTGCTACTGATTTCAAAAGAAATGCCAATGACTAGACTACCTCTACTAAGTAGAGTTTTCTGTAACTGCAGTAGCGTCATACTACAACCAGTCCAGAAATTAATTCATCAGACCAAGTACATATCACAGTCATTAAGAAAAACTAGTTCCATAAAGTAGTAACATTCTCATATTACTATAAACCATCTCCTATCTTATGAAGCTTGACTTCCAAGTACACATCAACCACAACAGCAGGCAGGAGGGCAGCACTCAGCTAAGGACCTGAATTGTTGCTCAGCAGTGGTAGAAGACCCCTCTGCCCTCAGCAATTCAGTTGTGCCGTGGTGTCATGTTTTATTGTTTAGCCAAAAAAAAAAAGGTTTGAAAAACACTAAACAGACAGTAGATAAACAAGATAGGAGAATCATATTTATTCCATTTCACCAATTATTTTAGAAATTAATATGATATTGTAAGATTTGAGGTTTTCATGGACTATATTCAACTGTATCAGCAGAGTGCTGTCCTGGCACAACATCAAATCAGTGGGCCTGCCGCCAAAGAAATTATCTAGTTTCCTCTGGCCGGTCAAAGATAACCTGGGACTAAGGACATTGGGTGTATACAGTATCCCATGCGAGTGCGGCAAGGTCTATATTGAGCAGATGGACCGTTCTGTGGACACAAGGTTGAACGAGCATCAGTGGCACATCCATCTCGAACATCTGGACAAGTCAGCTGTGGCTGAACACAGCATCGATTTTGGACACCACGTTCAGCTTCAGAATACCTCCATCCTCACCACCAAGACCCGTTATATGGATCGCATCATTAGGGAGGCCATTGAGATTGAACTCCATCACAACAATATGAATAGAGAGGTGGGGTTTTGTCTCAGCAAGTCATGGAAGTCTCTCATCTGTTCCCTCAAGAAACCTCCAGGAGTTGACGTCAGGTCCGCAAGGCCATGTAGGTCCATGCCTGACTCGCTTTGCACCCTCGAGCTTCAGGGTTAATGCCCTCCATTTAACCCCCCCCCCCGACCCATACTCTTTACCTGCTCTGGCCTGCTTCCTACTGGCCTACCTAACCAGACCCTTCCCCTCACCCCTCTCTACCAATTCCCCATGTAGCCCCTCTCACTTCCCTTCCTGCTCTTATACAGCTGGGTTTATTCGACTGGATTAAATCTGTTGCACCTGCTCACGCTGGTTCGCTTGAAGATTTCTTTGTCTTCTACACTGAAGATGGAGGCGATATGTTCCTCCAAAACATTGGTTAACACAATATCTACACGGCGCCACATCCCAGAAGACTGCTTTCTTAATATGATATTGTTGTTTGAACAGTTATATTAATTTATGCAGAAAGAGTTTCAACCACTTATATAAAAAAACTGAGAGTGTGGCATCATCAGATAATGATGCAGATCACCATGCCATCATTAAAGAGATGCTAGATCATATTTTCAACATCCAGTGGGAACAAAAATAACCATACTGGAAATGTTGAACATACAGAACTTTCCTTCTGTAAGGTTGCCTACTCAAGTTATAGCAAACCCTGAAAGATGTTTTGGACATAGTGTATTTTATCAAAATGTTTTAAAACAGTTCATTCACATAAGTTTGCATAACCCCACTGCATTAAAACCTGGATTTAGTGAAAGAAAACTCATTCTGCCCAAAGATTCATTACTTAGAAATTTCTCTGCATTTCTGTAAACCTCGCTAAAGTCATTAATTGCAGGGACTTGTAGGTTTAAAAGCTACACTATGATTTCCAGTATTTTAAAAATATCTGATTTCAGATTTGCCTCCTTCACTTCAACAGACAGTGAAATATAAAACACTCATACAGCCCAAATAAAATGACGTTCTACTTATATGCCTCCATGATATAGCTTCAGTGTCCTCATTAACTGTCATTTCCAGAGTTGTCAAATATGACACGAAGTATCATGCATTAAACCAAAATGAAGCCTTTTTTGTAATATGGGGTTGGCGTTAGAAAAGACTGGAGATGTTAAAAATTAATATAAATATAATACCATGAAGAGCTCTTGAATTACAGTTGAAAAGAAAAAGAAAGGATGGTTCAGACTGAGATGACTTCTGTCAACTACTGATAGTATTAAAAATACAGGAAATACATGGACTTGGGCAAAAGATGAAAAAATAAAGAATGACATTACATTCACTGACTCATCATGTAGTGGAAATAATGACAGAAGAAAATATCTAAGACATATGGTTTTACTCAGTTCAGCTCTTATACTCACTCAATGTCTGGATTCTGCTGTTGTATAGTAACTGTGAAAATGGCATGGCTGCGACTAGACTGTTCATTCATGGCAGTTGCCCCAGTTGCTCTGCAAGCTGAACCCTGAGGAAGTATTATAATTTAATTACTTCCCCTAGAATTTGTATCATAACTGCACACACATCTCTATGCGTCAATAACATATTACACATGTTATTCCATTCACACAAGGTCCTGTGGTGTGAGCTTGTGTGAATATGATAATGAACATTTAGGTTCATAAAAGATGGGGAATTTTTTTACCTGAATGCGACTGGTTTCGCAAGAAGAACTGTTACATGGAGTGATTGCTATGTAAAACTTTTATGCATGATTCTAGCCCACCAAGCACAAGTTGACATGTGTAAATAAGTTTTGGAAGCATTATGATTACAGTTCAGCTCTATAATCCAGCTGTGCTCTAGTCCAACATGTCCAGTAATCTGGCATCAGGCACAAGGCAGGCGTCTGTGACTTTGCGCAAGTTTCCACAGGCAGCAAAGGCTGATGTGTGTACAGTCAAGCTTCACAAACTGATTTCTTTAGATCCTCATTAGTACAGTGTTTCAGTTCTTCAATACTATACATTTCTGTACAGTAATGTGTGCTGAAGATATCCAGTTCTGACAAACATAAATATTAAATGTAAGATTTGAGGTTTTCACGGCGGTGACTATGAAGAAAGCAGTCCTCTGGGCTGTAGCATGGTGTAGATGTGGTGTTAACCGACGTTTCGGAGGAACGTATTGCCTCCATCTTCAGGGTAGAAGGAAAAATAAAAAAAATCCACAAGCGAAGAGACCATGAGAACCAGTACAAGCAGTCTGCTTTATAGTTTGTGAAGTCACATTATAAAAAGAGCCTCCTATGCAGTGTAATGAGACAAAATGATATCACTCAATGTCTGAAATGAACAGACCTCGAAGACTAGTTTTTAATTTCACATACGCATGGCAAAATGTACCTCTTAAAACCATAATTTCTTCATGCAAAAAGTTATGGCCTTCGTATCCATTATCCTCTGGTAGCAGTGAACTCACAGGGCCAGAAGAATCGGAAAATGATGGTACAATCCTAACTTCTGATCTTCAAGAAGCAATAGCCGAACTGTGTGAAAAAGGTTCATCAGGTCAAACAATTGCTGACATAAGTAACTAATGAGATGGAGATGATGAGGAAAATCTTAAAATCATGACAGGTGAAGAGAAAATCAACAATGTGCTAGAAGACAACAGCGAGAATGAGTAAGAGTCAAGTACTCAACCAATTATCTGCACAATACGACACGATAACATCATGAGACCTCAGCATATGTTATAAATAGGCCAAAGAAAACAATGACCAAGCTGAAGACATCCTCATACTGAAAATATTGCAAGAAAAATTTCTAAAAGATTTAGAAAGAAAAGACAGAATACTATTCACACTTTTTGTTTGTAAAATCACAGCGAAATGAAGCCCTAAATATTGAATTAACGGGCAAAAATTCACAGTACACACTTATGTATGTGAAATAAATAAATGATGACCAAATTCTGTTAAATGATAATCAATTCAAAAACTTCTATGTTGTGCAGTGCAACTTAACAAATTTTTTCTGACTTCATCCAGTAATCCATTGTTTTCGGTAATCCAGTGGTACCTTGGTCCCATACGTGTCGCATTACCAAGATTGTATAGTGCTCAATTTATTACTGTTTGATCTACATATTTCATTTATATCTCAACACTGATCTGTCTGTTCCAGTCGAACAGCTGCAGTAATCACTCAATATTTCTAAAATGGTGTATGACAGGCCTTCACAAATCCTAAGAATGTCAAGTTGCCATGGCACCTAAAATTTCCCTAATAACTCACTCAATCACCCATGGAGCTGAGACCTTCTTGAGAAGTTGCCATTTGTGCATCTATTCAAGAACTTCCCAGCATTTTATGGAAACAAAAGGTTCATTACTGTGTTCACAAGCCTTTCACTGGTCCCTATCCTGAGCCAGATCATTCCATTCCATCCTATCTCTTTAAGATCCGTTTTAATATCGTCCACCCACCTACATCTTGGTCTTCCCAGCAGTCTCCTCCCTTCCGGCTTTCCCATAAATATCCTATATGCATCCCTCCTCTCCTCCATTCATGCTACATGCCCTGTCCATCTCATCCTCCTTGACTTGATCATTCTAATTATACTTGGAGAAGAGTACAAGTTATGAAGTTCCTCATGCAGTTTTCTCAAACCTCCTGTCACTTCATCTCTCTTCAATCCATGTTCTCATATACCTTCAGTCTATGTTCCTACCTTACAGCGAGACCAGGTGTCACAACCTTACAGAACCAAAGGCAAGTTTATAGTGCTGTATCTTCTAATTTTATGTTTTTAGACAGCAAATGAGAAGACAAAAGGTTCTGGATTGAATGGTAGCAAGCATTACCAAGTTCAATCTCCTCTTAATTTCTTTTCCTCCTGAATTAGGTTTTGATTTGTTATCGTCATTTCCAAATATCTGAACTGTACCACATTTTCAAAACATCTGTTATACAGAGTGTTTCATGACTTTAGGGCATAACTGCAGGAGGTGATTTCCTAGGTCTTTGTGATCAAAAAAGTTCATATAAACATGTGACCGATTTAGGACGGTTGCGGAGTTATGGCCGTTTTTTCATTCCCGTACATGCCCTCGTGTGAACCATGTCTATCATCTGGCCGGTCACTATTTTTAGCCAGCTACAGACAGAGCATTCTCGTTATCTCCGAACTCGAGAGGTACCTAAGGCGTGGTGGATTGGTATGTCCGGCGCGCTTCACAACTGAGCGGCAGCCTGTGTTGCGGCTGGCAGTGGCATTTTCGAAAATCAGCTTTAAGCGCCAATAAATTCAAATTAATGGTAATTTCACGAAGTTAACTTTACATTCATACTTTAAATGTATCATGTATTGTGCTGGTTTATTATTTTATTCCATTTATTGTCAGTAATCATTACCTTCTATTCTGAGTTTAAAACAGTCATAACTCTGTAACCGTCCAAAATCGGACACATGTTTATATGAACTTTTTTGATCACAAAGACCTAGGAAATCACCTCCTGCAGTTATGCCCTGAAGCCGTGAAATACCCTGTATATCTCTATGTCATGATTTTGCCCTGCATTTTGGTGATGAGACAGCAACATATACACAGTTTTTTCTGTGTTTGCTTCTAGGCCAACCTCCTTAACTAGCGTCAATTAAAATTTGTGTTTTTCTTTATGGTATTTATATTATCATCCAGCAGATTCACATTATCAGCATAGCCCAACAGCTGATGTGTTCCATTTAATTTTAGTCCCACCTGGTTTTCCTAGACCTTCCTAATGGCATATTCTAAAGGAAAGCTGAAAAGGAGTGGCGATAAAGCATTTCCTTTTTTCAGACCACTGTGGATAGTGAAATTATCAGACAAATGTTTACCTATACAGACTTTACTATATGTTTCATATAAAACTGTCATCACACCAAATTATTTCCAACTTGTACCTTCCCAAAATCTCTCATATTTCTAATTCTGCATTAACAACCATGACATCACTGTCTTCCAATTGGTAACACCCACTTCAACCAATGACATTAATAACCGGGAATCACAAGAAAATGTTTAGCAATACAAAGAATGAACAAAGCAAAGTCAGGTGAAAATGGTGTGATTAACTTTGGTAGAATGGCAGAACAGCATCCATGGACCATTATAGTACTTCTATAGCATTTTAGGTTATTCAAAATAAGAAATGTTAGTTATCATAACAATAATACACTAAAGACTATCTTGCTAGCAAAACATACCTGTATTAGGCATCTGGTAGTGTCATCTACGCAAGAAACTGGAATTTCAGTCAGACCAGGAATCCGTATTCCTTTCCCGTCTTCCCTGATGTCAACCGCACATTTGTTTGTTCCCAAAAGGTCAAACAATTGCTCCTTATAAAGCTGCAAAGTCAGAGCATTTAGTAATATGGAATAGGTTGAACTGTGCTTCTGAATTACAATGCAATATTAAGGAAAAAGTAAACTAGGGTATATGTAAGGTTGGAGACTATGTACAATTAGCATTTCCATCTAAACTAAGGCATTACTCACCATGAAGAGGAGGATTTTCTGAAAAGTTGATTTATGAATTGAATTTGAATTGAATTTATTTACATTCTATAAATCCTAAGTAGGTTAGTACCTTTGGATACAGAACAAGTCAAAAGGTTACATACATAAGTACAGGCAAATTTAGCTTAAAATTAATATAACTTAATTTTACATCATTCTCTATTTACATTGAAGTATTCATCTAAAGAGTAGAAGGAATGAGCATGTAGATAATTATTTAACTCTGATTTAAACTTTTTAGTATCATTGCCCAAGTTTTTAATACTTTGTGGCAGATTGTTGAACACTTTTATGCCAGTAAAGTAGACTCCTTTTTGATATACTGATAAAGTTGATGAGGGTAGGTGGAAGTTATATTTTTGTCTAGTATTCATGTTATAGACATCAGAATTTAATTTGAATTTATCTTTGTTGTAAACAACAAATAAGAGAAGCGATAATATGTATTGCGATTGAAGAGGTAGAATTTTTAATTTCTTAAATAATTCTCTACATGAATCTCTACTTCTACATCCTGTAATGATTCTAATTATATTCTTTTGTATTTTAAAAATTATTATACTATGTGAAGAGTTCCCCCAAAATATTAATCCATAGTTCATAATAGAATGAAAGTAGGCATGGTAAACCATCTTCAATGTTTCCTGTGACATAAAAGGCTTAATTGATCTCATCGCATAGCAAGCTGCATTTAATTTAGGTATAATTTGTTCAATATGTATTTTCCAAGACAGTGTACTGTCTACATGTATTCCAAGGAATTTTGTATCAAGTACTTTACAGATTAATTTGTTGGCATAACTGATGTCCAGATCAATTTGGTGGTTGTTTTTAGTTGTGAATGATATGTAATGGGTTTTATCCAAATTTACTACAAATTAAATGTATACAAGCTGAAGAAAAGGAACACGTAATGGTTCTCTTGCTGGTCACGGTAGCCGAGCGGTCTAAGGCGTGCACTGTCTTTGCTTGCTCAGAAGCCGGGATTGTGGGTTCGAATCCCACTCAAGGCATGGATGTTTATGTGCGTTTTTCTGTGTTTGTGTACAGGTAGAGGCCTTGTGACGAGCTGATCACCCGTCCAAAGAGTCCTACCGTATGTCTAAGATCTAGAAAAACCGAAGTGAATGGAGAAGTTCATGGCGGTAGGCCTAGGCCCACTGGGGCTGTAGTGCCCAGAAAAAAAAATGGTTCTCTTAATGAAGTTAATGTTTCCAAGTATATCCTCTTGGATATACATGAAAGGCGAAACAATAAAAATGAGATAACCAACAATCTTAATGAACACATTAGGAATCTAATGTCACATGGGGAGTGACAAACCATTAATAACAAGTTAAGCTTTAAAATAGAGTGATGAGGTTCAACTGGACATATGAAGTCTGCAAACTAAATGACTGGACCAATGTTTCTCTGGATCTCAGGGAACTACAATTTGAGGAAATGTTTCACTACCTCAGGACTTCATCCTGTGAAGATGGTAATCAACTTTCAACGTCCATCACAGTAGGAAATTTCTTGACCAACTGAAGAACTATCAAGTTTTCAAGGTAGATCTGCATCATGGAGTTAGCTTCTTCAAATCCATTCAAACATAATCGAACAAGCAGCTTCAAAGAATCCTTCAGAAGAGTCACAGTGATATTCCCATTTCATATCTTTTGTGAGAAAACACTTTTGAATATTAAGCTGAGGAAAATCCTTGCCCACGACATTCTTTTGAAAACACCTTAACTTCTTGACACTGACTGTAATCACAGCTGCTTGAAATCATGCCACAAGATCTTACATAGTCCAAATGCTGACAATGAAGAAGACTTGATACCCATGTTCACGGATAGAATGGGGGTTATCCTGTGCCCAGATGTGACAAGGATAACACACTTCATCTGTCCACAGAATATTATGTAAAGCAGCTCATTCACAGCATGTTCATGTCATAGCCATTCGCAAAATTTCATCTGTAGAAGCAGACGTGTGCTTGGTATGAATGCAACTGTTTATCATAGAGTATTTCAGGTGCCCTCATTTGGGATAGTCCCAATTCTCGTGCAAAATCATGAGCTTCTCCATGGCAGCATCTTCATTGACTAGTATCCATGTAGTCTTTGGGCAACCTGCATTCAAATGTGCCATAGGTGTTACGCTTCCTGCCTCATAGGGATGGTGCCTCAATCACTGAAAAGCATTAGGTCCTCGATAATGCCAACCAGGATAATATAGCAGATATTCCCATGCAGCAGTACCAGCTCATCTGTTACATGTGCTGAGGACTAAGAGCATGATATAGTATTCATCATATGTGTATTCGAACATCATTCAATCAGAACTGCCCTCTGCTGTGCACTGTGTCTTACATACACCTAACAATTCACTATGTATCCTCATAACAAACAATACTGCTGAGAATTATTCTACCCCATTTGACAGTGATGTCTATTTTGTAAACTAGGCATCTCTGGTTATGTTGTATAACATATATTGTTTTTTAACAAGGAATCACACTACAGGCAGCGAATTTCCTTTCACCCATATATTCCTTCATTAGTGCAAATTTTGAAAATTAAGCTATGTATATAAATTCATGTCCATGCACATACCTCCATGAATGATACTGTGATTCTGAAGTCCCAATTCTTCATTTCTTTGATTTTATCAAATATGTCATTTATGGCCCGTGGTATGACACCCATATTGCCATCTCCAGTGTAAGTAGTACCCATTGAATATGTTTTACCCGAACCAGTTTGTCCATATGCAAGAACTGTTACATTGTATCCTGAAAATTAGAACATTTTCACAAACCAGAACTCTTCAGAGTGTCATGTAGAGAATTAATAAAACTGACTAGAAAGTGATTCAAAGTAATTACAATAATTTGTTTCATTTATGAAAAATTCAGAATAAAATCGGCACTTCTGACACCAAGAGCAACAATTATATCATCGAGATTATGATTATTTTTTAGTCGTGAAAATTATTTTCAGAGTGATATTTGGTGCTATGGTTGGTGTAAAGCCAAGAACTGCCTACACTCTTATCAGAATAATGTAGATTGCCTGGGAATAGCATAGGCCATGCACTAAATGCACAGGGAGTATAAACCCATATTTTTACAAAAGTTTCTTTAATCTTACTATCAGTCTGAGGTGCTAGAAAGAGATATGAAAATATGTAATTTACCAGCATAATTTATTCCAGAGATAATCTCCAGCATAACTTATTCCAGAGACAATCTCTTTAAAGAAAACAAAGCTCTCAATATGCCTGTAATTTCAGCAGTAACATTCAAAATAAACTTATGCTTTTCTCACAATTTTCGCTTAATATTCACAAGTGAAACAATAACTCGCCTCTTATTCTAAGAACGTGGTAAAGGTGAAGGCCCATAGGGTTGTGAGACGTCGAGGCTCCCACATTTTCTCTAGACAGTTGGCTCACAGATGGCTGTAAATTTCTCAACCTTACGCATTAGCCGTCCTTTACCCCACAGGAAGATTCCTGGTAGAGGCTGAGTCAACCCCAGGGCCATAATGCAGCTGGAAGGATCAGGTAAATTGAAAAAATCGACCTCATCAGGATTAGAACCCACAACCTTCGAGCTTGGAGCACTGCCTCAAACAACTACGCAACCGTGTGTCCCCTTCTAAGAACTTACAAAATTAAATTACCTATTCTCTAAAAAGTAAGGAAAAGCTATCCCTGTAAAAGGCCATGAAGGCCCATAGGGTTGTGACATCAAGACCCCCACATTTTCTGCAGACAATCACCTCACAGTTGGCAGTAAGGTTGTCAGCCTTACACGTCAGCTGACCTTTACACCCCAGAAAGATTCCTGGTACTCATTTCTGTTAGAGGCTGAGCCAACCTCAGGGTCATAGTGCCTCTGGAAGGATTAGATAAATTGTAAAAATCCACCTATACTCTTGCAAAATACAATTTATATCACAATGATTTCACAGAGAAATTAAAACTATACAATCATTTGGAATGTGATGCACTGAACATGTGAAAAAAATTGGTTGTGTAGTCAGCTTCAGACCTAGGGAAAGAATGGCCAGTACCAAACAAATAAGAGACTGAGTGTGCCCCAGTGAAAATGTGGCCATAGTGGCAAAGATAACAAAATCTCTCTCTTGTGGAAATTGAACCTTGTCATCTATCCTACAGACCAAGGGTTCTTAAAGTGCAGGTTCAAAAAAGGGTTAATTTTAGGTGTAAAATAAGGGGGGGGGGAAATTATAAGCCTGTAATATATACTTTGAAATACTGTGATATCATTAATTTTGCTGAATATTTTCTTTCAATGTGACAGTTTTATTTGAATATCCATCAATTTCAGCTGTATAAGCTACTTCTGTACCTATAGAAACCTTACTCTAGTAATAGTCATGCTTTCATAGCATTCCATACCCTTTTCCTTATATTGTGACATGATGCCCGAAGGCCAGAATATTGGAGCCAGAGGAGACGTCTAATGCTACACAACGGCTCGATAAACAAGTTTCTGTGGCAATAGATATGCAAGCAACAACAGAGGAATTGTTGGAAACGATATTTTCTATTCGGTCCGTGCAAAGTGGTTATAAAGAAGAGTTCAGTTGAGAATCAGAAGTCAATTTCCAGAATTTCAAAAGAGTAGTTAGGAACATTCCTCCAACAACTTCCACAAGACTACATGGCAAAACATCCCAGACAATAGCAATCTTCCAGCCACTGCCATGAAATGCCCCATCTTATTCCTATAGAATCTGAAAGTGTGGACTGTATTTCCTAGTATTATACTTAAGCATCCTGTTGCACTCTATACGATAAATGATACAAACTCCATCCCAAGTGCAAACAATATATATTATATGTCTTTGATCTTGTTCTCTTCCACACTACATGTTTCGGCCTCTATCGGCCATCATCAGGTGTATACTCTTAACGTTGCTGCTACACTGAACCCAGTCTAAAATTGAACATTTAAAAACACATTGTTATTTTCTTCGTATTATCAACATCTACCTCGTTGATATGTGTCTGGTATGTAGATTATATTGCACACGTCAAATTTTGATTTTCCTGTAGAGCACTATAAAATCTTTAGTTATGATTTTAAAATCCTTTAAAATTTCTCTAAATTTTAAATTTTAAATTTATACAACTTTATATACTTTATACAACACTGAATCCTATATTAGATAAAAGTAATATATCCCAAAAGGGGTCAAGGAGCAATGAATGACCAAACCAAATTTATAGCCACACTGAGACTTACCCTTGAATAATCTTGCAACTAAATCTTTTACGGCACAATTATAGATGCATGCCTGGCTGTCTTCAGGTCCAAAAACAAAATTATATGTAAAAGAATGGTCTGTTCCTTGTACTTGTACCTGAGGTTCATTAGGTACTTTATGCAAACACAGTTGACAGCCTCTAGAAATTTCGCTGTCAACTAATGGTCGGATCCGAAGAGCGACCTGCACTGACATACCATTTTCTGTCATCTGAAATAAATAAATATTTAGGAATCATCTTCAGACTTAGAAACTGGAGGATACAGAATCCATTTTAAGCATTCTTTCATTAACAGACTCCTTTGTACTGAGTTGTTCTTGAGAAGCTGTTACTCAGGTACAAAAATTTTATGGAATCCAAAGTCAATTAAAATATTTATAACCGCCTGCCACTGGCCACTACCCTGAGCCAGATTCATTCAGTCAGCACTCTTCCACCCCGTTTCTTTATGATTCATTTTAATAGTATCCTCACAATTACTTTCTTCATATGGGTATCTTTCCTTGAGGTTCTCCTAACAAACATTTGAAAGCATATCTCCTCTCCTACGCATGCTATATCTTCTGCTTGCCTCATTATCCTTGATTTGATCATACTAACCCAGAGGCCCAGATATAAACAAAGCTAGGCAACACAGACCCAGCACCTGTGTGCCTGCCTAATTCAAACTATTTCCTGCAGCCTGGGCCTGCCTAGTTCAAACTATTTCCTTCAGCCCGTGATTCCACATGTTGTCATCCAGAGCAATGTATTGTGATATGATGAGCTGTCAAGAAGGCCAGACAATAAGACATCCATCACTGGTCAACAGCTAGCAATTTCTATGCAGCAATGCCTAGGAAATCGTTGTCCCGGAGATGAAAGTCTAACAGTGGGGTTCCCACTTTGACACACTTTGAAGTACTCCTTCACAATCAGAAGCGTGATCTGTGGTGTGTCATTACTGCTGCATGAATAGTACAAGCAGTATTTTTGATGAGACTATCAATTCAGTGATATGTCAATGACATTCTTTGGCACCTTTAGGAGAGCATTACAGAAAAAGTAAGCATAACTTGGTTATTTTTTCAAAATGGTACCACAGAACACACCCATAACTATTCCATTTATGTTTTAAATGAGGTGTTTGAAGACAGAATAATAAGTCAGAGAATGCATCCTGCAAGTCTCTAGACTTCTATCTCGGCGAATTTTATCTGTCAGGAAACCTGTAATACATAGGGCATTCAAATAATTCCCACATTGGATGAACTGAAACAAAATGTCTGTGAAATTACATCCACTGGGGTCAATGAATTCAAACTAGTATGAAACAATCTTTTCCTGACACTTGAAGTTTGTTTAAGATGTGAAGGAAGACATTTTAAATATCTATCTTGATGATGGGATCTTTTAACCCTATTGTCATGATATTCAACTGAAGTCAAACAAGCACACACTGCCATACAGTGCGACATTCAATTTCAGCCCACACCAAAATATAATTTTCTCCCCTTGCTGTGTCATTCAGCTTCATTCACTGAGCTTTGAAAATGCAATTCTGTTCCTCCTGGCTGACAGTAGGTCAGGCAATACGGTACTTCAAGGAAGATTCTGTTCATTGTAGATTTTTAAATTGAAACACAGTAAAATTTACTTACTGTCAGAGTGTTCAAAATATTTATATACAGTTAAACTCCTTCTAATTACTGCAAAAGAGAAACAGAAAACAATTAGATAACAGGTTTCATTGTTGAGTTAGTAAATATAATCACAATCCCAAGTTGCCTGACTCCACGCATTTACATTAATTTCCAATTTTAAGAAATCAGATCTATAAACAACTGATTTATACAAAAAGTTATTGTGCTAAATCCCATTACTATTCATGTTCAGGGATAGTTATATCATGTTTCCATTATTATGGTTGCCACTTCAGAAGCTTTCAACATCTTGACTGTCTTCAAGGCTTCCAGAATGCAAAGAAACACACCATACCATAATTTACCAGATTCTTAATAAACACCAAATCATAAGACTACTACCGATAGGTTGACAACATATTGATTGTATACAATGAACTACATATGAATATCAAAAACACACCTTACAAGAGTTTAATAATGTACATATAAAATTTACTATGGAAAAGGAAATACAAAATAGAATCAATTACCTTGGTATAAAAATTATCAAGGAACACAATAAATTAAAATTCAACATATATCGTAAGCCCACCACCAAGGATTCCATTATACATGATTCTTGCCACCCCAATGAACACAAAAATCAGCAATAAACTACGAAATAAACTGTAAGAACACACATCCCATCACCCAAGAAAATAAAGATCGAGAACTGACAATTATAAATGAGATACTAATGATTAATGGGTACCAACAACTACCCACAAATATCCAACGTCAAAATAAAGTTGCCACAAATTCTACATAAACACCGCTAAATACACAAAGGGAAAAAACAAAATGGGCCACCTTCACATATTTTGGACCAGAAACTAGAACCATCACTAACCTGTTTCGAAATACAAACCTTAAAATTGCCTACAAGACAACTAACATAAGGGGCAGTCAAATGAAAACGAGTCACCACGCATGACTCACATGGAGCGCAAGTTGGTAACCCTGGAATTTGCTTATGGTACAAACATCTGGTAGGAACTTGGGAAAGCAGTGACAATGTGCCCTTGCACACTAGTCGTTTCTTTATTGTGCTGGAAGTAAGGTTAGCGCTACATGTGGTTGTCCAACATCAGTAATGAAGGTGGGTAAAGAAGAACAGTGTGCTTTTTGACTGCTGATGAGTAGGGGGACAAGAAATTCATCGTTGCATGTCTGTTGTTTACAGCAAACACAGCATGACACATTGGCATGTGCTGGGGTGACATAAAGAGATTACAAGAGGGATGTGTGTCACTCCAAGATGATGCTCACACAGGACAGGCTCATCATGTCATCACTCCTGATGTTACTGCTGCATTGGATGATCAAATCTGGGCAAACTGACAGATCAATGTGGAAGAAATTAGTCTTTTGATGGGAATAAGTCACGGTTCCGTACACACCATTGTGACAAAACGCCTGCTGTACCGCAAAATCTGTGCGCAGTGGGTTCCACATCAATTCATGGAGGAACAGAAGACTCAGAGAATGGCTGCATCACTGGGTCACTTGCAACAATACCATGAGGAAGAGTATGCTTTTCTGTCCTGTATTGCCACTGGGGACGAAACTTGGTGCCACCATTTTGAACCTGAGAGCAAACAGCAGAGCTAACAGTGGAAACACGTGAATTCTCCCACACCGAAAAAATCCAAAGCTGTACACACAAGTGCCGGTAAAGTGATGATGATGTTCTTCTTAGACTGCAAGGGTCCTCTGCTTGTCGAATTTCTGGAGCATGGGGCCACAATCAGTGCACAGCGCTATGAAGACACTTTGCAGAAACTGAGACGTGACATAAAGTCAAAACGCCCTGGAATGCTATCGAACGGCATTACCCTTCTTCATGATAATGTGCGCCCCCACACTGCCAACTGTGAGGGATGCGCTACAGAGATTTGGTTGGGAAGTGCTTCAACATCTCCCCTAGAGCACAGATCTCTCCCCATGTGACTTTCACATTCTTGGAGACCTGAAGAGAGACATCTGTGGACATCGGTCTGCATCGGACGAAGACGTGTGTGGCTGGGTAAAGATGTGTTTCCATAGACAAACCACAAGCTTTTTCAAAGATGGAATTGACTGTCTTATCTCCCAGTGGGATAAATGTATTAACACTTTTGGAGATTACTTTTGAGGTAAGAAATGTTCCTTGATATGTTTTGGCTTCTGACCCGTTTTCATTTGACTGCCCCTCATACAATCAAACACCATTTGAAACTTAAGGTAATACAGGAGATATATACAACCTGAGTGGTATATACCAGCTACAGCGCGGTGAATGCCCACTCAAATATATTTGACAAACAGGACACACATTCAAATATCACTACAGAGAGCACATTGATGCCATCAGGACTAATGAACAACATTCAAAATTCGCACTACATATTTTGGAAACTGGACATACATTTAACATGATGGACCAGACCATGAAAGTATTACATATAGAAAGGAAGGGACCCAAACTCAACGCTTTGGAAAGATATTATATATACAATATAACGAAGAAGGGTCTGCAGATGAACAGTACGTTCACCAACCCCACATTTGATATTCTAGTAAAAACACACACACCAAATCACCCCATCCCTTCCCCATCTCTCCAACCATCCACAGTATCCTTCTCCCTACCTCATACCACTCAACCCTTCATAAACATGCCCACATATACAGATACGCCCCAAACAAGTAGTCTAGACCGAACCGCTACAACATAGCGACAGCATCAACGCAGGGAGCAGCCTGTACATATACCATTCATAAGAATAACCTAACATATGTAAGTACATATACCAAATAACCTAATGAGTTTAATAACATCACACTCACAAGCTTCACCTTATAATAAAATAATTAAACTGTTACGGATCACATACAGAATAATTAGCATAAGCTCTATAAGACATTACTAAGGTCATGACTACATGACCTATCCCGTGTTAGAAGATTCTGATATGTGGGTGCCCCACGCTATAATCGCTTCTACCATCATAAAACCAGGTCAACACGTAGCGGTTGCAGAGTTTTACCACAAAACACAATTTTAACTTTCATGTTTTAATCTTTGGTTTCTAATTTTAATCTTTATACCTTTAATTTTAAATTTTATTATCCAAGGATTTTCAGTTTTAAATTTTGACCATGACTCAATATATGAATTCATGCATTTAAATAATTTCAAGATACAAAAATGATCCTCATTTGAAGAATTAGATGAAAATTAATTGCAATTCAGCAGCTGAAACTGGAGCATTGTATGCCTGATGATGACCCAGTATAAGGGTCAAAACATTTTGTGTCTGTAAAAACAGAATAAAAGCAAATTTTGATACAGTAGTCTTCTTTGTTTTTTAAATACAGAATATTGTTGTGTAGGCTGCATATCTTATATACTTTTATATATCTTAAACAAGAAGTTCTGGGAAGAACTAATCACCTACATTCCTTTCACTATAAATTTGTATCTAATACAATAAGTGGTGCAATAATATACTCGTCTGTTTTTACAGAACATGAATTGGACATATAAAGCAATTTAAATGTTAAACTTGTTGAGATGGCTTCAGGTAGCATAAAAAACATAAGACATTCTATGACGATCAGTTCAGGCATTCAAATAAGTGATGGTTTTGTGGCTGTTGATACAATGAAATAGATTGGTTATGATCTTAATAAAATCAATTACAATACATATGACATATCAATCAATTTTATCTGTCGTTACCACTGTGTTTCAGTCCATGGACCATCATCAGGTGCAGACATTTACTTATTTGTCATCTGCTTACTCAAAATTCCTGCATTACTAAGGAGGGATCTAATGCAATTTCATTCAACTCAGTCAAGATTTGGATAATTAAACTCTTGATTACAACATGTTATCATTCCTTGCTGATATAAATTCATCACCAAAGTAGAGTGAGTCAAGAGCAGTATCATTAAAGCTACTTTAAACTGTTTTCTATTCATGGATAATCATTTAATTCTAAGTAGGCGCTAAATGCCCACTTTTGTCACTGCAGAAAAGACTCCTCTTTGTTAAGAGCATAAGGACAGCACAATAGATCACTGAAGGTCGCAATGCAAGGGCGAGATTATTATGGGCCCACCCCTTATGCAAAAACCATAAGGACAGAAACTTCTCTGTGAGAAAAATTTGTCCCCTATTAACTTCACGAGCCTCAAGCTGGCTTAAAAACGTATATAATATGTAAAAATGTGAATTACCTTCAAAAGAACTTGAAAGCAAATATCCCACTTCAGTATTACCATATTAAACATTTGGATTTCTGATTAGCTATATGTAAATGTACATAAATTCCCGAATATTGAAGTAAAGTCTGGTTCAAAGCCAGGGAGGTGGCAGCCTTTAGGTTTCCTTATTATTTTCCTCCAGCCATCTAGACAAATGTTCACATGGCCAACAGTAAAATATTCACATTCCCTCCTCTTTACTGAGCAATCTATGCTAGTATTTCAATACAGGTAAGGGCAAGAGGCTACTTACATATATGTACAATTATACAAAATATTCAGAAAACCCAAGGTTGTCTTATAGCACTGTTTCAATACTTGAATCTCACAAATATTTGCAGAAAAGGACAGTATACGGACAAAAGTCTATAACAAAGATAGAAATTTCACAATATTATCTTTAAGCATCCTGTTACACTCTACACAATATATGACACAAACTCCGTTCTAAGTGCAACAGTTTATTGTAGTTCTTTCTTCTACACTACATGTTTCGGCCGTAAATGGCCATCATCAAGTGTACACTCTCACGTAGCTGCTACACTGCACGTAGTTTAAAATTTAAAAAAACACTAGTCTTCCCAGTTGTTCATTTCTCCGTTGCTAACAGGTTTCGATATATCAGAATCCTCCCCGCTGATATCTGTCGGATATGAACAAAATCTTTGTTAACCTACACACGTCAATTTGATTTTCAAAAACTGGCACTTTTAAAACTTTCAATACCAATTTAAAAATTTATTTAATTTTTTTTCAAATTTTAAAATTTAAAATTCTCAGGGTTACTCGCCCAATGTCTGTAGTGCTGCAGCGGCTACTTCTTGTTTTCAGCACTGTTCAGGTATTATTCTGTGTAGGCTCCCTGCGTGCGTGCCGCATGCAGTGTAGCTGCTAGGTGAGAGTATACACCTGATGATGGCCATTTACGGCCGAAACATGTAGTGTAGAAGAACGGAAGACGAAAGCCATCTATCTTATTAAATCCTTACGAGATTTGGTCAGTCTTCCAATTTTGAGAAGTGTATATTTTGCAAAATTTGAATCTTTATTGAGATATGGTATTATTTTTTGGGGTTGTGGTCAAAAGGACATTCAAACTGTATTTATAATCCAAAAAAAATGCTTAAGACTGATCAGAAGAGTCAATAACAGGGTATCGTGTAGAGAATTTTTTGGTGAATTTAAAATTTTAACCTTAACTTCATTGTATATCTTTGAGACGTTGTGTTTTTTAAGGAAAAATAGGATATATAACATCTCGTATTCAGATGTGCACGGTTATAACACAGTACATAAGCAGAATTTGTATGTCCAACCATGTAACACCTCACGTTGTAAAAGGAGTGTGATTAACATGGGAATAAGATTGTATAATAACTTGCCCTCTCAAATAAGAAGTATTCAAGAGTTCAAGGTTTTTAAGCGTCAATTAAAGGATTACTTGTTGTGCAAAGCTTTTTATTCCCTTCAAGAATATTTTTACAAGAATTAGCGCAATAATAGAATAAAGATACTTGGGTAATTTATTTTAGCTATTGCATGTAATTTATAGTTTAGCTTTTGTTGCCTAATTATACTCATCCACTGTTTTATCATATTTAAAGGACTTATTATGTTATTTTTCTATGGTTTTTTATACTATTAGTCATTTGATGTGATGTTTTTAATCTTATATATATTTTTTTTTATAAAAAACTGACTTGTCCAATTGTACATAATGTAACAGTTATGGATGTTAAATCAATCAATCAATCAAAGAACTACAATAAATTGTTGCACTTAGGACGGGGTTTATGTCATATATAGAAATTTAAAATACACGAACACATCACAAATTTCCTACCTACCTTCCTATAGACGTCCGGATTTGAAAACACCACTCAGCAATATTCAGACAGTTTACAGTCCAGTGACACGAATTACAGAGCGATTACTCGAACCTCTTCAGGTTTTCATAAGCATGCTCGTTCAGTTATTTTATTTTTCTCTCAAACATAAATACTATATTCACGAAAAGTAACACCGACCGTTACGAACTTCACCGCCAGAACACTAACGCCAAAGTTTGAAACGAAAACCAAGGGACACCATATCAGAGAAATTATGTCACAATATGGGAAACTAAACTCTTTGAGCACGGACATTACCACTAGACCACACTAGACCACAAAGGCAATAGGTGACATAATCCATCACAACCTAAAATGACATACTTAGTGATCCGTGAGGTCCGTGAGTATGTAGTTATTGCATATATACTTTACGTAGGTATTGACCGGTATGACCGGTATTGATGCGTGTTATATAGGGATCCATGGTCATTACAGATTGTTACAATTGTTATATTGGTTGTTGCCAATTGTGTTACGCAGATATTTGTGTTTTTTTGTTTGTTTTTTTTTTTGTCATTTGTAAACAGGTTTTTTTTTAATCATCCAAAGTATTATATTTATCTAGTAGTAAGTGTCGTATGTGTCTCAAATTCTTCAAAGATGAGAAAAACATCGAAAGACAAACGTGATATATATTACAGACTTGCTAAGGAAGAGGGCTGGAGGGCACGGAGTGCCTTCAAACTTCTGCACCTGGATCAGCAGTTCGGTATCTTTAAAGGTATGCGTGAAGCGTACCATTAAATCTCGGCGAAATGTTGACGAAAATCTTCTGCTTCTACCGGTTCTCACGGTCTCTTTGCTTGCAGATTTCTTATATATTTTTTCTTCTACCCTGAAGATGGAGGCGATACGTTACTCCGAAACGTCGGTTAACACCACATATGCACGGTGCAAAATCCCAGAAGACTGCTTTCTTCATAGTTCATTCATGTTAGATTGTAAGCTTCGAACTATTGTGGTCAAGGATTGGGAAATTTTTATTTTTTTCTTTAATTGAGTGACAATTTGGAGAAATGATTTTGGGCCTTCAGATCATGGGGTTTAATTCTGATGAACTGGAACTGGGAGATCCGCATGGGTAGCATGCAATAGCAACTGGGAATGCGAGAATCTTCATACCATTTAACAGCCTGTCAGCTCCATCTTCAGGGTCAAATAATAAGCCCAGCAAGAAACCAGTTTGAAGCAAAAAAGCACTGCATGTAACACCATTATGAGAACCTAAAGTCCTACATCTTAATATTTGCTTTAGGACAGAGGAAAACCAAGAGAACCTTTGTTAGAATGACTAAATCACGAGTTTCTTCTTAATAATATTTGAAAACATACATTCTATCTCAGTGGAAAACACTGCATATCCACTGTAAAGACCAGTTGGTTAATACATTTTAATGAATTTGATTTGTTTCATTTTGGTCTTTTATAATTGTACATTTTAATGAAATTGCAATTGTTCATTTTCACAATCATATGAAACACATATATACTTTCCATGGGTAAAATGCAATTTCTTAGTGTTAAAATAGTACTAACTACTGTGCTTAATGTGTTAAAACAATAATGTTAATCTCATAAACTGAGTAAAATTTGAAATACTTTTGTGGTGTGAACCACTTTGCAGTCATACTCTGCTCCTTTGTGGTTAGGTTTGGATTGATTTTATTTTGCTAGTTCACATATAATTTATTTATTTGTGTTTTTATTTAATGTTGCTGTATATCATTGAAGGGTACAATAATAATGAATTGGAAAGGATATGGAAGGAAGCATTTGTGGCCTAATTTTAAGTACTGTCCCAGGATTTTCCTGGAAAAACAGGGGAACCATGAGAAACCTCAACCAGGGAAGCTGATGTCTGGTTGAGATTCATATTCACCTCCCAGATGCAGGTCAGAATGTTATTGCTTGAGCCACCCTGCTTCGTAGTTCACATTTAGGGGACCCAAACTGTATTCTCATATTCATTTCGGTTCCACGAGTCATGGGGATTTAAAAGGTCACCACTCACAGCACCCCCATATGGGTGGAAGGCATGAATACAGCAGGGTGCTGCCAGGTGCCCTGAGGTGATCTTTCACGACACCGGCTAATGACCACCCCAGTGCCCCTCAGCACGATGCCTCACACCTTGGCTTAATTGGTTCGGTCCTGTTACAGTTACTCCTGCCAAGTCCAACGAGTAGGGAGGATGTTGTTGTTAGTCACAAACTCTTGTGGTCTTCAGGGGCATGTGGGAGGGTGAATTGTGATGAAGAAGCAGTGCAGCGCATGTTCACATTTTCTGTTAAGATCACCTGGCAAAGTCCCTAACCGATCCCAACAGTGTCTGCGAGTTCATGGATTGTTCAGCTGCGGTCTTCATGGATGAATTCTCAAAATTTTTCAACACTTTCTGCCTTTTTTGCTGGTGCTTGGTCGCCCTGAACGTTTGTCATCTTCAACTGACACTCGATTGGCCTTGAAATGTCAATGCCACTCAAAAACCACTGTCTGGCTTAAAGAATGTTCTCCAAAAGCCTTACAAAGAATTTCAAGGGTTTTGGTAGTGGATTTACCAAGCTTGTCCGAGGGGTCTCAGGGGCTTCTTCTCCAGGTGTACTACAGCAGGGACATAAAGCTAACCACTCATCTTCATCTAGTGTGGAGGTCAAGAATGGCAAAGCTCCACTCCCCATACATCTTCATGGTGTAGTATTTAATTAAGCACAGGATAACTTAATCTTTACTTTTATTTTATGTAGTTAAGATTCTTCAATATAATGGTGCATCACACTGTCACAAGGATGTGAGAATGCTTTAGATGTGACAGAGGCTTTGTGGTGTTTTAACCTCAACATGGATACATTAATGCACATAAAAGCTTCAGATACCTGTGTTAATTTAATAGTTTGCTTGCAGTATGATCTGTGCCCCTGAGGATGTAGTTTGAGACATGTAAGTCAAAGTATAATATAACAAAGGTTATTATAATAATACATTTTATTGAGCTGTATTTGATAGTTGTAGATTATCTTGATTAGGTTAGGCTAATTTAATTTAATCTTACTGCTTAATGTGATTTTTTTATTTCATCTGGTAAGCATAATTAAAATACAGATTTTTTAAGAAGTTTGGCAGTAAGTTTAGGTGTTGTTTTGCAAGTGTGTTACAGTAAAGTGTCTGCTTAAATGTTGCATGTAATTGAAATTGATAGCTAATGTATGGACACTGTATTATACTTGTGGTTTAATATTATTGTCCTATCTGTGTAGGAGTGACCAGAGCAGTTGATCTGTGTGCTGCACCAGGAAGCTGGAGTCAGGTTCTTGTAAAGAAGTTGAGGTATATATTAACAGTGTTGCAGAAGCAAATTACAAAATGAATAGTATGGTCTTTTGGGTTCTGTAGCCATGTTAGTTTAGAGAAAGCCTGGTGTTTTGGAGGAAAATATTTCCGTCATATTCAGGGTGGAAGAGTAAGCAAAGCATGAAACAAGGATAAGTAGGCAGCAAGCTACTTGTCACCTGATTCTGCTAGTTTAATGCTTGGCTTAATTTTTGACCCTGAAGATGCTGGCAGTATGTCCCCCCAAAACACTGGGCTTTCTCTATACTGTATGGTATTACAGTACCGAAAACAATACTCTTCATTGTCATGCCATGAGAACCTCAAATCCAACAAATTACAAAATGTAGGTAATTCTGTATGTAGACCCCAGAACTTGTATAAAGAGCACTTGAAGCAAGATATGTTTGGGGAAACAGGTGTAACTCCTCATGCAGGCTACCAGTGTTGTAACTGAATGTGTAATACAAAGGTTTCTGGTCTTCATGATATTGTTTTATTAGATAAGTGGTTCCCAAACTATTTTCAAAATCCCTTCCTTGAGCAATCAGAATATGGATATTCCTTCAAAAATTATGATTCATTTCAGGAATTTCTTCCTCTCCTTCTGGACACCCACTTGACTAGAAATATGTCTTTACTGCTGAACTTTTACAGTATGTTACAAATGATATTCCTGCTGGTAGAAATGAGAGCTACTGTAATTGTACTTCTGAAATGTGCAATGAAGAGACTAAGGATTTCTAAACATTTTCAAACACAAATAAAGAAACACTGCATGACTTATTGATTTGTATGTGCATGCCTTACATCAGTATGGCCTTTAAAAGAACAGGCGTTACACGTTTGTTCTGGTGAATCTTCAGAGAAGCATCACATCTCCAAGGGGTTTTTAAACCAAATTTGAAAATCACCGATTACTTGCATATGTACTTTAGGCACAATTATACTGCTCCTGCATCATGTGAAATATGGTCTATCATCTGAAGGATATTTGGTGTAAACAACATATTGTCACGTGAGGGAGCTACTTGTGATGAAATGATGGGCTCTAGTTCAGATGATTGGATTTGTTAGCAGCTTGGTTACACACTCTGTCTTAATGATACTTAAATACAGCACTGTCGCTGATTTACACACACACACACTCTAGTCCTTGCCTGGTAATGTGATTAAAACACAGGAAGTAGCACTTCAGATCACTCCAGATATCTCTGCACCGCAGCGCACGCAAAGCATTCTGAATCATTGGAGGCCAACCTCCTGTATTCTTCTGTATTCCATTCATCTGCTTCTCTCGTAACACTCTGAGAACCTATTCTTGGGAATTCCAGTTTCTCCTATAAACTCTCCATCGGACTAGCGGAAAACGTGCCTCGCTTCAGAGGCATTGCTAGGCAACGCTGCCGAGTTGTTTGCTGCAATGCTGCATAGCAACCAGCACGGTGCAGCTCGGCACAGCACAGAGAAACACCGCTTTCCTTATTGTTGCATAATAGCCATGTTTACAGTTTTCTGTGGCTCAGTGATTCCTGCATGGCATAAATATGCTGCAATATTTATCAATCTGACTTTTTACATTTATATTTTAATAATTACTAGAGGTATGGTATGTGATAGGTTGAAACTACAGTCTTTTGCAAATATGCACCACTAAATCCACTGTAAACTGATTATCAAAGAATGCTCACCTATATGTTAAAAGGAATAAAAATAAAAGATTGAGCATTATAACATTTGTCCCTATTTGAAGCAGTTATTGTCTCACTATTAGTATCCATGTATGCATTGATGTTATTCTTTGTTCACTTGTTTATTTCACCTTAATGCCAGTGCACTGTCCTCTTCTTGCATCTTCTGTCTGCCTCCACTGAACTACTTGATACACAGCATTCTCTGTGTTATGTCTGCATTATGCTGCCTCTCGGCCCAGACTATGCTTCTCTAGGCTCTGCAGCTGTCTTTTTAAAAATTTCACAACTTTGAGAATTCCCTGCTGCTTGTGGAGACATAGTGGTCCTCTGTGTTTCCAGAACAGTAGACTGGGAGCCCAGAGTTGCAATGTTTCTGTTACACAAGAGGCATGCACAGGATGGTGCTCTCCCCCACCATTCTCCCCTCTCACTTCTGTAACAGTATTTTTCAGGGGACAGAATGTTGCAAGAAATAGATCAGATTCCATGGACTAGGGGGCCTTGTTAATTTTATCTTGAACTCTCGACTTTTTTTCTGCATCGAATATAATGAGAACAAAACTTTACCTAAAAGACTATACATATATACAGGCCTTTCAAACCTGTTGCCCTCTCTTGATGTGAATTTTGTGAACTGGGCAGAAAATTACAGGTCCTCTTTATTAATGGATTTTGTTTCAATTTTTCTCGATTTTAGGCACATTTGCAACTCTGTGGAGCACTTTTTAAATGATCAGGTTTACAGGAAGTCCACACGGTGCCTATCATCTGTGATTCCATTGTTTGCATGATACTCCCAAGATGTTCAGGGAGGCTAATACAATCTAGAGATTGAGATGTCATTTGCTGACTTACTGACCTAAGTACTACACTCCAGTGAATAGAACAATAGGCTAGAAGGATTACTACTCTGCCAAGGAAAGAGAGAAGGAGAATTTAACAACAAACAGCAAATGTATTTTCACATGTACGACAGGGTTCTGATTGGTAATTGGATTTATCGCACACTTATACATACATAGTGTATAAGGCTGACAACCTTACCACCATCTGTGAGCCGACTGTCTAGACAAAATGTGGGAGCCTCAACATCTCACAACCCAGTGGGCCTTCAACACCTGTTACATACCTTTTGTATGTATTAAAATATAATTGATCATGCTCCCAAGAGTGTTATTCTTGGTCATAATAGATAAATCTCCAAGAAGACAAATGTCTCAATTGACTTAGCAAATTTGATGGTGGTTGTGGTGGTGGCAGTGACAGTCACCACCACCAGACATAAAGGGAAAAACACAAAGTATGATAGTGACAGCTCAGGGTCAGGCCATCAGTACAAGTATTTTAAGAGAAAATTTAAAAAAATGAGTACATAATAAGACATTACTAAGTCTGTATACATCCACATTTTTCAGTATGCAAGGAATTAGGCAGTAAAACAACAAAACTGATGCTCACATATGCCTGAGTCTGTATGTGAACATGAAGATGTAACAGTATCATGGAATCAAGGGGCACAGATAGAGAGGTCCTGGCAAGTAGGCCAGTCATAATAAGTAAAAGCAAGAAAGGTAAGATTTGCATGTTGATAGAAGTAGCAACGCCCTTGGGCTGGCATGCAATACAAAGGAGACTGAAACAAAATTAAAATATAAAAACTCCTGCAAAGAAACTCAGAAACTGTGGAATATAAAATGCTGTGTCATACCAGTAGTTGTTGGGGCCACATGAATTGTAACTAAGGTGCTAAAAATACCTGGAAGCAATACCAGGAAAGCATTCAGTACTCNAAAAAAAAAAAAAAAAAACAGGGACATTTAATGTAACACAGAAATTTGCTACAATCTTGAAGGCTGAGTGGTGGTGTTCACAGCTGGCTCAGAAGGAAAGTACCAGGGAAATCCCCTGTGATAGGAGGAGGAGAAGAAGAAGATCATATTTTACAGATGTCCCAAAAAGGCAAAAATGTTTTGGGATGGTAAATTAATTTTTAGTTTGATGACTAGGAACTGGTATTCTGAAAGTTATTATATGTTTCCATCAATTAATAATATAAGGCATAACAGGGACTTCGTCTTAGATTTGATGGAAACTGTTTACCATCTCAGGTAAAGAAGGAAGTCTGCTTCATTTTGACATGAATTCACACCTTGATTTAATAAGAGTGCTTTGTTTTTGCCAACAGATCACGTCCCACTTCAGATCTGTCAGAGGTGAAGATTGTTGCAGTGGATCTACAGGCAATGGCTCCTTTACCTGGGTTAATACAGATAGTGGGAGATATCACTAAGGAGGAAACTGCACAAGCTCTTATTAAAGAGTTCAAAGACAGTGCAGCCCAGTTGGTAGTTTGTGATGGAGCACCTGATGGTATGAGAAATTTGACCCAGAGATGACTAAGAACTTTTCATGAATTTTCAGAGCAAAGCACAAGGAAGAAATATATATTTATTTATTTGTTTTATTTTTGTTGCTTAACACTTGGCCTTTGGGTCACTCAGAAAGTCGTACCGTGTGTTCTTGAGGGTCACTAGTTCGATGTTTTCTAACACTGTTCTTCAGATGCATGTCAGCTGGTCTGGCTACTGTATCACTTTCAGGATATTAACAGCTTGATGCAGAATGTTATGTGTGAAAAAAATCCACCTCATTGGGACTCGAACCCATGACCTTCTGGCTTGTAGAATAGTGCCTCAAGAAACTATTCTGCTGCGTACCCGCAGGGTGGATGTATAGATCCAAAATTTCTTGACCTCAGCACTAGTTCGAGGTGAGTGGTCAGCTTCATGCCCCTGCAGCTTTACCCTCGGGGAAAGACCCCCACCCCCAGTACCCATTGGATAGGAGGCTGGGTGGATCACAGAGCTGGTCTAGAAGACTTGGAGAAGAGAAAATTCTTGACACTACCTGGACTTGAACCCTGACCCCTTGGTTGCCAAGCCTGTAGCCAGTCGTTATCCCGGCTCATATGTGAAGATATTTCAGGATTTATTTGTAACATGAGAAATGTTTCCTGGAGAACACAGTGCTTTCAGTTTTACACAAACATGTAGGTCAAAATCATCATGTATATTGTAACATGTTGCGCGACTGAGAACCCCCCTCCTCTCCACGGTAACGTAGCGCTCCCCGCCACTCCCCTCCGCGGTGACGTCACGCGGTGACGTAACGCGCAACGCTAACATAACCGTAATCAACGTCCTACTGTGACGTGGCACTCATTACGCCACAGGCAAGCACTGCAGCTATATAAGTGGATGCACAGTGCGTATCGATCAGTTCGAGTTCGAGTTCCAGTGTGGCTACCGCCGAAGACATTCCGAGTTATAAAGTAACAGCCAGCCGACTACAAGTTGGAGTATAGCAGCCGTCGCGGAAAGAAGATCCGGACGTGTGTGTAATTGTGTAATTGGGAGCGCGTGATACAGTGATACATAGCTCCCCTACTGCCAACGTGTAGACTACTGAAGACAGAGTGAACTGATTTGCGCATAGGGTTATAGATCGTGAAACCCCGCAACAGTGTTAACAGGTTAATGCGATTAGGGTTATAAAGTGTGAAACCCCGCAACTGTGAGATAAGTAATTGTAGCCGTTATTTGTAGATTGTTAAATAAACCAATTAACCATCTCTACGGCGTCTTCAGTAACGCGAAACACGTTACAATATCAAGACTATTTGTATAATAATGTGAAATTATCAAAAATTTTATAAACAAAAGTACAACAGCCTGTGGCACTGTGAGGGCTAAATCATGCTTTCTACAACCTACTAAAGGAGCCAGAGACTTGAAAAAAGTGAGCTATTGTCCCAGAGGAAATGTGATATGATGATTCAGGTATGGAAATAAAAAATTGTGTGAATGATAAGGACGAAATAGTTGACTTGCTTACACAATATGCTTTGGCTCTGAGATCCTGGCATTTAGTGAAGTTCAGTCTGCTTCATTCAGACATATTTTTCAAACAAATTATGCACATCAAAAATTGTTTTGTGTTTGTTGCTACTGTAATTTCAGGAATGATCACTGCTGCTTGTGCTTGGCTTGTAAGTGAAAAATTGTCTTCAGACACGTTGAATCAGAAAAATATACAAAATAATTTACATATATAATGTTGTTACACATTCAGTCCACTAGGACGCTGAGAGTAGTCAGAATAGTGACAGGTTACAGGCTGGATGATCGCTCACTCCTGTAAAGTGTCATGGATAAGAGTACATGGAGCTAGATGGTGCTTAATTAAGAACAGGGACAACTTTACTATACCTTTGCCTTTTTGAAACCAGGGTATGGCTTAACAAGACATTTGATTGCCTGCATTATTTGTGATACTCAGCACATTTGTATTTTAATCCTTCGGATGACACTTGCTTTTTGTGTAGCTCAAGAACACATGGTTTAAGCTTTGTGTTTATTATAAATGTTTATATACTACTCTGTCCAAAAAGTATCAGACCTTGGACCGGGAAAACAAAGTTCTGTATCTGGGTGGTTACAATACCTAATCCCCTTCAAAGTAGGCCCCTTGTGACTCCACACACTTAGCCCAGTGGTCCTTCCATCGCTGGAAGCAATTCTGGAAGGCTTCTTTTGGAATGGCATGCAGTTGCACCATCGTGTTCTGTGTGATGTCCTCATGGCTGTCAAAACAGGAGCCTTTTAGCAGTGTCTTCAATCTCGGGAACAGCCAGAAATCTCAAAGAGCCACGTCAGGAGAGTAGGGAGCCTGGCAAACCTGCAGAATGCCATGCTTGGCCAGGAAACCCTGGATCAGGTGTGATGAATGAGCTGAGGTGTTGTCATGATGCAGCTGCCAGTTGTGTGTGTCTCACAGCTCCAGTCTTTTGCACCAAACTGCATCATGAAGATGGTGGTGGACTTCTTGGTAGTACTCCTTATTGACAGTTTGGGCTAGTGGTGCATACTCATGCTGCACAACACCCCGGTAATCAAGGAAAACAGTATCACCTTCACATTGGTCCAAACCTGTCGTGCTTTTTTGGGCCTTGGGGATGTTGGATGCTTCCATTGTGACACCTGGACCTTGGTTTCCAGGTTATATCCATACACCCACAACTTGTCGCCAGTGATCACAATCTTCAGGAGCTCATGATCCCTGTTGGTGCACTCCAGCATGTCCTGCGCGACCTCAAGGCAGAGTTGTTGCTACTCCGGTGAAAGCAGCTTGGGCACAAATTTTGCCACCACTCTGCACATGCCCAAAATCCTCAGTTAAAATTGTGTTTGTGGAACCTCTGCTGATCCCAACCTCATCAGCAACTTCCTGGATGGTCAAATGACTGTCCTCCATGATCAGTGTCTGCACTTTTTCAACGACATCAACATTTCGGCTTGTTGACGGTCTCCAGAATGTTGGTCACTGTCTGCTGACATACGGCCATCTTTAAAGCAGTTGAACCACTCCTTAATTTGAGTGACCCCTGTTGCATCATCGCCAAAAGCCTGGTGAATTTTGTGGATTGTTTCCGCTTGGATATCCCCAAGTTTCTGACAAAACTTGATGGAGTATCACTGCTCCAAACATTCTGTCATCTTGAGCAAAACAAGAATGTGACGAACACGCGTTGCACCATTTCACTATCTGGCAGTGTTGCGAGTCAGCAAAAAATCACGCATGCACATGAACGTCCCTTCTACCACTACGCTCAGTTTCCCCACCCTTTGGCCATTACTTACAGCGGCAAAAAATAAAGTTAGATACTTTTTGGACAGTGGTACATATATATCACTGATGAAAACTCTCTTTGATCAAGGTTGTGAACATGCAGTTTTCCTTCTGTTTTCAAATTATTTCAATATTTTGAAAAAAAAAAGTATTATGAGATCACCTTTGTTGTCTGTGTCTCTGTATATGTATCCCCCCCAACAACTCTTGAATGCTTACACAAACCTGTATGAAACCTGGTAAAAATATCATGGTACCTGAACCCATCTCCAGGGCATACTCCATAAATCCCACCAATTAGTAATACCAACATTATAGCCTCTCATATTGCTGAGGCTAAACCTTAATATTGGTTAACACCTGTACCATTCGTCATGAAACATGGCATGTTATTGTGCCACATGAATTCATTGCAATTGCATACTAAATGCATTCCTGCCATTACCACAAGAACCTTTCTAAGGAGATGCCAGTGCATCATATCACTTTATTATAACATTGTGTGTGGACATGAATGATCATGCTGAAATGATGGAACTTTGTTGTATGTATATCCACGTTATGTTGGAGCAAGGGGCTGCGCCATAGCTCAAGTGGTTAGTCGCTGGCTTCCCACTGCGGCAGCCCAGGTCTGGTCAAGTAGGATTTTGGTGGACAAAGTGGCACTGGGGCAGGTTTTCTCCGAGTACTTCGGTTTCCCCTGCCAATCTTCATTCCACTAATTGCTCCACAGTCACCCTCACCTATCATCTGGGGCTGGTACAATGGGCCAGAAGTGGCCGCAGTACAAGAGACTTAGTCCCACCCCACTAGGATTAAAAAAAATTATGTTGGAGCAATGAAATGTAGAAGGTTATGATGGGGTGGACATGTAGCTTGAATAAAGCTGAAAATGCATACCAAATTTTGATGATGAAACTGCTCAGAAGACCATGGAAGAGACTGAGATAACACTTACATGAATTTTTGGGAAGTAAGCGGCTGTGTATCTGGGAATCCAGTACCAACCCTTGGATTCTATTACAACAGACTCAGTTATGCAGCCTATCACTGTCTTTACTGTTGCATGCTCTTTGGTATCTGACCAATAACACAACACATGAGATATGTGTGTTTCAGTGACTGGACTTCATGATATCGATGAGTTCATTCAAGCACAGTTGCTGCTTGCTGCTTTTAACATTACTACACACGTGCTGGCACCTGCAGGAACTTTTGTCGCAAAAGTATTCCGTGGCAAAGATGTATCTCTGTTACTATCCCAGCTTCAGCTTTTCTTCGGCTGTGTTAATATTGCTAAACCCCGTAGCTCCCGCAGTACCAGTATTGGTAAGTAGTCTGATATTAAAATGTTTATACTATGAAAGTCCAACAGAAGACAGGATAGAAGCATATTTTCCTGAAAGGTTCGCACAGTGGCATAATACACATAGGATTACTGTTTCTAGCCTACTCTCCTAATTTTGAAAAAAATACTTGCTTTCTGTGTGTTTAACTCAAACACTCAAAGTCAGAAGAGATGGCCATTGCTAATCAGTGGCTTCGTAAACACATTCCCTTAGTGACAAATACACATATGACAATAGAAGAATGGTTGGACATAGTCTTTTCTATGCAATCTGTGTCATATCAGATATTCAAAATGTAGTCAAAGGAAAGTAGGCAATTAGTTATTCCCAGAATTTCTTTTTTGGACTTTGTCCACTGTCTCAGTGTTCTAAAAAAAGAAAATATGAACATGGTGTTTCAGAAGTTGGATCTGCCACTGTCTTCAGGTGAGGAAGTTTGTTCCAATTCAAAGAGCTAGTATCAGTCACTGGTGTCCAGTAATTTAAGATTTTCTTTTTTCATTGGATCCAACTGAATAGGTACCCCTCATCTGAGGACAGGAGCAGATCCAGCTGAGAAATTGTCAGTAAATAATCCAAGATACACATGAGATTTGAGGTTCTTACAGCAGTGACTTTGAATAATACCATTTTCTGGGATGTGGCATCATATAGTTTGGTAAACATTTACTGACATCCCTAAAAAATTATGAACTTCTGCAGTTTAATTTAACTTCAAACTTCACAGCATCACATCCAAGAAGATAGTATTCTTCAATTTAAGGACCAACTAAAACTATTTATTTCTGACAGTAAGATAAAATATTTCTGGGAAGCAACCTCTCATTTACTACTGCCTTTATCTGATTACTTCAGAGCAGGCAGTTATTCATTGCTCTTTGGTGCCCAGTTTATGGGGAAAAGTTCTGGTTGCAGAAACCTGAAACACAGTACACAGATTTAGAACTACCTCTTTCAGATAGTTTAAATAACTTAATTTTTTGTTACTGTATTTTGATTTCAGAGGCCTTTGTTGTGTGTCAGAACTACAAACCTCTCCCAGATTACAAGCCAACAATGCACAACCCTCTTCTGAATTTATCATATGATGATAAGTGGATATCTGAGGGAGCCAATAAATTTGTATCACCATTTCTTGCCTCTGGAGACTTGCAACCCTTTGATTCTCTCAGATCTTGTACAACAGAACAACATTCACCTGTTGTAAGTAGTGTTACTGTTGTTTATGAAGTTATTATAACACTGTCAGCTGTCATGTAGTATGAAATGAGATATGGAAGAACAGTAACATTCACATGGAAGACCATTAATAAACCTAAGTTAGGAGATCCAGTGGCCTGGTAGGATATGAACCATGTACCTCTGAAATGTGAGTCAGATGTGTCACTATACTAACCTGCTCATTATGTAGCATTATAATATTGTTGATTATTTAATTGTTTATATAATGCAAACAACAGTAATTTAAAATTAGAATAATAGATTAGCCTTCATGCCACACATCATGTGAAATAGCTGTATTCTTGTTCAGAATCCATTATAATTGTACCCTTCTCACAAGAAGCACCAGGTTAAACACTGAGCAGGATTACCTAACTTCGTGGTATGAGATTTTCCTTGAGCAACTGATAAGTCATTAACCTGATCAAAAAATTCCGTACATTTATGGACCTTGCAAGTTTTTCATTCCCATATTCATAAAAGCATACTATTGGATCCTAGCCTGAGCAAGTTGAATCTAGTCCACACCTTCACACCACATTTCTCCAAGATCAGTTTTAATATAATTCTCACCAAGCAGGATGGTGTAGCAGTAGTGCTGTAGACTTGTATTTGGGAGGTTCTTAGTTTGGATCTTGGCCACAATATCAGCTCTCCTGGCTGTATTTAGTCTCTCCAGGCAAATGCTTGGATAGTACCTCACTTAGGCCATGGCGACTTCCTTCCAAATCCATTCCATTTCATCATTAATCAGCTGTCCTTCCTTTCAGTGCTATGTAATCTACTGACAAAGAGTTGTGAGATAATCTCTCATATGTGCCCAAGTCATTCAAGTTGTGAAGCAGTTGGCTCAGGCAGTAATACTTCTACCTTGCATTTGGGAGGTTCCCAGTTCAAATCTTGGCCAGGACAGTGAATATCACGATTGAGGTTTCTTCAGTACCTCCAGGCAGATACCAGGATAATACCTTGAAATAGATAACAGCTGCTTCCTTTCAATTCCTTGCCAATTAGTCTTCCATTAATGGTCCCCCATTCAGTGACATATAGTCCAAGTTAATAACAGAATCTTTGAGTAAACTCTAAAGAAAGTGTGTGTCCCCATGAAATTTTCCAATGAATATTTTGTATTACTTTCTCCAGTGTATGCTGTATCTTCCACTATATTCATTTATCCTGGTGTAATCATCCAAACAATGTTAGGTGAAGAGTACAAATTGTGAAGTTCATCATTAAGTAACTTTTCTTATTCTTCTGAAATACCTTAAAGAGGGAATGCCCAAGTTTCACACCACATAAAAGAAGAGGAAAAAATCTAGTTTCATATGTTTTAATCATTAAGGTTTTAGAAAGGAGATGGGAAGATGCGAGATTCTGAACTGAATTTGATTATCTTTTGATTTCTTCATGAATATCATTTCATTTGTTCCAAGACATTTCAAATCTGCCATATTTTCACATAATTTATTATAAATTCTTTATTGTATTGTATTGAAAATATGTGTTTAATTTTATTTTGGACTAAGTGGGGTATACTGCTCATAATACATATCTCGGATGAAAACTCGTTTAGGAGATGGAACTCTGACATGAAACCTGCTTTGAAGGCCGTTCCATAGCTCAAGTGGTTATTCGCTGGCTTCCCACCACAGCAGCCCAGGTTCAATCCCGGGTCTCGTCAAGTGGAATTTGTGGTGGACAAAGTGGCGCTGGGGCAGGATTTCTCTGAGTACTTTGGTTTCCCCTGCCAATATTCATTCCACCAATTGCTCCACAATCACCCTCACCTATCATCTCGGGCTGGTACAATAGGCCAGAAGTGGCCACAGTACAAGGGACTTAGTCCCACCCCACTAGCGTTAAAAAAAACCTATTTGTGAAATGGCAATTCTGAGAACTGAAATATAGAATATAAAATTGAATAAATTTTCAGTCTGGACTAGAAAAATGAAGTGAAAATTGAGGGAAAACATGAAGTCGCAAAAACATAATATCCATTGAAGTTTAACATTAATCTTAATGGCACTTGGCCAGAGCCATGCAAAAAGTATGTAACTCTGCAAGAAACTTAAAATTAAGGCTCACAAAATATTCACTGTAGTATGAATATACTAAATCACATGGTTTTGTATGTTCTAGCTGGATGCGTGTACAGAGGAAAGAAGTCGGCCTCTTCCAAAGTCATCAGCATGTCCTGCTCCATCTTTAACAGTACCAACATAAAACTTCTAAACTTCATCCTTTGTTTATTTGAAGATTATTGTCTCCTGGGATGTGACACCAGACCCATATTCTTGGTAGATTAATACAAACTTTTGAAGGAATCTGCTGCTTCCATGTTCCGGATAGGAGATGGAGACAGCAGATCCTCCAAAATGTTGCTGTCCTTCTATCAGATTACACAGTATCACATCCCTAAAGTCAGGGTAATCTAGATGCTTGCTGCCAAGAGAGACTCAGATCTCTTGTACTGTCTACTTTATGTAGGTTAATATAACTTGGTACACATTTCATTTTTATACAGCAATGTGATCACAAGGCACAATTTAAAAAGCTTAAATTCCTCATTGGGCCAAAAGATAACTGTGTATTGAATAAATGTAGATGTTATATTTCAAACCAGAAATTAATACTGTCACGTGTTGCCTCTGTAACACATCAAATAAATAGGGTTATTGGACACTTGCTTTTACACACGCAAGTACAATTATGATCACTTATAATGTCTGTGGACTTTTCTTAATCACTGTTATAATTACTTGCACCCCTATCCTCAGTAAAGTGTCTTGGTCCCTTGTTGAAGAACTCTTCCTGCTAGAGTTGAATACAAACTGGCCAACATTGGACTGTCATATCGTGCACTCGGATGCAATAGAGAGCACCTTCTCTCAGGGTTTGATTTCACATATTCTGTGCTTGTTACCGCAGTAATACATTATTCCCGCTATTTCAAGCAATTCATTGGCACGGATATTCCTATGCAACAGTCTATTGGTATTCAATCCATCGCTGTGGGAACTCAAAAATGTCCATGTATTCATTGTTGCTGAAGTATGCATTCCCATTTCAGCCATTGCACAGTGATGGATGTCATATAGCACGTCACGCTCAGGACAACCAAGCACCAGCAAGACAGCTGTCGAACAATCCATGAGCTTACACACACTGTCGGTATCGATTATGGAGTTTGCCAGGAAATTTTAACAGAAAATTTGAACATGTGCTGCATTGCTGCGCAGTTTGTTCCCCAACTCTTGACAACTGATCAAAAGCAGCAGCACATAAACACGGTAAATGCGGTAGCGTAGTTGGTTGAGGGGCTATACTACAAGCCAGAAGGTCACGGGTTCAAGTCCCGATGAGGTCATTGGATTTTTTTCAGTTGACCTAATCCTTCCAGCCGCACTAGGCCCTGGGGTTTACTCAGCCTCTAACAGGAATGAGTACCAGGAATTAATTAAATAATTTTCCTTTGGAGTAAAGCGTGGCTGGCGCATAAGGCTGACAGCCATCGCCATCTTTGAGCCGATTGTCTAGATAGTGTGGGACCCTCAACGTCTCACAACCATATGGGCCTTCACGGCCTGTTACAGGGATACCTTTACTTTACTTTTTAACAAAATGACTACACAATGGGTAAATTGTGTTTGTAAGTATCATATCCAAAACTCCTGATTGAATCTTTATGAAATTTGATATTAGGTGTCTGCACTAAATTTCAGTAGCAAATCGGTCAATTGAATAATGCCACTTCAATTCATCATGCCAGTTTATGGAAATTCATATGGTGGGGGTGAACTGAATGTTCTGTATCCATGGTGCCCATGTTACTTGCTCTCAGATATTGTGACCTGGAAGGCATATGTTGACAATACTCTCTCCTGATCAACAGACAAGCCTTGAACCTGTGTCTGTTGCTTGGTGCATCTGAAGGGCTACATATTCCACAACATGCAGAATAGGTACAATATTATGGCATGATACCTAAGAGCCAGATTGGTGGAGTCAGTGAAGTACCATGGAGGCATCCATTGCTAGGCAGTGGCTTCATAAATACATTCCTTTGACAACAAATATGCACGCAACAATAGAGGAACTGTTAGAAGTGGTGCTTTCTATTTGGTGCAGCTGCATGACTCCCAGAGTCATGAGACAGAAGAAAAGGCCACGAGTTCTATAGGACACAAAACGAAAAATGAGCCTACACAGTATACTTCTGTTAGGACAGGTGATCTCAACATTGTGGCCCAGGAGAATGTCATTCCTGTCAGAGGTCATTATCACTGACATCCTGGATTCAAATCACCTACTAATATGTAGCATTCTGGATAATGTTAGAGCTATGGAAGCTTTAGATCTAGTTGAAAAATTTACAGACTGGGAATGGTTTCAAAGTCTCGCCTCTGAACTGATATCTCCAAGTATTCAAATTCTTTCTTCTTTGCAACCTATGTAGTTTTGACATATAGGCTGTCGACTAGAAAACCTATAGTGCAATTCAGAAATGCAATGACCCAGCCTAAATTATGTACTGAAAGGCAAAGAGAGGCCTTGAAAATTATAGCAAGAGACCGGGGATCCAGCATGAAGACGGCAGTGAACTGGGTCACTAAAACTGTTAGGAGAATGACCTGGAAAAGAACACTTGAATGGGAAACAAAGATAAACTGTGCAGTCACACCTCAAGTAATATGGCCTATTGCAAAATCCCTCACAAGGAGTGGACCAAAGGCACCATCTCTTGGTCAGTTTGGCCCCATATTTTATAGAATCAATGAAGCCAACATAACTGTAGATTGCTTAGAAAGTCAGTTCACATCGCATGATTGTGAGACTGTGACCATGAAAGGCAGGTTCAGGCTACAGTCCAAACTCTACTGGCTAGCACTGATGAAGACAACCCTGTGACATCTCAAAAGGAAGACAGGGTGAACATTACATTTCTCATACTTGAGTTACAACGAATGTTGAAAATGGCCTCCACATCCTTGTAGATACACTTCTACATGTCTTATCTTGTTTGCAGGGACACACAACAGTGTAGTTGGGGGGAATTTTCCTGATGAAACTTGTAGAGGCTTACTTCAGTCGAAGGGGAGTGTGAGGACGTTTAGTAAACTGCATCTTTCATTGCTCAGCACCACCCATAATAATCACAGGGTGTAAGATCAGGTGACCATGGTAGCCAAATGTGCTTTGAAATTACTCTGACCCCAAAAATATGTTTCTTAAACTTTCTCTTCCTATTGCACAATATTCCTACAGGTAGGCCACCATTAGACCCTTGGGTGCCTAAGGTAGCCTGAATGTTCAGTTCTCTATTTTGCTTTGCGGCTTCCAAACCCTAAAACACATTCACAATTTATGTATAGACCTTTATTGTCACTTGTTTAGAGATCATTTGAACACATTTTTAGAATTCTACATATGATACAAACATTATAAAAACTGTCAAATCCTTCAGTCAGTAGGCCACACTTGGTGTAAGTACCTTTCCACTTAAAAAATACTAGCACAGTTTTAGAATTCCCCTTATCTCTACCAGGACCAAATGCAGCTTTAGAAAGATTTTCCACTGGCGAATGCCTTACAGATGAATGACAGAAATCAGCTCGAGGGAAGCATCACTTTCGCAAGTGCACAGAATTTCAAGAGTTTATCTTATGAAATTGCAGGTCACACCATAGTGTAGTTGGTTGAGGCACTATGCTACAAGCTGGAAGGTCACAGGTTCGATTCCCAATGTGGTCATTGGATTGTTTTCAGTTTACCTACTTCTTCCATCAAACTATGGCCTTGGGGTCGACTCAGCCTCTAACAGAAATGAGTACCAGGAATCTTCCTGGGGGTAAAGGGTGGCTGGAGCATAAACCTGACCTTACCGCCATCTCTGAGCTGATTGTCTAGAAAATGTGGGAGCCTTGATGTCTCACAACCCTATTACCCTTCACAGCCTGTTAGAGGGATAGCTTTTTCCTTTACCTTTTATCTTACAAAATTGTAAGATTTTTGAACAGACACACAGTGCCACTAAATATATTTCTGGCTCTGCAAAGCTAATACAGTGGAGGAAGTGCCCTTGACACATGCCATAGCTTCAACAAGTTCTACTTTCTTTTAAAAGTAAACATCAGTCTGCGTGCCCCCATAAAATGGCCCCCATTTTTTTTTTTTTGATAACTCAGGTGTGTTGCCTACAAAATGACTCCTCCCCCCAGGTTCTTTGTGATATGACTTAAGTGAGCACAAGAATTCTGCCCCGCGTTGTGTCACGAAAATCTTGAATTTCTAGTATAGTCGGCACAGAATTTCCTCAAAATGTTATTTATTATCACAGTGCAGTAAAAGATGAAGAATGACCTAAGTTAGTTTCTTTTGTATCACTAAGTATGTACTTCTGAGGATGACATGAAAAATAATCACCATTAATTTCTTTTCCATATCTAAGTACGGTCATGAAAGATAACTTTACTTTCTTTTGCATTACTGTGTACCAATGAGTATGACAATATAAGTGTCAAAACATGTTGGGACAGTGATGAGTTTAATCTGATTTGAAGAACTTTTGTTGTAATTGAAAGTACAACAGTGCATAACTGAACTCAAAGTATTCCTCGAAATGTTTCAGTGCAGTGTCCAACTTCATATCACTTTTGCCATACTTTACTGATAGGTACACTTTCACCTAAATATCGCACCACACTACTAACAAAAGTAGGAAAACATACGAAAAAATTTTCTTCTAGACTTGAAACGCATTCACTACAAAATGCTGAATCACTGCTCATTTCTGACAGTTAAGCAGTATCTTTTGACTGGTATCAGACAGCCTTTACCCTCTCCACGGTTTCAGCCAAAGGCTTGACAGTAAATTCTGCTCTTTAACACATTCCACCTACTGAATGAACCAAAAAATAACGTATATAGTCTTTACAAAACACCAGAAAAATAATCCTTCGTGTAAGACAATGCTGCATCATCAATCACTAAATTCCAACTGTGACATCCGCAGGACATAAAGAAGGCCAGAAGTTTAATAGCGTATTTTGTATTCTCCTTTTTACATAACTTTCTGGTTCCTCCCCGCATGATAGCTGCATTACCATGTCCAAGTCTGCAACAATTTCCGATCCCCGGTTGTTGATTTCCGAAAGTATGCAAGTTGTTATTTTTTCAGCTGTAGCTTTTCTTCTACAAGTATAAATCATGAAGAATATTCCCCATTATCTCCCAACTCATCATCATCATTCGTTCAGTGTGACATCTCTGGTACAGTCCAGAATTACTGAATACTTACAAGTCATAAATACAAGTAATTATAACACTCTGAAGATTACTATGACTATAACATAAATAAAGCCTTCAACGTCTGCTTACACTAGTCTTTGCTGGGTAATAGAGCTAAACAATTGTTACATCTTTTACAATGTTTTCACTATTCATTTCCTGGAAACTGATTTTAACACAGGAACGGTCACTTCAAATCATTATGAAGTCGTCTTCGACCCAATTCTCCAAAGCTAATTGTCTTTCTCTCAAATTTGCTGTAAAGTAAGGTAAAAGTAAAGCTATCCCTGTAACAGGCCATGGAGGCCCATAGGGTTGTGAGATGTTGAGGTTCCCACATTTTCTAGACAATCGGCTCATAGATGGCGGTAAGGTTGTCAGCCTTACGCGCCGGCCACCCTTTACCCCTGAGAATATTCCAAGAATATTCCTGGTACTTG